CCCATGTCAAATATCATGGATAACACAGGTCCGGTATCAGGTAACCCATGTCAAATATCATGGATAACACACATCCGGTATCACAGGTAACCCATGTCAACTATCATGGATAACACACATCCGGTATCACAGGTAACCCACGTCCAATATCATGGATAACACACATCCGGTATCACAGGTAACCCATGTCCAATATCATGGATAACACACATCCGGTATCACAGGTAGCCCATGTCAAAAATCATGGATAACACAGATCCGGTATCAGGTAGCCCATGTCCAATATCATGGATAACACACATCCGGTATCACAGGTAACCCACGTCCAATATCATGGATAACACACATCCGGTATCACAGGTAACCCATGTCCAATATCATGGATAACACACATCCGGTATCACAGGTCACCCACGTCCAATATCATGGATAACACACATCCGGTATCACAGGTAACCCATGTCCAATATCATGGATAACACACATCCGGTATCACAGGTAACCCATGTCAAATATCATGGATAACACAGATCCGGTATCAGGTAACCCATGTCCAATATCATGGATAGCGCACATCCGGTATTACAGGTAAAACATGTCCAATATAATGGATAGCGCACATCCGATATCACAGGTAACCCTATGTCGAATATCATGGATAATACACATCCGGTATTACAGGTAACCCACGTCCAATATATTGGATAGCGCACCCTGTTCCGCAAATCAACCATGTCCAATGTCATGGATAACATGTCCAATATCATGGATAGCGCACATCCGATATCACAGGTAAACCATGTCAAATATCATGGATAACACACATCAGGTATCACAAGTAACCCATGTCCGATATCATGGATAACACACATCCGGTATCACAGGTAACCCACGTCCAATATCATGGATAACACACATCCGATTGCACAGGTAGCCCACGTCCAATATCAGGGATAACACATCTGATATCACAGGTAACCCACGTCCAATATCATGGATAACACATCCGATATCACAGGTAGCCCACGTCCAATATCAAGGATAACATCCGATATCACATGTAGCCCATGTCCAATATCATGGATAACACACATCCGGTATCACAGGTAACGCATGTCCAATATCATGGATAACACACATCCGGTATCACAGGTAGCCCACGTCCAATATCATGGATAACACACATCCGGTATTACAGGTAACCCACGTCCAAGATCATGGATAACACACATCCGATATCACAGGTAGCCCGGGTCCAATATCAGGGATAACACATCCGATATCACAGGTAACCCACGTCTAATATCATGGATAGCACACATCCAATATCACAGGTAACCCACGTCTAATATCATGGATAACACACATCCGATATCACAGGAAACCCACGTCCAATATCATGGATAACACACATCCGATATCACAGGTAACCCACGTCCAATATCAGGGATAACACATCTGATATCACAGGTAACCCACGTCCAATATCAGGGATAACGCACATCCGATATCACAGGTAGCCCACGTCCAATATCAGGGATAACACATCCGATATCACAGGTAACCCATGTCCAATATCATGGATAACACACATCCGATATCACAGGTAACCCACGTCTAATATCAGGCATAACACATCCGATATCACAGGTAACCCACGTCAAATATCAATAAATGTGATGAAACGGTTTTGGTAGTGAACACATTGATTGAGGTCTCTGCTTTCGTTAAACTTCAGGCGAAGTGCTCAATGTCACTGAAATCCCAATGATTGTTTTCAATATACATTAAATATACCCAAATGCCCTAATGATTCGGATAGGGAAGGAAGTACTTCTATGCTCTGACATCATCAGCTACCTGTTGATACCATTGATCGCATCTTAGAACCAGTTAGCTGCCTTCCAAAACATTGAGCTCCAGAATGATGACTGCCTCCTCCCCGCTCAGTTCCCCCTCCCCGACCCCATCGCTTGGTTATTGGTTCAGATCTCCCCCATCTCCTCATTCAGCTTCCTGTTCTTCCATTTTTCCAAACATTCCTGAGCCGTCGGTGTCTTAGATGATGCTGCCATCAGATTGGTCGATTCTAATTTCCTTGGAGACATGCTGATGTGTCGTCTGCGCTGAACGTCCAATTGGAGTCCCTGTTTGTCATCAACCTCCTCAACAGCCCCAAAGAGAGTTACCTTCTCGTATTCCAGAGGTGGTCTGACGGTTCGTCTTCCTTTGGCAGCCTTTGGGCGCGCCCTTTTGTCCGGATTGCCGGGGTCAGGAGAGTAACTCCTGGTTTCCATGGTGTCCTCGTGCTGCACGAGCCACTGAGCGACCGTCGACACTGGAAGGTCATACTGAGCTATCGGACTTGAACATTCATCAACGTCATCGCATTGCTCAGAGCTGTGGATGCTGTGGATAGATCCTATCTCGCCTGTAAACATATTACATTTATGATCATGTTGAGATTTAGAACATGAAGCAAAGTATACTTTTTATTACAAATGGAATTACATATATATTTTCGTGTATCAAACCATTGACGCCATGTTAATTCTTTGGATGGCAAATCGTGAAAATACTTTATTCGACAAAGGCTGTAGATAGAAAGCTCATTTCAATGCGACACAGTTTGTTCTTATTCAAATGACAACTCGGCCTGAAACCTTTTGCATTCTATGTGCCAATACGTTGCGACCATTTTTGTGATCTGATGGATAGAGCATCTGCCTAGAGAGCGGAAAGTCGGTGGTTCGTTTCCCGGCCGCGTCATGCCATAAGACTTTAAAAGATGATTTCCCCGCCTGGTACTCGGTATTGCTCATAAAACAGGGACTGGGTGGTATACTGTGACTGTTTTTTAACTACACAATTGGGATACGATTACATGCAATAAACCACCCTAAAAGGACCTGGCCAGTCAGCCCATGAAGTACTTCAGGGCAAGTCCAAGCAGGGCACCAGGTCAACAGGCAGGTCGGTCGCAGATCCAGGTCATGATGGACCTGTACTGGGAGGAGCTGAGGATGTGGAGTGTGTATTCTAGAACTCATGACAAATCTTCTAACTCGTTTATTGATGATGCCATCAGTATGAGAAATGTTCACATGTGCTTAATGGCCAATCTAAACAAGAATAACAATGGCAAGGATAACCAAAAGTCCTTACTAACCGGATCAAGGTCGCAGCAAGGGATTTCTAAATGCCAAGAACGTGCCAAGCCAAAATCAAGACACGATAATTCAAGCAAACGTCCAACCAATTCAGTCAAGTTACGTGGCAGGGAACAGGCACATCAAGGAGATCGTCTCACACTACAGGAATCAAACCCGGGCCTTCGGTGTGACGCGCTGGCGCTTTAACAACTAAGCTCACCCACAGCCTTAAACATGTATGAGATACCTCATACCTATGATACACAAAAAGGCACTTAAATTAAATTGTAAACTACAATCTAACAGTAAGTGCGGTTACCTGTAACAGACTTGGGTCCAGGTGAGGATGGCTTGATTGTGATGGGTATTACTCTCGTCTTCCTGAAGCGACTCATCCATGCTTGGAGTGCGACCCACTTCTCCACCAATGTCTGCCTCTTCTTACGACCCCAACCCTTCTTCCCTTGCCGGGTGCTGATAAAGACGGACTGGTTACAGCCCATTGCGCTAGCAGTCGCCAATAAAGAGCGGACAGCTTTGACGTGCATACATCTTAAATTGGAGAGTCGACTGATTATGACGTCACGCCATTGATGACGTCACATATATATTGCATTCATTTCTCACTGAAGTTAAAGCGGAAACATGCAGGAGAACATTATATATATATGTCATGCTTTTCTTCTTTCATTCCATCTATTTTTACTTTTGCCTAAATGCGGTACGTAATGTGAGCAAAATCAACAACAACAAGAACACATTCACCAATGTGACTTTTAAATAAATGTACGTAACTAAACAGCATGTCACAACAACAAAAAAAGGATTTATTTTCAATACAAAAGAGCTAAAACCGAACCTATGCTATCAAGGGTATATGTCTGTTCTGTAGTGGTTAGTGAGGTGTCGTATCGGAGTAAAAGATCTGAATTAAATGAGATTAAATTGTTAGAAAGTGAAACTCACTGCAGGTGGCAATTTTCTTTAAAATGAAAAAAACCCATAGATGAAACACCTTATCTAGATCTCGATAATTTCTGGTATTTTATTTTCGGATAATGAGTAGATAGCACTATGGAACATATAGGAAAATCTCAAAGTCGAGAGTTGTTTCTTTATTATAAGCTAAAAATGAAGTACATGTAATATATTAGCACTCAGCAATGTTGGAGCTAACTTGTTAGATCTTCGGATGCTTATTTTGTCGGCTACCATTTTAATCTCATCGCTCGAAAAGGAAAAGTTTATACTTCACGAGATTTCTAACTACACCCTATATATATGTGAGTGTGTCTCCGGCCCTCGAGTAATCCTAGTGTGGGGATCCTCGGTGGGGACCTGGAGGCACAGCGTGTTACCTGGCAGACAATGTGTGTCATTGTACCCTTAGACGTTTGTCGTTTCTAACTCCGTGTTAGTGTTAACAAACAGGTGGGAATCTTGGGTTTCGGTTAATGGTTATTGAACATAAAAGGTTTAGCGTTAGATTCAAAATCATATTCAAGTAGAGGGCTGACCTATGATTTATAAATCATGGGTATGACGTCATGTCCTTTGCTATATTTCACCATAGTTGGTAGTGTGTAGGTACGTGGTGGCATGGTAATGTTTAACTCTTTGGAATTGAATTGAATATTGAAATAAAAATGAGTTACTCATTCTTTTACAAGAGTTTTATCTCTGAACTGTAATGATTATTATTTATATATAACTGAAAGGCTTGGTATTAATTTATCTGTAAATACCACCCATATGCCTATGTCGTTTATATGTGATTGTTTATTCAAGCTGATCGATTTGTTAGTGGTCAACCACCCGTTTTGAAGTGTTAGAGTTACTCCCCTTCGTGTTAAATCCACACGATGTCCGACATTAGATGGGGAGTAGACCTAAGTATTTCCTTGTTTTCTTGAAATTTTAACGATTAATAAGACGAAAATGGCAGTTCAGTACATAAATGGGTTATGAAACCGTGTAAGTGGGTTAAAAAACATGCCCGTCATTCGTTGCAAATAATAATGAATGACATAACAAGGTCGCTGTCACTGGGCCTAATGTTTACAAATTTCATGGCGGCAAACTGAAAATTAAAGTTATTAACATGATTAAAGAGACTGGTTGTGCTGTAATATGTATGTGTGTATTTTCAAATTATTAATGTTTCATCTGACCAGGATAACTTTCAGAAAACTCACTTCTTCAAACTATGTACAGGAAACTGTCTGTGGACCTGATTTATCAGGCTGAGTCTATGGTTAGCACAGAATCTACTTCTACTTATTTAGAATGTTTTTATTTCAGGTGGTTTCCGAAGTAATATAAATATGCCATTTTCGCAAGTAAAATCTTGTACCGTTTTCCCAAACCAACTTTGGTGTCGTTTTGGCCTGCTGCCATTGACAGGTATCCAAATTGGGATTATGTTATATTAATTATTTCTGATAGGGTGTATCTTTCATTGGCCTATAACCTTATGTAACCATACTGGTGATGTTACTCCTAGTTTGGTTTATTTGCTAACATACCTTATTAATGATATGTGAGAAATGATATTTGACTTACATATGAGATCATGATTACTGATTAGACACTGAAAAGTATTGATGTGACAGTTTATAATCAGGAAACGTTTGAAGTGAAGTGATTAGTTAACTGTTGATTTGTTTTGGTAGCATATTTCTTAATATGGTTGGCGTATTGGCCCAAATTATTTATATTTATACTGTTCAAATGGTACTTCTTCATTAAATAATCAAGACTTCAGATTGCAAATGAGTAGTATGGGTAAGCAAGACTACCTATTATGTTGTTAATATGGAATGTTAATGTAAACAGTGTGAAGCGTGTGCTTTACACTACCTACTTACTTGCCCAAATTATACTGAGATTACATCTGAAAGCTATTATTATGTTAAGGGATATGACCTACGAACCGTCCTGTTTGGTAACGTTGGCCTAGACGAAGATATACTGCTGAATATCGTTGACTCTGTGCATCATTTCTTTTCTATGAGCAAAAGATTTGTCTAAACATGCATTCTTATATAAATCTCACTAACAACTGTTTACCCTTGATGTACCACATATGACTTAATACCAAGTCCATACTACTGTATAATTATACTACTACTGCTTGTTTGAATTCTGTCGGGGAGAGATATTTATATAGGCTCTGCCTGTTTATCAATCTCCTTCACTGTACCAAGTGGAAATAAATATTGTTTAAAAAAAAAGAAAGCATGTGCTGTTTACATGGTTTTGATAGGAACCCAGTCCACCTAAATGTCTCAGAATAGTAGATATAATTTATATAATTTTATATAATTATTCCTCTGTAACTGTATAGGAAAATATCAATATGCAAGGGTTGTATTGCGATACGTGTATTGCTGACGGACATATTGCAATATACCGGTATACCAGACATATTGCATACACCTATTTCTTAATATCATTATACTTAATTAAGAATTGACTTCAATATGTGTTGCGTTTATGGAGGTATTATCTGCATAGCAGATATTTACGGAAAGTATGCACACCAATTTTTACATTAAAACCTCCATAAACACAAAAGACATTTTGAAGTAAGTTCTTATAAATAAATAATAACAACAATAACTTCAGAATTCTTGTTTATACATTAACACACAAAAACTATGAGACCAGTGACTTCGTTCAGCGCAATAATGCAACTTAGGCCCTGCCATTATGTTCTCAGCCAATCAGGAAACAATGGGTGTGGCCTTCTTTTTGTTTATGGAGAACATTTTTGTCTTGGTTAAAAATTCCAATGCCATGGAATCACTTGTAATTTATATATTACTACATACAAGTGTCAGATGACACTTAGGGTTTTCCTCCTTTGCTTTGCTTTATTATGATGGTCATGACTGATAAGATCATTTACAAACTGGAAATATTCGAAGAGTGATGTTGGATGATAAATAGAATCTCACTCTTGTATCTTTTGATGTAAATACTGTAAATCTTGAAATTAATGTGTCTCCAAATTAATACGACTGCTGACCCCTAGCACCCCCTTGCACCGTGGAATGATAAACATGTTTATCATATAATGGGTAGGTTTCTCGGCAGGATAAAGCCAACGGATAAAAACGATATCCGTTGGGGTCATATGCGGATAGAGATGCAAATATCAAAGGTCAAGTAGGACTACTTTCACTGTTTATAAACAAGCATGGCGTCGCCCTCGTCATTCGGCGATCAAGTCAGAATTAACCATTGTGAATCTGGATAAACTACAGGGATAATTGCTATCATTATCAAACGAACAGTCTAATATACTGAAAATCAGTGTCTAACTGCGACGTAGCTAAGGCATTTTATAAGTTTTGGCAACTTTCGAGATATAAATTTCGAAACAATTTTGCGAGGGCACGAGGCCTAGCCAAGCGGGATCAGTAGCCATATCTGTGCTTGTAGACCTCTGTGGCTTGAAACCTTCTCCACAAATCAAAATGGTTGGATTCGGCCGAAATATGTTTGAACTGTTACCTTGTTTCGTTTTGTCGCTGTGTGTACATCTGACTACACTTCTTAACGTTATGAAAGCACAGACCGACTGTCAACAACGTCTGACCGTGGCCGTGACGTCTCATAGACTAGAGTTAGAGTAGCTTCCCTTTGACAAAGGGCAGTTACTCTAGCGGACAGACCGATGGATTGCCGCGAAAGGCAATTAAAAACAACTGTTGTTTTGCCTATAAGTTGCTTCGCCACTGTATAAGAAACAGATTTCAGTTGGAACTATATTGGCTACTGTCACTGTCCGACTGACTAATCACTTACCCTGTGACGTAATAAATATTAATGCGCGCATTCCAGGAAAACTCGCAATGTTTCGGTAATGTTTGTGAGAGAGGGAAAGCGATTTTAAAGCACAGAATTAAAGAATGACATTATATGATAAAGAGGTTATCACGCTTGTGTGTTTGGGGATGGTAAATATCCTGTATTAGGAATAAACACTATGTATTTAGCTCGCCAAGGCTCGCTAAATACAATGTTTATTCCTAATGCAGGATATTTACCATCCCCAAACACACTCGCGTGATAACCTCTATATATCCTTACCTTAATCCAACCTTACGTTCATCCAATCAAACAGCAAATAGCATACCTTGTCAGCGCTAAGTAGAGCACTTCCGTAAAAACAATCAACAGTTCTGAAAAGCACACATAGTTTATAAGTTTATTCTGTTGGCTGGCATTATGGAATTTCAAAGGCAATAAAATAAATGAACCAACAACAGTTCACTGATTGGTATGCAGAGAAGGTGTCAGCAAACTTGGAGGCAGACGACAAGACAAAGGCTGTAAATCTGAGGATAAGTGTGATGAAGACTATCGGTACACGCTGCATAAACTTTAATCGACTCATGGAGATATTTTATATCTATGGATACTTAGGTGAGATTCTCCCTATATCAATCATGTTGGTGTTTGTTTCTATTACAGATGGTTACTGCTGAAACAGATACTACAAATTACAAATACATTACAAAGACATATATATCACAATGTGAGAAGATTAACATTGCCCAGCAAATGAGATTTAATCAAACACAGACAATCAAGTCAGCTTAAAGAAACAGGTATGAGAGATCCATAGATGTATTGGAATTGTACTGTTTCACTGTTGAATTCAAAGTCAAATTATTATAATATTTTCGTCAAATTTTGAACAAATGTTGGGTAGAAAGCTTTATGTATTTTGTCATGAAGCATGAATGTTTGGTATGACTCTTTACTTGATGAATCACACTACATATAAGTAAATTGTCAACTCACAGATTCATTAATTTATGTTTGTAGGTCCTTTTGAGAATAAATTATTGTGAGGCTATTTATTTGCTGGTGACGCTGGAGAGGCTGAAAGTCTGTTAATTGTTTTAATATGACCTTGTCATGCTTTTCGTTCTATTTTCTTTTAAGAAGCAAAAAAGTAATCAAAATGGCGGAAGGAGAATTAAAACAAGTGAAGGCGATGTTGAGAAGTGTGCTCCTCAGTTGTAAGGAAGGCGTCGCATCACAGAGATTCTTGGGTGAGTATGTTACAGATATAGAGTGATACAATCCGAGCTGATACAAAAGAAATATCTGTGAAATGACGATATCTTGGCCGGGCGAGGTGGTAGGGGAGTCAAGTGGTCAAGGTGTTGCTCTTCATACTGAAGTGTAAGGCTGGATTCCTCACATGGGGACAAGGGGCGGTCGGGTAGCCTATTGGTTAAAGCGTTTGTTCGTCACCCCGAAGACCCAGGTTCGATTCCCGACATGGGTACAATGTGTGAAGCCCGTTTCTGGTGTCCCCCAACGTGATATTGCTGGAATATTGCTAAAACTAAAAGCAGCGGAAAACCATACTGGCTCACTCACACTCACATGGGTATAGTGTGTGAAGCTCATTGCTACCATGATATTGCTGAATTATTGCTGAAAGTGGTCTTAACATTCTACTCATTCATTTGACAGAAGTCTCCACATTACACATTACTATTGACAGTAAGCATGAGGTGTCAGTATTTATTTTTTGCCCTAATGTGATCTTGTGAAAATGAGACTGATATGAGAAGTGATGAGACCAAAGCGTCCTTGAAGTTATTGCAGTGTTTCTCTATACTCCGCAGTTGATTACCGTGACGTGACCGGGGAGTACCTGCCATATAAGAAGTTTGGTTTCAACAGCGTCTCCGAGTTCATCGCCTCCATCCCCGATGTTGTACATGTGAGAAGGTATGTTGCTGAATCAGCCCTGATGAACATAATTGGAACGATGAATAGTAGCTTGATGAATGTTTTGTTTGTTTGTTGTATAACGCCACACTCAACAATATTCAGCTCTTTGACGGTGGTCTGTAAATAATCAAGTCTGGACCAGACAATCCAGTGATTGACATCATGAGCCTCAATCCACTCAATTGGGATACGATGACATGCATCAACCAAGTCAGTGAGCCTGACCACCCGATCCCGTTAGTCGCCTTTTACGACAAGCATAGTCACCTTTTACAGCAAGCATGGGTTGCTGAATTGATGAATTGATGAATTGATGACCATGATCATGATGTCTTACCCTGCTTCCATTGTTCCATCGTACAGGCAAGGCGGGGAGGAGATGTACCACGCTGTGGCAGATGAAACCACGGCCCACATTCAGAAACTGGTGTCCAAACAGAGGAGCAAGAAGACGAAGAGGCCACTCAGGAGGGTGAGGGCACAAGGGGCTCCGTGGTTTGAGGGGCAGAGGGCAGGGATGGAAACTAGCACTAGCCTGCTAGCCAGGACCTGTTTTGTTAATGTTAGGGCCAGTAGAATTTCACTACTTGGGTGAGCAGATGTTCTTGGTTAATATCCATTCCTGCAGCAGTCAGGGTGGCCTGTTTGGGATGTGGATTTTGCAGAGGGTGGTCTTGTGTTGCACAGTGTTGTATCCGATGACGTTTCTCTTCCATGTCGTGTCCGTAATGGCATCGCTGATTGGTTTACAAAACGGAAATAGAAACGTAAGCCAATCGCAGACCTTGTTAACAGTATATATTGTCAATGTCAAGGACTAAAGTCCAAATGGCATGGCCGAAACTTTGTCAAAAGAAAAATAGGTTTCAAGAAAGTTTGCTTGAAGAGCCAATATACTCTTTCAACACTGTAGGGCGGTACACCGGCCAAGAAGCCTCGAGTCCCCAGACACTGCAGGCCGGTAGACCAGCCATGTCGTAGTCACGTCAAAATAAAGGGTAGATCTATATAATTTTTATTGAAAATAAAATTCTGGGACACACACTTCGACAACGGGTCCACATCGAACATGTCAAAGAGCAAAACAAAGACGTTTCAAGCAAATCTTTAAATCTAGTATACAAAGTAATAAATAACATCAACCAAAATATATCTATTAGTTGTCAAACTTACAGTTAAGTTATTATTTCAATCTTTTCGTGCGATCGCGTATAATATGAATGAAATGTTATCTCGGCTTTCGTGGCCTCGATTTCTCAGCTCGGATACGTTGTTTCCAATATGCCTGACAAACCTTTGTCACAGCTCCTAACCTCGCATGATACATCCACGAAGTTCCATGTTTTCAATATAGATCGCGAGTTTCCTGCTTGAAACGTTCAGAATAACAAAAAACTTTCGTCAAAATCTTTGATTACACACGTGCCATTGCTGTAATTTGATTGACAGCCTTAGGTCATGTACTTTAGTTTGACCAATCACCACCCTCGTAGCAGATATCGGCAAGAAAGCACGTGACAAACTTACAGCTACGAAATGACTTGGCGAGGTTAGTGTAGGTAAAAAAATAAACTTTCTAATACGAAGCTTCGAAAACGGACGTATTTCTTCATGTTACTGACAGCCGCAGGTATCGAGAAATTGGTGATGACAGATACTATTGACAATTATTTATAAAATACTTTTCCGAACAGGTAAACAATGAAAATAAAAAAGAAATAGGTAAGTGGATTTTATTTTTGTTTATATTTGACAAAAATCGTCAAATTTACCCTTCCTTGGTCCTCAATTTAGACGTTTGAATGTGTTAGCTTACATTTGTTTTTATTTACAACTTAAGTTGTAAATGCTTTATCTAAATAATGTGATAAACATAAATATGTATAAACAGTAGGATTAGACCTTTCAAATGGTGTATAACATGTAGTTGCAAAGATGTTTTACTAGACTAACATTTAGTCTATGAAACCTTATATTACACAATACCCTTCTCGACTCTAAAAATAAATATATAATTTCCCCTATGCTGATTTCCTAGCTAGAGCTGGCTTGACTTGCTTTTATATACGTTTCTAGATTGGTGTTATTTTCACAAAATATATATATTCCACAAACATGCAGGACTAATGTTTAACAAGCAGATATTTTCCTTGATAAATGTTGGCTTCATCTATCACACAAGAGTCTCTGGGAACTTGGTGTCACAGCAGATAAAGCTCCTGGTTGACTGGTGTTGAAAGAGTCAAGTGGCTAATCTATGAAGATTCAAAGATGTTTTGTGTACACACATAAAAACTGAGACTTAAAGATTTTAACCACACACTTATTTATGCTCAGAATGGCCTAAAGTTCACCATTTCAGGTCCACATTTAACAAAATTTCTTGGGGGGTATGCCCCCAAACCCCCCTAGATAGCTTCGCGCCTACAGCACTCGCGGCTACCGCGTCACAGGGGACCCCCTTATTTTGGAACACAACGCAAACACTGCTAACGTGCATCAAAGCACTTGAGCAACTTGATTAAAAATATTTGTCGACGCCCAGTTGTCAGTACACATGCTTTGCAAATCCTTCAGTTGACCGAAATCTGAATGTTGAAATCCATGTGGTTTGCCATCTAGTAGTATCTACCATCTACCATCAAGTAGTATCTACCATCTACAGCCGTATGACTAGTTTGTGACACATTTTATTTATTGGACTACACATAAACGTATAAGGTCCAGCCAAAATGTAACTTAGGAATTCCAGCCTAGTTTGGCAAGAGTGGAAACTCGACTTTTATAGTCAGTTAACTCCCTTGCTTCAGGGGGATGGGTGAAATGGGGTTTAATGTGTTATGTGGCTATTTGTACTAGTTCTGACTTCTGTTGTTTTTATCATGTTTTTATACTGCTAGCCCACTGAGAATCTCCTGTGCAGTTTAACATGGATACCCTACTCAGACGCAGAGGCTCTGAGCCGACAAGTCCATGTTTTATCCCCTATATGTAGAGTGCTAGGCAGGCAGGGTAACAACAATAGGGCTGGGACGAGTCCACATTTACTACCCGGGTACCCACAACCCTATTACCCGACCCTACCTGGGTACCCGCTGTAGATATTTAGAGATAGGTACAAACTGTCCAAATTGGAAAAGTTTGACCTTAGCCCTGGCAAAATGTATTTAGATACACGTGTAAAACGATCTGGTCATGCATACACTGATGTTTACTGTTTAAGTTTTATCTTATTTCAAACATATAAAAGTCAGAAGGAATGGGTGCATTGTCAGAAAGAAAATGGGAACATTAGTGACTTACGGTGTAACCATATGGTTTTAGATAATTTTGTCATTAAACAATATATCACGTGACTAACCACGAGTCCGGCTAGTCATGTGGGTACCCGGGTCCCACTGAGGACCCACCCGCCCAGAGTCCCGAGTTACCCGTCCCAAGTACCCGAGTTACCCATCCCAAGTACCTGAGTTACCCGTCCCAGCCTCAAACAACAAGCACCATCTTTTAACATTTTTAGATACTGTGTGTTGGACTCTGAACTATTTCAACGATTGTACACCATAGATAATAGTCATTTGACCTAAACACCTACAATGTTTGAACAATCTTTTAAATTAATTTAGTTTTGCTTTTATGATATCCATTTCCATTGATGAGTAAATATGCTTCCAGGCTCCAGTGAGGAACCCCTTCCTTCCCAGCAAGCGCCCAATGGGCAGGGGGTACACCCCTCCATACCGACCTCAGGGAGGAGGGTTCCAGAGACCTCCACCTCATCAGCCTCACTTTGCGGCAGTCAGGAGATTTGATCCGCGACCTCATGTAGCAACTCCACAAGTACATAGAGCACCTCTGCTGCCTCTGCCAAGGTCTTCGCCAGAAGAATGGTCCAGCTCACCACCCTCCTCCCCTATGAACAGTAGTGAACCCTTCCACAACTTCCAGATCACACTGCGAAACTCTGCTGGCAATAGGATGGTTGGTGCAGGGGAGGGTCCAAGACCCCGAGTGGGACGTATGATAATGAGAGCTGTGTCTGAGGCTGTGTCAGATTGTCAGGGAGAGAGGAGACCGGTTCGTTAACTCTTTTTTTGTCTGTAAACTACGGGGAGCACGGGGGGCCCAGTTGTCTAAGGCGCGCGATTCATTGTACATAGTTACGTCCCTTGGGCATGCCAGAAACTTATGATTGAGGGTTTGAATCCTGGTTCGGCCCGATTATGTTTCAAGGTTTGTCAGCACCATACCCATGCTCGTGGGTTTCACCGAAGTGGTAAACGTCTGAGACCTGCATCACTTCGGGCTTTCCTCCCACATTAAGCTGACACGCCACGATATAACTTGAATACTGTTAAAAGTGGCGTTAAACCCAACTAACTCACTCACTGTAAACTCTTTCATCAGGTGAATAAATGCTATGAAACAGAAAACATATATATGCACCTGTAAGAACAAAAGTAAATTTTATCTTATCCTGACTGATACAGTGATCCCTCGCTATTGTGCTCTTTGATAAAGCACTACCTCGGTTACTACGCACGGTAAGGCATGGCTCCAAAATTTATGTACACTTTTAATACTGAGCGTTTTACACAGACATGATTGTATTGTTGTTCGTTGTTCATTTGCACATAACGCTTTTTTCATTGCACAATCAACCGTTTATCGCTGAATGGAGTTCTAATAATCTGTTTGAAAACATCCGCGGCAAGTCCCGGAAATACGATTGTTCTACTAGTTAACTTTTCACACTATACATCCTTTGATCTTAGAAGCGCATGCATGCAATAAAAGAGAACCACAAGCGAAGTTTATATTCTTAATTAGTCGGCAATCCAATTTGAGGCGACACTGTCACATGTAGTTGCTGTCACAACACAATGGTCATTCCTTTTGATTCGGATCAAGTAACTGTATCAAACCAATTAATCTGGCTTGAATGTGTATCTATATTTGTATGAATGTGTACAAATGCGCATAGTGCTGGTCAAAACTCTCGTTTTCCGTATTTTAAGCAACATGACCAATCAATGCCACTGAAACACACTGTACTTGCGTAATGAATTGTAATTGGGTCTTCACTCATAGCGTCTGTTACTACCATTATCTATCGATATTTTCATGTAAGTAGACTACATTCACATTGAATGTGACAGTTAAGGCTTGTAAATAATAACAAACGGTGAAAACATAATGGATATATATTTTTACACTATGAACGGTAAACAACTTGTATCATTGCAATGTGCGAGACAAGGCGAAGATCGTGAGATTGGCCGAGCGCGCCCCCCCGCCTCGGCCTTGGTTAAACGGCTCATCCTCTATAACGCCCACCAATTATTTGGACCTCATTGGTAGCGTTGTAGCGAGGGACCACTGTACTTATTGCTTATCTCTCTCTCTTCCGAATAGGTAGTGTAAACTTCCTGTGCTGTTCCCAAAGAACAGAGAAAACAGCTCACCCAAATGCACCCTTATTCCGCGCATGTGCACCAGAACCATGTCACCAAGCCCAGTAACTCATCACTCTCTCTTTTTCGCGTCATCTTGGCAGCTGGAAAGTAATTATCTTTTTGCAGTGCAGAGGAAAAAGATGGATTGGAAACAACGTGAGTCATCACGCTCGTTATCATCCTAGGAGACGGCTAAAAGTAAGAAGAGGCGAGAATCTAAGCCCTGCCCTTCGTCAGAGGAAGGGAGAGAATTTGAATTTGATATTATTCAAATTACTCCCGCTGAAGTTGATGCAGTCACCCCCCATCTTACTTCCTCGTCTACTAGTAAGAAGTCTAGAGGGTCTAAGAATAAACCTACTGAAATCTTCAGTCAGGTTATCACCTCTACAAAACCACGGACTTCATCATTAGTCACAAAGGGGGTTTCAAGGAAAGCAGCTGTTTCTTCTAGCCAGAAGAAAGCCTGCGCGCACATAATTACGTCCGCACAACCCCAGGGGTTCACGCAGCCCGCAGTGTCATCCAATCAGGCTACAAATACAACCGATGCAAACTTCAATCAGCCTCAGGCCTTCGCGCATTTATGCAATCCCCTACCTTCACCTACCGCAGCCTATTAATCAACAAGAGTTTACCCAGACGACAGCGTTCACGCAGGTTTCCGCAGCCTTCAACGTTTACACTGCCAACTACCTTCACGCAGCCTACCTTTTTTACACAAGGTACTTTGCCAACACTTTCTATTAATACAGATATGATAGCAAATATCACACAACAAGTAGTAATTGCTATGCAACAACAAATGTGTAAACAACCTGGCACGCAGTCGACTGCCTCTTCACACAATAGCTCGCAGATGTTGCAGCCTTCATTTACGGCTCCCAATCCCAACGCCTCCTATCTTCTGCGAGAGGAGGTTGTGTTCGAGCCCCCTCAAAATGAGGACACATCGGTGGAAAATTACCCTTCAATTTATGAGGATCATAAATTAATGGCATTGATTACAGATAGACTACCAATATCATCACCGTCAAGAAATTCTTCTCCCACTGATACATACTGTATCAAAGGGGACGATATAGACAGATTAACCATCCCATCGATAAAACCAATCTCCAACATTGCAGAGAATCTTAATGTTTCTTTTGGGAAATCCACGAAATCACAAGGACTTCCAACACCGAGCTTTAATTCTAAGAAATTCCCCATGCACGCCATGTCGCAATTTCTTCGCTCACCGGAGATTGAAGAGGATTACTCACTCATGTCAGACTCCAAAAGTAATCTTTTGCATTGAGGATAAGAAAACTTGATAAGACTATGCATTCTTTGGACTAGCGATGTCACGCGCTATGAATGAAGCTATGATCTATGAATTAAAAGAGCCTCACAACGACCGTCAAAGAATGCTACTTTCAGCTCTCGTCAATCAAAAGAAAAATCAAGAAATTATTTCTTATCATATGAGTTCAGTGTCGGCAGGTTTAACACTACTACGGCGACAAGGTCTTATAAATAATTCTAATTGGTCAGATATCTATACCAAAGAATTATTAAGACAACCCTGGGAGGCCCAACCATTTTTAATGGTAACATACGTAAAATCAACAAAGAAATGCTTCATGACTCCAAAGATCATATGCTTATCAAGTCAGTTCAGACTATGAATTGTATGTATCATCAATCCATGAAGAAAACCCAATTCAAAAGCCGTTTTACGGGCGTTCAAAAAGCTAAAGAGAAACGCTCGTACAACTACAGAGGTGGGAAATCATCTGCTTTTCGCAAGTCACATGACACGTCACGTGATGCCGGTCACGGCCGCGGATCAAGAGGATCCCGCAATTACCGGCGAAGATGGGCGGATGAACGACTGGGAACTTCCCTCCCCCCAGCCGTTCATGTACAGCATTCCCCAGTAGGCGGAAGATAGGCAAGATTTTGGATGAATTGGGACATTCTAGGAGACGGAATTTGTTTCCAACATTCTAAGAAAGGGCTATGCCCCGACTCCACTCAAGAAACCCCCGTTATCTCGCAAGCCACTGGAAATACGTTATCGGAAAAAACTGTTGCCGAAGTTAACCATAGCAATCAATTCACTTCTCAACAAGGGTGCAGTCGAGATAATTCAACCAGAATTACAAACCCTGGGTTTCTATTCAGCGATCTTTTTGGTTCCCAAAAAGAAGTCAAACGAAAAGTTTCGTTTGTTTTTCAACATGAGAAAACTCAACAAGAAATACCTCCCAGAACCGGAGAAATTCAGAATGATTCATCTACCACAAATGATAAGACAGCACGACTATCTCGGAAGCATCGATCTACAGGATGCTTACCTACACATTCCCAAAAACAGACTTTCAGGAAATATTAACGCTTCCTCTGCGAAGGACAACATTACCAGTGGGCGGTCCTGCCCTTTGGAATTTCCACGGCCCGTGGCTATTTACACAAGTGACCAAACCAATTGTGACATTTCTTCACAACAAGGGAACTCGATGTGCTTTTCACCTAGACGACGGGATACTAGCCCATCAATCAACAGAGCTACTCAGACTACAACTAAATTTCACCCTGAAATTATTAACACAACTGGGTTGGTTAATAAATTTTCAGAAGTCCGATCTACAACCATCTCAGGATCTCAAATTTCTGGGGATCAGATTTCTAACCAATCAGAATCTAATAACGGTACCAGAGGATCGGTGGAAAAATCAAGACTTGCTTGCCAACAGCAATTTACAAGAAAATCTCAGTCAACGAATGGCAAGTGATACTAGGCTTAATCACGTCAGCCCAAGCGTTGATGGTCCGAGGCAGACTACAATTACGCCCTATTCAGAGATTTCTAAATCCATACCTAGAGTACCAGGATTTAAAACTGCAACTACCACAAACATTGAGGAAACACCTGTTATGGTGGACACTGAAATTGAACGTTTGCGGAGGAACTTGTTTAAACGAGCCGGATTACAACAACCACCTATTCGTGGACGCCTCACTTCAAGGCTTGGGAGCTCATTTCAATGGAGAAGTAACAGCAAGCCTATGGTTAGAAGCAGAAAAGCTCTACCACATCAATTATCTGGAATACGCAATCCTTGCAATATTTCACTGGGCCCCACAGTTAAGAAACCAACGTCTGATGATCAGAACAGACAATTCAACTGTGGCATACAATATAAACCTTCAAGGCACGACGAAATCGGACACCCTCCTGAAGTTGACATTTCAAATTTACGAGCTAGAAGACAATCTGAACTTAACAATAAAGGCAAGACATATACCAGGAGTTGCAAATGTCTTAGCAGACGCCTTATCCAGACCAGCCAAACGATCAGAAAGGAAGCTACACCCAGAAGCATTCCAACTGGCAATAAAAGAAAAAGGTTGCCCAATGATAGACCTATTCACAACCAGATTCAACATTTGTATCACCAGTGCCAGACCCACTAGCTTGGTCAGTCGATGCTCTGTCAATTTCATGGGAGGGACTAAATGCGTATGAGTTCCCTCCACCAGCCTTGATGCCACAGATATTATAAAAGACCCTACACGCGAGCAACCTACAACTGCTTTTGGTAGCGCCTTACTGCCCTGCGAGAACGTGGTTTCCAGATCTCGTCGAACTAGCAGGAAATCCAATATTAAAACTTCCAAACTGGCCAAATCTACTGCTACATCCTCAACTTTGGCACTTCACGGCAACTGCTCCTTAACAACTATTATGGAAGGCTGTTTCTGGAAATCAGATACAGTTTTCGCCAATCACTACCTCCGAGACCTTGCTACAGAAGACAACTCACGAATCCTACCAGACATCATTAGATGATCACATTCACCCAATATCATATAGACTTGTTGACCTCAGGTTACTGTTCAATAACCAAAGACTGAGAGTCCATGCCCCCTGTTTTACTATGTAATTCAGCACATGAGTGAGAAATGATTGTGTTAAGATTACTGCTCTTCTCTTAACACTTTAATCATTTAAGGTGAACAAGATTTTATTCTTAGAAACCTTATAAATCCACAAATCTATAAAGAATTTACACAGAAGATTAACAACGTTCCTATGGGGTTTATAGAACAGATCGACGTTTATCACACATACAGGTGGAACCCACCACCTACTGTGCGATTCAAGCAATAAGTATGAGTCAGGATAAGATAAAATATGTATTTTTTAGAGTAAAAATATCATTTATACTTATCCTGACTCATACAAATGAGTACCCTCCCGACCTTCCACTCTTTCCACTGATGTGTTCGGACCATTAAGTTGGAAAAAGAGAGAGTGATGAGTTACTGGGCTTGGTCACATGGTTCCGGTGCGCTTGCACAGAATAAGGGTGCGTTTGGGTGAGCTGTTTTCTCTGTTCTTTGGGAACAGCACAGGAAGTTTCCACTACCTATTCGGAAGAGAGAGAGATAAGCAATAAGTATGAGTCAGGATAAGTATAAATGATATTTTTACTCTAAGAAATACATTATGATAACAAAGGTGGAAACCTAACAAGGGACGCCATCAGTTAATTGGCACAGATAGATGATTAGCAATGGACAAATGGAAGCCAATACTTAACACTTAATTGGTCGCTGATGGGTGATAGCGATGGATAGCTAGTAGCCAAGACTAAAATTATCACTGATTGATAAGCATGGTAAGAAGCAATGGAGAATGGGCAATGGGCAAACTGGTGGCCAGGGTAAATAGCACTGATAGGTAATAGAATGGAATTGGCAATGGACAAATGGAAGCAAGCGGTATGATTAGACAAAGCAATAAGTCCCAAGCACTTGGCAGATAGGTTTCCTGGTCATGGATCATGGCTGGCTTGGATCTCCTGGTGTCAATGGCTTCTTGTAGTTTCTTTGTCGCCAGTTGTTGTTGATGGTAGACAGGACTATCATCGGGACTATGTTCTCTGTTTCATCGCATTTATTCACCTGATAAAGGAGTAAGTATATACTCCAAAACATTGTGTTCCTCATAATAAAGAAGTTGACATCCATAAATTCTTTTCCTTATGTGTATCACTTCTAAATGCCTTTCAAAAACTAGATGTTCATGTATCTTTCTTAGGAAATTAACCCTCAACCCTGGTTACCAGTTATTGTTTGTTGTCCCTTTCGTCCTGGTTTATTATACATGTATGTAGGACTGCCCCAGTGAGGGTAATAGTACTTATACTTGAAATGTTATTGAAATAAGCAATATCATTTGACCATATACAATATGTACATAGTTGCAGATAGTATGATCATAGTGACTGGGTGTGTCTATTTGGAAACTTTTGTACAACATAAGGTCTGTGTACTGTTGTACATTTCTGTCTGTGGTATATTTTATGGTTGCTTGAAACAGTGATAACAAGACAGTTTTTGGTTACAGAACAATATTAAATTTGGACACAAGTTTGAAGTTCCGCCACGTTTCCGCCGCAACCAGGATTCATTTGCAGAACCGTTGCAAGGTTTGTATAAAGTAGTTCCCTGACTTTTCTAATGCAGGTCAAAGTTGACGTCACAGAATGAGGAGGAGTGACAAGTACTTTATTGGGATGTATAATTTCATGATTTAACTTTGTTCTATCCTGACGTCATTTCTGGGGAATCAAATATGAGCTCGCAACTTGATGAAGTCATATATTGGATGACGTTATTTTTTAGAGGGAAATGTCTAGTAAGTTGTTCCCCATAGATGTAGGTGGGATATGCAGATAAACACAGTGGGCGAATGATGGCATCTAAAAGTGGGAGAGATATGACAATAGACTATAAGGAGAAAAGGTACAGATAATCAACGTGAGGATTGTGAGAATATGCGGGAATATGCAGGAAATACCATACTTTGCTCACCTGTTCATAAAATGGACTTGTCGTTTGTATTGGGATACAGCTGTTTCAGTTTTATGTGTCATATTATCATCTCATCATAACACTATCACTGTATCCAGGGATTGATCTGGGATTTCTGATTAAGTGCCTGTGTTAGGCAAGGTGGAAAAGAAAGAATTACTTTGTCGAAAATCACATGATTATTTTTATTTCCTTTAGACATGTATGTATTTCTTAAATTGAAGAGGAACTGACACATAGCATTCAATGCAACAATGTAAAACTATGCACTGTTACTAAACTATAATATTAAGAATAGTCATTGAGTGAGCATGGTTAGTAATCTTGCTTGGAATTACATTTAAACCTTAAGCCGAATATCAATCTTCTGAGGACATCGCAATGACACTTACAGTTGTGACCTGACATTGTTGACGATGGGTATTTGCAGCATATCTTTGATTGTTTCTGTTTCACTGTCTCTCACTCTCATTGACTCAATCCCTCACCCATCTTGTCCTGACCCCCAGGGCTGCAGGCTCCCCTACCCCTAGCTGCCCAGCAGGTGAGGTTCTATGGGGACGGCACAGACTACATAGAGAAGATTAATAAGTACATTTGGAAACGGAACTTGCTTCCCATCAAGTTCGACACCACCCAGGCAAAGAGTGGACTGTATGTCAGTTCAGTGAGAGTGGATGGGAAGGTGTTTGGCAGTATTGGTAAGAAGCTATTGATAACTGTAGCCCGTGTCAGGATTCTCATACTATCTCAGTAGTGAGTGAGTGAGTATTGTTTCGAAGTTTTTAGCAATATTCCAGCAATATCATGTCAGGGGATGCCAGAAATGGGCTTCACACATTATACCCATGTGGGGAATCAAACCCGGGTCATGGCGTGACAAGCAAGCACTTTAACCAGGAGGCTACCACACTATCTCAGTACATAGGGCTGCAGAGAAAAGATGGATTGTGATGATTTGTAGACCTACAGTGCTGATGGTGCTGGAATGAATGACCTTGAAATGGAGGGACAATAATGCAAAGGTCTGTAATTTTGCTGTGCAGAATTGCATCCCTTAGCCAAGAAGGGTCTACTGGTGGTTAGTTCAGCTTTCTTCTGATTATGACTCATAGTCATCAGTGCTGAGGGATTTCCTGAAGTGGCAAATGTCGGTGATATGACTGAAATACTGGTAAAGCTGAGCTAAACATTCCTCACTCACACCTTCCGACTGACTGTTGGAGTGTGTCATTGTAAGCCATGATTGTTACTGTCAGCATCATGTTTGTACCCGCATTCATTATGTAGCCAAGATAATGCTACTTGATGTTGGACCAGAGTCGCTCACTCAGTGTTGTTGGTCAGAACTAAATGGCTGTTGACAAATCACTGTTATTATTACACTTATTATGTGTAACCTTTTACAAACAGAATTGTTTGATATGCTTATTCAAAAAGAATTTATTTGTAAATACCTCGTTTGTGATATTGTTTCAGATATGTTCCCCACAGCTCAGGAGGCTGAGTATATGGCTGCCAAGAATGCATGTGATGCCCTGGCAGTGGACAGAGGTAGATGTGTAACTACAGCCATAATTTGTGGGAGACAGTTGCATGTGAAAATCATGCCAAGATGATTAAACAGGGTTTTACCTTGACAAGGGTATGAAACTCCCAAAGATTTCAGCCAGACCACAGGACTGGCTAGCTGAAATACTTGCCAGCCCTGACCAAAACCTGCCTGCCCACTATAATCATATGTTTCTCAGGATAATTTAATTAAAACTTTAAATCGAATTCATTGAACATGAAGTAATGCAAGAAAAGAAATAGCAAACACTTTTTAGGTCAGATTTGTATTTAATATCCTAGAATACATCATGTAAATATCCTTATTCCTAAATAGGGCCTAAATTTTAGGTTGTCTAAAAGCTAACGGGGTTTCTTTTTGGTTACATTTTATCATTCATTTTTACATGTGAATTAATGCTTATCATCGGGAAATATTTAGAATATTTCCACATATGAAATATAACCCGACCGTCGGGCAGGGGGATTTGAAAATCTGGCAGCCCGAGTTGAAATCAACCCGTCTCGGACGGTCGGGCAGGCAGGTATTTCGAACGCTGCTTGACCTGCTAAATTACGGGTACGGAGGACCCCCAATAAAAAATATATAGGGTCCCTTCAGGAAAATATGAGGGCCCTGTAAAGTAACAAATTCATGTAGTGTGTTGTACTGTACGATTTGATTATTACTTTGATTATAAGACCTTTATGTTTCTGACCGCCTCTATGGTCTGGTTGTAGTGCGCCTCCCTGGAGGGCGTAAAGTTCGGGGTTCGATCCCTACCTGCATCATACAAAAAGACGTTAGAAGATGGTACTTGTTGTTACCCTGCCTTGCACTCAGCGGCGGTTAAGCGGCTAAAACAAGGACGGGTTGTTGGATAGGGACTAAAGTTGTAAATGTCAATAACCTGTCATTCCTGCCACAATAATCTGACTCACTGTGAACAATCTGGACTCTTGTCGCTATTGCCTTGACCGTCAATGTATGTACTGTAATTATGTGTTTTGATTCCACCCAGATGCATCTCCCATCGCAGCCAGCAGTAATATGTCTGTGTCTGATACCGCCCTCCGAGATTGGATACGAGAGGTAGGTATGTCGTAAAACAGTTATGTTGCCAGGGTTTCCTGACAACCAATTCCAGGGCCAGGTTCTCAATAATGATTATGGCAACATGTTTGTTTGTGATGTTTAGTTCTAATCAATGATTATTATTTAAGATTTATTTTTGTGAAGATATGTGCAGTTTTGTGTGGAATGGAATTCGGGTGTCGTTCATCAGCATGGGTGTCCCAGTCGTCTTAAGGTGTTCTAATTTGTTGTGCAGAGTTGTGTCCCTTAGCCGCACCATAAGTCTGTGATCATGAGTGTGAATAACTGGTTTGCCCTGATTATGTTTTTTGATTTGTCAGCAGTGCCACCTCCAGAAACTAACAGTTTTAGTCCACTACTAGTCCTTATAATGATAACATATAGACATAGCAAGACCCAGAAAATAACTGGAATGCTGGTCATATGGCGTTAAACCCAATTCACTCACTCACCCTAGTATCTCCCCAGGGAGTATACAATGTTGATATGAATACCTTTAAGGTGGAACAGTTCCCTTTTGCCCCATTAATGAACATCCTGCATTATCCAGTGTGTCATATCTCCATTTTGTCATGATCAATAACCTGGTCCCACTCGCACCAGTCTTAATACCATCTTCCCAATCTCTTACCCGTGAAGATCCAGGGTAGAATAGACCTTCAGCAACCCATGATTTCCATAAATGGTGACTTTGCTTGTCGTAAGAGGCAACTATGGGATCAGGTTGTCAGACTCACCGACTTCGTTGATGTATGTCAATGTATCACTGGATTGTCTGGTGCAGACTAGTCATAAAGCTGGAATATTGCTGAGTGGGGTGTTAAATAACAAACAAACAAACTTTCCCATCTCCAATTTGATTGGACAGCTGTTTTAGTGTCGTGCAATACAGATCAGGCCCCAACAAATCTATGGAAGCAAATGGGTCCGGTCTATTTATCATAGAATTGAAATATTATACACTGGATAATCGAGGATGATTAATATTGCAGTCAGCTGTGTTTTTGTCCAAGTTTTGATACACTGATCATAACTTTGCAGACTCTGGACCCTCTCCCTAATGGCATGTGGGGCACACGGATCCCTATACTGTTTAAGGAAAAGTTTCTTGAAGAGGCCCCAGCTCATTTGTTGGCAAGGATTAGTGCATGGAGTGACTTAGTGGAAGTAGAAAAGTGAGTGTTATTTACTGTTACTCCTCATTAGACAAGGCTTTTGTTGAGGTGCTTGTCAGGTGAGGAGACATTCTTTCACAATCATTATTAAGAGAGAAGTTATTTTGGGACAGAACCTCTTTGCGATTCTCAGAGGGAATAGATTTCTTGTGCCTCAATCTTGGCATCTGAGGTAACTTAAATAGGGATCTGTTGTCCACAATGGCTGCTGAGTGTGGACAGCAAAAGACTGTATGACTGAGGAACGCGACTGCCAAACTGTGGTGGATTCAGTGTCTGTATATCACAATGCTCACAGTGATGGCTACTGGTTTGTCTGCCTCTAACTCATTCTCAGTGATCCCAAACCCTGCTAATCTATAGAGTTGCCTCCCTTAGTCATGCCAGGTTCCACTAATTGTGAAATGTATTTCTTGGGGTCAGCACTATGCCCAAGTATTGGTAGACACAGGTATTTTAAAGACGCACAGAGATGGATATGTGAAACATGGGACGAGTGACAGTTCCAATATTCTGACAGGTAGTAAGACTTCCATAGCCTGCATGGCTTATGTACATAGCTGGGAGGCAAGTGTATAAAAATGTAATATTACGGTTCATTTGAAATTCTGTGGTTATTCTTTTGTTGATATTTGGAATCTGGTAACTATGTCCACAGATGACTGGTCTGACAGTTTCCTTCATGATCTTCATACCTGTGAAGATCCGGGGTAGAAGAGGTCTTCAGGAACCCATTCTTGCCGTAAAAGGCAACTATGCTTGTCATTAGAGGCGACTTATGGGATCGGGTGGTCAGGCTCGCTGACTTGGTTGATACATGTCATTGTATCCCAATTGCATGGATCGATGCACATGATGTCAATCACTGGATTGTCTGGTCCAGGCTCGATTATTTACAGACCACCATCATAAAGCTGGAATATTGATGAGTGCAGCGTTAAACAACAAACAAACAAAACAAACATGATCTTCATACTGGTCTTCAGCAACCCATGCTTGTCGGTAGAGGCGACTTATGGGATTGGGTGGTCAAGCTCGCTGACTTGCTTGATGCATGTCATCCTATCCCAATTCTGTAGATTGATGCTCATGATGTTAATCACTGGATTGTCTGGTCCAGACTTGATAATTTATAGCTGGAATATCGCTGAGCCTAGCGTTATAAACAACAAACAAAGCAAACAACAGATGCTTGAAGATGTCCCTCTAGGGTGTGGCTGTTATTTCAGAGTGTGCGGGCGGGACTTGGTGAAGCTGGTCCGAGCTAAACCTACTGTCAAGTGGAAGGTGTGTAGCAAGTATCCCATCAGCCACTTAGCTTGTGTTAATGGATGTATATAGAATCTTGCCAACGTTAAAAAATGCATCAATACAAATTGTATAAAGTAGCAAAACTGTGAGGTTTGTGGAGAATGTTATGTATTTCTGCACCTACAGTGTAGTTTGTGGAAACCAGTTATCCACAGTAAATATTACCAGATGGATAATCCGATATTGTCTAAATTCTGTCTCTGACTATGATCAAATTACATTAAGTAATACGTTACCACTGTTATACCGAGGCTGTTGTCTCCCACAACTGCTGCTATAGCGAAATCTACCACAGAGATCTCAATTACCTCATGCAGCACGTGCGTAGCCACCTAGCTGCCATGTGACACCCTTCACTCTTGTCTCCTTCGTCTGCTTAGCAAGACGTGTTTTCTCCTGCTGAAGCGTTCCTTGAAGATTTGGTGATATTTATTATAGTTTATTCTCTAATAAACTGTGCTTTTATGGGGCGTTGCGGTAGCTACGCTTGGTTATAATTTTCCCGCCCTTTTTTCTATATACTTGCGGGGTTCGCGTATGCACGTTGTGTTTTACGTTTCCCCTGTTCTTGTATGTTTTGGGGGTTAACATAACTTATTTCTTTTATAAAAGTTATATGTGTATGTTATATGTTCACATTGCTCGTTTATTTTCTTGTGAAAATGCTCGTTTGTGAATCATTGTGGTGCGTGCGTTGTAACCATGTTTTGTTTTTTGTTTATAGCAAACAATCAATGTCTGACATGGATATGTCCCCGGTATCCACCCCCTCTACCCCTGCTCCTCGGAGTTGTGGGGTGTGCAGAAAGTTTTTGTCGTCCCGGGATCCCCACGATCGTTGCCCGCGGTGCAGGGTTCCTTGCGGGGACACCCGGTGCATCCTGTGCGAAGGTCTGGGGCCTGCGGAGTTTGAGCGGTACCGGCTGTACGTACAGTCCGTCTCCACCCCTGTGGTGGCCGGTTCGTCCGGTCGGGGTCCCCGTGCGGGTACCACCTCCTCGGCTGCGGCGGATCCCCTTGCGGCCCTCTGGCTGTCTGGGGATTCCGTCGCCGCATTATTGTCGAAACTTGTGGACTCCAAGCTGGCGGCCTATCGCAAGATAGGCCGCTGGCTGTTCCGTCCCCGGCCTCTTCGGTGGCCGCGGGTTCGGACGCGGGGTCCACCGGTACGGCAGCGGCTGCCGTGGTTACCGGTCCTTCCCCCGAACCGTTGCTTCCGCTATCGGTTAAGGACCGCGTGGCCATGGTGTATGACCTCTTCGAGGACATGCCAAAGCCCCTGCCGATACCGCGGGGAATCCACGGTTCCGTGGGTTCCTCCGAGGTATACGACGAGGCGTCCGACAAGGCTTTCCCGGCATCAACCTTGCTGCGCGGGATTAAGCCTTCTTTGGAGAAGGCCTTCACGGCTGCCTCCGGTCGGGGTCTCCTGTTACCTCCCCCGTCGTGGAGAAAAGGGTCTTTCCCAGTACATGACCTTGCCTTTCCCGAGGCTGGTCCTTCTGCGGAAGCCCATGTGGAGCGTTTGGGGGTCCGTGCCCCACCGGTTGCCACGGTACCTCAAGGTACCCTGCAACAGCTGGACACCCTCGCTCGACACTCCATGCTGGCAATGTCTCACGGAGACACATACCTGGCTGCAGCGGCCAGTCTGGTCGAAGGTTCTCCCATGGACCGAGACCAGTGCATTTACAACTGCTTGCTCGGTTTGAATGCTTCCCTGGTGTACGTTGCCGGGGCTTCGGCCTTTGTTTCCGGCACGTGCCATTTTCTTCGGCGCCAGTCGTATCTGGTTGCTTCAGGGTTGGACGCTGCCAATCAGGAGGTGCTCCTTTCGCAGCCTTGGTCTGCTCGAGCCCTGTTTAATAACAAGATCCCTGGGGTTCTGAAGGAACAACAGGCCGCTGTGTCTGCCGAGGCCTCTCGGCACACACTGGATCTTGTGGGGTCCTTGCATAGGCGCCTGGGTGCCGCTCCGAAGCTGAGCGCGCCCCAGGATGCTGCATCCGGCAGGCCTAAGGGGTCGGGTCCTTCTTCCTCTGGGAAGAAGCCCCGCTCTGAGGGCTCCGGTAAGGGTTCTCAGCAGCCCTTTCGCGGGAAGAAGGGGAACTGGGGGAAGCCCAAGTCGTCTAAGGACGGCAAGGGCCCCTCCAGGTGACTCTCATTGGAGGGGTTCGTGTGCCAACAGCGCCAACTTCGGTTGGCCCGTAGGCGAACCCGAGTCACTTGGCCCTGGACAGTTGCGCCTGCCGCAGCCCGTCCGGCCCCCCTCTCTTTCCCCAGTGGGAGCCAGACTCCAGACTTACTGGGAGAATTGGGAACAAGTGTTCGACGACCCGTGGGTGGTCAACACGATTCGGTACGGCTATCGGCTCGATCTCAAAGCGAATCCGCCGCTCACCGTTGCCCCGTCGGCAGGTTTCTATTCGGAAACCGATCTTCCCTTCCTCGCCGATGCCATCGGCAGGTTGGTGGAGAAGGGGGCAGTTCTGGAGTTAGCTCTACCAGAAATAACACCGGGGTTTTACTCCAGGATATTTCTCGTTCCCAAGAAGGACAGTGCCGAACTCAGAATGATTCACAACTTGAAATCGTTCAACGAGTTCTACCTGCGCAAACCGCCCAAGTTCAGAATGTTGAGCTTGACGGACCTGAAAGCACTGATCATGCCGGCCGACTGGCTAGCTTCGATCGACCTGAAGGATGCTTATCTGCATGTTCCGATTCACTCGGATCATCACAAGTATCTCAGGTTTGTCTTTCAAGGCAGGCACTACGAGTGGGTTGTACTCCCATTCGGTCTTTCATCCGCTCCCTGGCTGTTCACCCGGTTAACCACCCCCATAGTGGGGTTCCTCCACCGGAGGGGTGTCCGGTACTTCGCGTACCTGGACGACTCGCTAGTAGCAAATCGAATGTCGGACACCCTGTCACGCCATCTCGTTTTCGCACGTCGGCTCTTGGAGCAATTGGGGTGGATTGTCAATCTCCCCAAGAGCGAGTTAACCCCTTCTCAGAACTTGCAGTTCATCGGAGGTCGGTTCAACACGGTGTCCCATCGCCTATTTGTCCCCCCAGACCGGTGGCACAAAATTCAGGCGATGATTGCCAAAGTCTTAGCGGTGCAACAGACTGTTCACTTTTGGGAACAGCTGTTAGGGCTACTTGTATCAGCCCAGGACTGCACCGAATGGGGTCGTCTCCAACTCCGCCCGCTGCAACGGTTTTTAATCCAGTTGTTGGCAACGGAGGTGAACAGTGCGACCGTCGCCCTCCCGGATCGGCTCCGACCGCATCTGGAGTGGTGGACGGTCCCTTACAATGTCTTATCAGGAGTCTCTATGCGGCCCTACCGGGCCACGTTAACCTGTATACAGACGCCTCTCTAGTGGGCTGGGGCGCCCATCTAGAGGGGGAGGTGAGCTCGGGGCTGTGGTGCGTGGACGAACTAGGTCTTCACATCAATTGTCTCGAGTTCAAGGCAGTGATCAACGCAGTCAATCACTGGAAGCATCGTCTCGTCGACGCCCGGCTCATGCTGGCGACCGACAACACGACGGTAGTGTCCTATGTGAACAAACTGGGGGGAACCCACAGTCACTCGCTACTCGATCTCACGTTCGAGTTTTACGCTCTGGTGGACAGTGTCCCGTGCCAGATACGCGCCCGTCACATCCCAGGTGTGCGGAACGTACTGGCCGATGCTCTATCGAGGCCTCAGGATCCGAGCCCCACGGAGTAGTGTTTCAGTGGCTGTGCGAACGTTTGGGTCGTCCGATGGTCGACCTGTTCGCAACACGGTTCAACAATCAACTCCCGTTGTTTGTATCACCAGTCCCGGACCCGAGGGCCATCGATCACGATGCTCTCGCGTTAGACTGGACGGGCTTGGACGCTTATGCTTACCCGCCGACAGCGTTGATACCACACATTCTAAGCCGGCTTCGAGGAGTTCGCTGTCGAATGTTACTGATCGCGCCCATGTGGCCGAACAGATCGTGGTACCCCGACTTGCTGACCCAGGTCACGCAGTCGCCACTCCCACTGCCTGTGAGACCGGATCTCTTGATCCACCCTCACACCCGTCAGCTTCATCCAAACGCAGGGCAGTTCAATCTGCACGCGTGGATGTTGTCACCGAGCGTCTGAGGAGTAAAGGTTTTTCTCGCCGGGCGTCTCGGGCATACGTTAGTATGCATCGTGATTCTACCCAGAAGGTGTATAATGCACGTTGGGTTATTTTCACGAAGTGGTGTTGTAAACATCACATTCATTCGCCAGATAAGGTATCTGTGCAGGATATTGCTCGTTTCATGTCTCACTTGCGAGAGACCCGGAAACTCTCCGGGGGTTCCATTGCCAACTATGTCTCGTCCGTTGCTACAGTACGGGACGTTGCTATGGGTACCAGTCTCCCCAAAGAGCCGGTGATACGGGGTATTATCAAGGGTTTCAAACAGCACGATCTTAAGAAGGGCCGCCTTCGGGCACCGGCCTGGGATCTTTCCCTAGTGTTGCAATCACTTACGGAAGCTCCGTATGAACCCTTGCATAGTGCTTCGTTCCGGCATGTGACTTGGAAAACAGCATTTCTCCTCTCCTTTGCCACGGCGGCACGTGTATCCGAAATTCATGCACTCGATGTCGCCAAGGTACGATTCGATAGGGGTGACGAAGGAGCGGTCCGCCTGGGCCTGCTCATGGGCTTCGTCGCCAAGAATCAGAGAGTCGGGCAAACGGAGAGGGAATTCACTGTAAGATCCCTCAAAGAAATCTTACATCCTGCTGATACTGAGGACAGAGCGCTGTGTCCGGTTAGGGCCCTTAAGTATTATCTTAAGGCTTCGAATGAACGTAGACAAGGGCGTGACCGTCTGTTCATTTCGTGTAACCCTAATCGCACGGTTGACATAACTCGCAACTCGATTGCGCTGTGGCTTCGTTCTGTCATCAATCTGGCGTACCGGTCTCGGGGGTTACCGGTAGCGGGGTCAAACCCGCACGAGATCAGGGCGCTAGCGGCAACATTTGCCCTACACTCGAATATCTCTGTTCACAGAATATTACGAGGTTGTTACTGGCGTTCTGACTCGGTTTTTGCCAATCATTACCTCAGAAAGGTTTCTGATGAAGCCGTGGAGGGGGTGCACCGTCTTGGTCCGCTGATCGCGGCACAAGCGGTCATCTAGGGGGTGTGTCCAGCGCAATTCCAAACTCCGCAGTCGTCAGTCCTTGCACGGTGGTCAATCTGGGTCGTCTCCAATGTTCCCACGCCGTGGGTACAGGAGTGGGGGTCCTGCAAACCAGCGCACTCACACCACAGGTGAGGCGGCTTTTTGTGTGTTTTGTCCTTATTTGTATTTTGACAATTATGCATTTAATTGTCTGTCGTGTATTCCAACCTTGTGATACATGCTTACGAATACTGGAATTAGGTCACGCGCCTAATGCATACTTTAAGTAGGCTTGCTCTGGGATATACGGTCTGAAGGAAATTAATTTCCCTCTTTTCGACTGTTTAACCTGATCTAAGATTTAGCTCACGCGGATACAGTGTTCTCATCTGCTGCGGCGATGAAATACCTATCCAGTGGGGCCGTTTGGAGTCACCAATCGTTTTGGCATTGACGATTGAGCCTTACGGTATGCGCTTGACAGTGCTTTGGTACTCCTATAGGGTAACGCCTAGCTAGGTGCATGCGCATCGAGTGCTTCCGCCTTGGTGTTTACTTCCGCTGGTCGGAAGGAACGCTAGCAGTCAGAATTCGGGTTGTAGGTGCTCCCCACCGCCTACTGTGGTAGTCAGCCTCGGTATAACAGTGGTAACGTATTACTTAATGTAATTTGTAGAATTTTCCTATTCGGAATATTCTATAAGTAATACGTTACCACTGGGCTGCTGCCCGCCCGTCCGTCCCCCGAGCACTTGCTCTCGCAGGAGACAAGAGTGAAGGGTGTTACATGGCAGCTAGGTGGCTACGCATGTGCTGCATGAGGTAATTGAGATCTCTGTGGTAGATTTCGCTATAGCAGCAGTTGTGGGAGACAACAGCCTCGGTATAACAGTGGTAACGTATTACTTATAGAATATTCCGAATAGGAAAATTCTACAAAATCTCATTTGCCAACATAAAGGTGGTATAACATTATTATCGGTAACAAAGTTGTTGTTCATTGATGTCAACAGTTTATCATAATATAATCTAGATCCTTTTGTCGGTTTTAACAAATCCTCCAGGGGGTGATAAAAGTACAGATGGTAGACTCCAAAGCTGTCAGTGCTTCTTTTAATGTCCTTCCAAGGCTTTGGTTTGTTAAGTGTTAACCAAGTGTAGTCTAGAATTGTACCTTTTGTTATTTTTATCCTTGAGGTTCTCAGCCCACCTGAAACCTTTTTCATTACATATATCTTTTATAGTATAAATGCCTCCTTTAGCCCCATTTCTTAGAATAAATGAGTTTTTAAATTGGTGATTTAATATGACTTTGTAAAGTTTCTATGCTATGGCACCACATGTATAGATTATTTTGGCCTTGCACTCGATCACATTCACAGTAAGAGTTTAGTCTTTGCCTGTTAGTTTGTCTCATTGTTGGTAAGGTGGTGCCACGGCACTGTAGCTCACCTTGATATGTACAGTGAAACCGTGGTAGTCAGGATCCCGTTAATCGAGGAATCCCCCCTTGGTACAAATGTTTACAGAATGTAATTCCAAATTAACTGTCTGAATTACCACATTTATAGTACACTGACATTCTTTTCAGTATCTGAAAAAAACAGCATCTGGTTACAGTGTTCATATTTTATTAATAGCATGTCGAGGTTCATCTTCTTGAGGCAAGTGTGTCCTCAAGCCAGTATCGAAGTATAGTATTCACTAGGCTTTGATATCGACTAGTGGACACTCTTGCCTTGTAAAGATATTTTGTGTACAGTGCAGAGGTTTTGCCATATACAGAGCCTCGAATGGAAGTTATCAGCACAACGTAAACATAGTCATTTGACTTGAGTCATCTTCCTGAGGCAAGGGAGTTAACTGACTATGAAAGTCCAGTTTCCACCCTCTCTGAACTAGGCTGGAATAATGGAGTTATATTTTGGCTGGACGAACAAGTCTATGCATAGTCCAATCAAAATCATGTAATGAAATCGACATCCGGTTCGTAAACTGCCGTGCAGATATCGGTCGATTGCAGGATTTGCAAATCAAGTGTACCGCCAACTCAGCATCAACAGATATTTTGAAAATCGTTTCATGTTTTTAATCACGGTGATGCTTTGATGCACTTGATTTGATTCACTTTTAGATTTTGATTATCAATCAGATTGTCAGATAGCCATTTTGTTAGAAGCAATTGCAAGTAATATGGGAGGTGGAATCTTTTTGGTCAATAGGAGAGTCATAGAAGGGACATAACTTGTAATAGCCAGTGTCAAGCCCAAAAGTTCCACCCTAGTTCAGCAAGGATTGAAACGGGACTTTTACAGTCAGTTAACTCCCTGACCCACTCGTCCCTCCCCCAGCCAGGAAGATGGACTTGAAGGTAAAACGGGCAGATAGGTGCTGTCTAATGCTGTCCCTGGTATATGATATTGGAGAAAAAGTGAAGTTCGAAAAGGTTTATTCATCAAGATGTACATCATATCATATTTCTTCCATGTGTCTTGCAGGATTTTACAATCCCAGAACCTGAGCTGTTAGACCCAAGGTGAGTGTTGGTTTTGTTGTTTATCTTGCAATCTCATTCAATCAGATTTTTACTCTGATACCTGTTTGCATCAGGGGACACCTCCATAGAAAGTCAAAAGTGAAGGATGTGTAGGTTGTGAGCCAATCTTATGTCAGCTTTCTAGAATAATTCAGCTTAATATCTTATCACCTTGATTCGATCTCTCACAAAGTAAACCGCCACAGAACACAAATATACCCTCCATAGAAACCTCAAAATTTAGATAGAATGTTTAACTGTTTTTTTTTCCTTTTCCTTTTTGCGTCTGATTCTGTAAATGTATATATGGTTTGATAAATTATAAAAGAGCTAATCTCATTAAAATCAGATCTTTGTTCTTGCTCACGCTAAACAAAGATCTGAGGACATCCCATTACGGGTCAAGTCTGACCGACCTTGCAGGAACTTTGACCGACCAATGGAATGACCAATCAGAAGGCAGCTTTCTTGTGTTTTACGGCACTAATTTCAAATTGGCGACTATGCTTCGAAACATATTTGGACAAATTCTTGATTACAAATTTGAAACCTGAACAAAAGAACATTATGGGATGGCTAATAGATGGTCTCGATTGTATGGATTCAGTCGTTAAACCCGTAACTATCGTTCGGAGTTAAGGTTTTCGAGGTTGCATGATTAGACATGCCATTCCGACTGTCACTTTCACAATCTGGTAAGAGATGCTCTGATGAGAGGTCGTTCTGATGTGCACCCTAATGGGATGTCCTCAGATCTTTGTTTAGCGATAGCGAGAAGTGAGGTCTGATTTTAATGAGATTGTAAAAGAGCGTAAATATTCACCTGACAGTATATTGCAGAGTGGGTAAGTGTTGAATACTTGGCTGTACACAATTGATAGGAGTTATATTGTTTCTCAATTTCTTTCAATCTTTTTTGAAATATATGTATGATGGTTTTACCTGTTCATAGGGGTGCAATGTTATGCCATACCAAGGTCCTATTTGTTTCAGCGAGACAGTCACGATATATGTGACATTTGCACTTAGAGTAGACAGCTTCTTTGTACAGAAGGAAGACTCCTGCATAGACGATATCAATGCCAAACTGGAGAAGGAATGTCCAGTAAGACTTTACACTTCTGTATCCCCAAAGTGTCTTGTGCAACCGTCAGCTCTTGACAATCAATGTCTTTTTGTACAACAGCTATTTTCCACGATATGAACTTTGATCATCGTTCCAAATATGTTAGCATGCTCCTTTTTTTGTGTTGACTAAAATGTGGGAATGAGCTGATTTCTATGTCATGGTGGACTGATGCTCTGTCAAAGCATGTTAATCGGGACTTTATTAATCACTAGCTGCTTGTGGAGCTGTAATTTTGGCCACTGCGACTTTAAACAATATCAACCCGGCCACTGTAACAATTTTTCAACATTTTCACTTCCCATGAACCCGTGAAGATCTGGGTGAGAATAGGTCATCGTATCCCAATTGCGTGGATCGTGATGGCCATCACTGGATTGTCTGGTCCAGACTTGATTATTATCAGACCACCGTCATGTAGCTGGAATATTGCTATGTGGTGTTAACCAACGAACAAACCAAACCAAACTACTACCCAGGAAGACTATCCAGAAATGCTGACCTGTGAAGTGTCTGATTGTGTGCCATTGTTCCCTGAATTATCTGCCATTGTTTTCCCTGGTCCGTGGTTGATCTTATGTTCAGCCTTTATGATACAGCTGTTATATTCCCGTAATGTAAAACCCTTCACCATCATTCAGCCTTTATGATACAGCTGTTATAATCCTATGATGTAAAACCCTTCACAATCACTCAGCCTTTATGATACAGCTGTTATATTCCCGTAATGTAAAACCCTTCACCATCACTCAGCCTAATAATATGATACAGCTGTTTTATTCCGATAATGTAAAACCCTTTCCCCTCACTCAGCCTCTGTGATACGGCTGTTATATTCCTATGATGTAAAACCCTTCACCATCACTCAGCCTAATAATATGATACAGCTGTTATATTCCCATAATAAAAAACCCATTCCCCTCACTCAGCCTCTATGATACAGCTGTTATATTCCCGTAATGTAAAACCCTTCACCATCACTCAGCCTCTGTGATACAGCTGTTATATTCCCGTAATGTAAAACCCTTCACCATCACTCAGCCTAATAATATGATACAGCTGTTTTATTCCGATAATGTAAAACCCTTTCCCCTCACTCAGCCTCTATGATACAGCTGTTATATTCCTATGATGTAAAACCCTTCACCATCACTCAGCCTAATAATATGATACAGCTGTTATATTCCCATAATAAAAAACCCATTCCCCTCACTCAGCCTCTATGATACAGCTGTTATATTCCCGTAATGTAAAACCCATTCCCCTCACTCAGCCTCTATGATACAGCTGTTATATTCCCGTAATGTAAAACCCTTCACCATCACTCAGCCTCTGTGATACAGCTGTTATATTCCCGTAATGTAAAACCCTTCACCATCACTCAGCCTTTATGATACAGCTGTTATATTCCCGTAATGTAAAACCCTTTCCACTCACTCAGCCTCTGTGATACAGCTGTTATATTCCTATGATGTAAAACCCTTTCCCCTAACTCAGCCTCCTTGATACAGCTGTTATATTCCCGTAATGTATAACCCTTCACCATCATTCAGCCTAATAATATGATACAGCTGTTATATTCCTGTAATGTAAAACCCTTTCCCCTCACTCAGCCTCTGTGATACAGCTGTTATATTCCCATGATGTCAAACCCTTTCCCCTCACTCAGCTTTCAGATTATCAGGATTACTGAATTGTTCATGAGATACAAACATATTCTTTAAGACATATTCTGGGGACATAATGTTATTGCAAAGGACCACACAGATTTATTTTAATTGCATTGATCAGAAGCAGGCAGTGCCAGACAGCAGTGTGCTGAAGAAGGGGACATTCTGTGCCGCACTCTATAACGAGGACCAGCGCTGGTACAGGGCTGAGGTCCTAGACATCACGGATGAGGTACGGAGACCAAATATGTCAGGTTGTTGTTGATGAATTATCCCAGTTGGGATTCCCGGTTAGAACAACCCAACTATACTGATACTGGTTGTAAGAGGTGACACAATGTAGTGGAATGCCAGGCTTGGTGAGTCGGTTGGTTGCATGTCATCATACTCCATCTGGCTTGTCTGGCCTAGACTGGATTATTTACAGGCCCCATCATATAGCTGGAATATTAACAAGTTAAACAACAAACAAATTACAAAACATGTTGATTAACACATGATTAACTATCTTTGGTTATATACTAGGATGTAGGAGACTGTACTAAGGCGACAAATAAGTTCAGTGTCAATAACTGATGAGATTTATGTATGACAGTTGCCAGCAAATTTAACATCCAGTGTATACCCAGTATCTTACGTTATTTGTGACCAATTATTTCACAGATGATGTTTCCTTCACCATGTGCATCAGTGATATTAGAATTTGATATTTTGTTTTCAATTTGATCTTTTTACTGATCAAACATGTTAGAGACTGCATTCAGACGGAATGTAAGGATTTTAAATAATCATTGCCACATTTTGACTTTTAGTAATAGATTTCCTCAATAATGCATGATGGCATGTAACAAAAGATAAGTCAGTAACTGAAATCTATAAATAAAATTGAAACACCAGTGTCTGCACAAGAATAATTTATTGTGTAATTTGATGTGCATGAAATAAAGTAACAGAAAGATATTCTCATACATCTATTTTGTAGCACACCTTTACTTTTAACCATACATGTATGTTCATTGCATTGAACAGACCTCAGATTTCGTGGCTCAATGTTTGTATGAACCAGCACTACTAGTAATCATGTGAGATGCTGTATGAACCAGCACTACCAGTAATCATGTAAGATGCTGTATGAACCAGCACTACCAGTAATCATGTGAGATGCGGTATGAACCAGCACTACCAGTAATCATGTGAGATGCGGTATGAACCAGCACTACCAGTAATCATGTCAGATGCTGTATGAACCAGTTCTACCTCTCATGTCAGATGCTGTATGAACCAGTTCTACCAGTAATCATGTGAGATCCTGTATGAACCAACACTACTAGTAATCATGTCAGATGCTGTATGAACCAGTTCTACCAGTAATCATGTGAGATCCTGTATGAACCAACACTACTAGTAATCATGTGAGATGTTGTATGAACCAGCACTACCAGTAATCATGTGAGATGCGGTATGAACCAGCACTACCAGTAATCATGTCAGATGCTGTATGAACCAGTTCTACCTCTCATGTCAGATGCTGTATGAACCAGTTCTACCAGTAATCATGTGAGATCCTGTATGAACCAACACTACTAGTAATCATGTCAGATGCTGTATGAACCAGTTCTACCTGCCATGTCAGATGCTGTATGAACCAGTTCTACCAGTAATCATGTGAGATCCTGTATGAACCAACACTACTAGTAATCATGTCAGATGCTGTATGAACCAGTTCTACCTGTCATGTCAGATGCTGTATGAACCAGTTCTACCAGTAATCATGTGAGATCCTGTATGAACCAGCACTACCAGTAATCATGTCAGATGCTGTATGAACCAGTTCTACCTGTCATGTCAGATGCTGTATGAACCAGTTCTACCAGTAATCATGTGAGATCATGTATGAACCAACACTACTAGTAATCATGTCAGATGCTGTATGAACCAGTTCTACCTGTCATGTCAGATGCTGTATGAACCAGTTCTACCAGTAATCATGTGAGATCCTGTATGAACCAACACTACTAGTAATCATGTCAGATGCTGTATGAACCAGTTCTACCTGTCATGTCAGATGCTGTATGAACCAGTTCTACCAGTAATCATGTGAGATCCTGTATGAACCAGCACTACCAGTAATCATGTCAGATGCTGTATGAACCAGTTCTACCTGTCATGTCAGATGCTGTATGAACCAGTTCTACCAGTAACCATGTGAGATCCTGTATGAACCAACACTACTAGTAATCATGTCAGATGCTGTATGAACCAGTTCTACCTGTCATGTCAGATGCTGTATGAACCAGTTCTACCAGTAATCATGTGAGATCCTGTATGAACCAGCACTACCAGTAATCATGTCAGATGCTGTATGAACCAGTTCTACCTGTCATGTCAGATGCTGTATGAACCAGTTCTACCAGTAATCATGTGAGATCCTGTATGAACCAGCACTACCAGTAATCATGTCATATGCTGTATGAACCAGTTCTACCTGTCATGTCAGATGCTGTATGAACCAGTTCTACCAGTAATCATGTGAGATCCTGTATGAACCAACACTACTAGTAATCATGTCAGATGCTGTATGAACCAGCACTACCAGTAATCATGTGAGATGCTGTATTAACCAGCACTACCAGTAATCATGTCAGATGCTGTATGAACCAGAACTACTAGTAATCATGTCAGATGCTGTATGAACCAGTTCTACCTGTCATGTCAGATGCTATCATGTGAGATGCTGTATGAACCAGAACTACCAGTAATCATGTCAGATGCTGTATGAACCAGCACTACCAGTAATCATGTGAGATGTTGTATGAACCAGAACTACTAGTAATCATGTCAGATGTTGTATGAACCAGCACTACCAGTAACCATGTCAGATGCTGTATGAACCAGCACTACCAGTAATCATGTCAGATGTTGTATGAACCAGCACTACAAGTAATCATGTCAGTTGCTGTATGAACCAGCACTACCAGTAATTATGTGAGATGCTGTATGAACCAGCTCTACTAGTAATCATGTGAGATCCTGTATGAACCAGCACTACCAGTAATTATGTGAGATGCTGTATGAACCAGCTCTACTAGTAATCATGTGAGATCCTGTATGAACCAGCACTACCAGTAATTATGTGAGATGCTGTATGAACCAGCTCTACTAGTAATCATGTTAACATGCTGTATTCCCTTCTCCAGTCAGTGCAGGTAAAGTTCCTGGACTATGGTAATACTGAAACAGTCCCAGTGTCCTCCATCCGGCAGCTGCCTGACACGACAGCCAACTTCCCAGCTCAGGCAATCCCTTGTGCCCTGTACAGCATCATCGTCACTGACACTGAGGTGAGGTTGTGGTTTAATCACAGTTAACCATTTGGTGGAGTCGAGGGAGTACAATCACAGTTAACCACTTGGTGGAGGTGATGTTGTGGTACAATCACAGTTAACCATTTAGGGGAGGTGAGGTTGTGGTACAATCACAGTTAACCACTTAGTACGGTTGAGATTGTAGTACAATCACAGTTAACCACTTAGTGCAGGTGAGGTTGTGGTACAATCACAGTTAACCACTTAGTGCAGGTGAGGTTGTGGTACAATCACAGTTAACCACTTAGTGCAGGTGAGGTGGTACAATCACAGTTAACCACTGAGTGGAGGTGAGGTTGTGGTTCAATCACAGTTAACCACCTGGTGGAGGTGAGGTTGTGGTACAATCACAGTTAACCACTTAGTACGGTTGAGGTTGTAGTACAATCACAGTTAACCACTGAGTGGAGGTGAGGTTGTAGTACAATCACTGTTAACCACTTAGTATGGGTGAGGTTGTAGTACAATCACAGGTAACCACTTAGTGCAGGTGAGGTTGTGGTACAATCACAGTTAACCACTTAGTGCAGGTGAGGTTGTGGTACAATCACAGTTAACTGCTTGGTGGAGGTGAGGTTGTAGTACAATCACAGTTAACCATTCAGTGGAGGGGAGGTTGTAGTACAATCACAGTTAACCACCTGGTGGAGGTGAGGTTGTGGTACAATCACAGTTAACCACTTAGTACGGTTGAGGTTATAGTACAATCACAGTTAATCACTGAGTGGAGGTGAGGTTGTAGTAGAATCACAGTTAACCATTTGGTTGAGGTGAGGTTGTGTTTCAATCACAGTTAACCACTTTGTGCGGGTGAGGTTGTGGTACAATCACAGTTAACTACTTAGTGCAGGTGAGGTTGTGGTACGATCAGAGTTAACCGCTTGGTGGAGGTGAGGTTGTAGTACAATCACAGTTAACCACTGAGTGGAGGTGAGGTTGTGGTTCAATCACAGTTAACCACCTGGTGGAGGTGAGGTTGTGGTACAATCACAGTTAACCACTTAGTACGGTTGAGGTTGTAGTACAATCACAGTAAACCACTGAGTGGAGGTGAGGTTGTAGTACAATCACTGTTAACCACTTAGTATGGGTGAGGTTGTAGTACAATCACAGGTAACCACTTAGTGCAGGTGAGGTTGTGGTACAATCACAGTTAACCATTCAGTGGAGGGGAGGTTGTAGTACAATCACAGTTAACCACCTGGTGGAGGTGAGGTTGTGGTACAATCACAGTTAACCACTTAGTACGGTTGAGATTATAGTACAATCACAGTTAATCACTGAGTGGAGGTGAGGTTGTAGTACAATCACAGTTAACCATTCAGGGGAGGGGAGGTTGTAGTACAATCACAGTTTACCACCTGGTGGAGGTGAGGTTGTGGTACAATCACAGTTAACCACTTAGTACGGTTGAGGTTATAGTACAATCACAGTTTATCACTTAGTACGGTTGAGGTTGTAGTACAATCACAGTTAACCAATGAGTGGAGGTGAGGTTGTGGTTTAATCACAGTTAACTGCTTGGTGGAGGTGAGGTTGTAGTACAATCACAGTTAACCATTCAGTGGAGGGGAGGTTGTAGTACAATCACAGTTAACCACCTGGTGGAGGTGAGGTTGTGGTACAATCACAGTTAACCACTTAGTACGGTTGAGATTATAGTACAATCACAGTTAATCACTGAGTGGAGGTGAGGTTGTAGTACAATCACAGTTAACCATTCAGGGGAGGGGAGGTTGTAGTACAATCACAGTTTACCACCTGGTGGAGGTGAGGTTGTGGTACAATCACAGTTAACCACTTAGTACGGTTGAGGTTATAGTACAATCACAGTTAATCACTTAGTACGGTTGAGGTTGTAGTACAATCACAGTTAACCAATGAGTGGAGGTGAGGTTGTGGTTTAATCACAGTTAACCACTTAGTGCAGGTGAGGTTGTAGTACAATCACAGGTAACCACTTAGTGCAGGTGAGGTTGTGGTACAATCATAGTTAACCGCTTGGTGGAGGTGAGGTTGTACTACAATCACAGTTAACCATTCAGGGGAGGTGAGGTTGTAGTACAATCACAGAGAACCACCTGGTGGAGGTGAAGTTGTGGTACAATCACACGTAACCACTTAGTACGGTTGAGGTTGTAGTACAATCACAGTTAACCACTTATTACTGTTGAGGTTGTAGTACAATCACAGTTAACCACTGAGTGGAGGTGAGGTTGTAGTACAATCACAGGTAACCACTTAGTGCAGGTGAGGTTGTGGTACAATCACAGTTAACCACTGAGTGGAGGTGAGGTTGTAGTACAATCACAGTTAACCACTTAGTACGGGTGAGGTTGTAGTACAATCACAGGTAACCAATTAGGGGAGGTGAGGTTGTGGTCAATCTCATTAAAATCAGATCATAGTTCTCGCTGCTGCTAAACAAAGATCTGAGGACATCCCATTACGGGTCACGTCAGACCGACCTTTCGCGAACTCTGACCGACCAATGGAATTACTGACAAGAAGTTGATATTAACCAATCAGAGGGCAGCTTTTTGTGCTCTACGGCACTAATGTCAAATTGGTGACTACGATTCAAAACATATTTTGACAAATTCTGGCATAAAAATTTGAAACCTGAACAAAAGAACATTCTCGAATGGCTAATATATGGTCTAGATTGTTTAGGTTCAGTCGTTAAGCCCGTAACTATCATTCGGAAAACCCCGTTTTAAAGTTTTCGGGGCTGCATGATTAGAAATCACATTCCGACTGTCACTTTCATGATGTGGTAAGCGACGCTCTAATTGGTCGGATGAAAGGTCGTTCTGACGTGAACCCTAATGGGATGTCCTCAGATCTTTATTTAGCGGTAGCGAGAACTAAGATCTGATTTTAATGAGATTGGGTTGTGGTACAATCACAGTTAACCACTTAGTGCGGGTGAGGTTGTACTACAATCACAGTTAACCACTAAGTGGAGGTGAGGTTGTGGTTTAATCACAGTTTACCACTTAGTAGAGGTGAGGTTGTGGTACAATCACAGTTAACCACTGAGTGGAGGTTAGGTTGTGGTTTAATCACAGTTAACCACTTAGTGCAGGAGAGGTTGTGGTACAATCACAGTTAACCACTTGGTGGAGGTGAGGTTGTGGTACAATCACAGTTAACCAATTGTTAGAGGTGAGGTTGTAGTACAATCACAGTTAACCACTTAGTGCGGGTGAGGTTGTGGTACAATCACAGTTAACCACTGAGTGGAGGTGAGGTTGTGGTTTAATCACAGTTAACCACTTAGTAGAGGTGAGGTGGTACAATCACAGTTAACCAATTGCTGGAGGTGAGGTTGTAGTACAATCACAGTTAACCACTTAGTGCAGGTGAGGTTGTGGTACAATCACAGTTAACCACTTAGTGCAGGTGAGGTTGTAGTACAATCACAGTTAACCACTTAGTGCAGGTGAGGTTGTGGTACAATCACAGTTAACCACTTAGTGCGGATGAGGTTGTAGTACAATCACAGTTAACCACTTAGTAGAGGTGAGGTGGTACAATCACAGTTAACCAATTGCTGGAGGTGAGGTTGTAGTACAATCACAGTTAACCACTTAGTGCAGGTGAGGTTGTGGTACAATCACAGTTAACCACTTAGTGCAGGTGAGGTTGTAGTACAATCACAGTTAACCACTTAGTGCAGGTGAGGTTGTGGTACAATCACAGTTAACCACTTAGTGCGGATGAGGTTGTAGTACAATCACAGTTAACCACTTAGTGCAGGTGAGGTTGTGGTACAATTACAGTTAACTGCTTGGTGGAGGTGAGGTTGTAGTACAAACACAGTTAACCACTTAGTGTAGATGATGTTGTTGTGCAATCACAGTTAACCACTTAGTGTAGATGATGTTGTGGTATAGTAGTATAGTCATAATTGACCCCATCACAGAATTGAGAATGTGGTACAGTCACAGTTAGCCACATATGACAGGTGAGAATATGTATAATATTACCGGTACATGGCCCAATTATCTTAGACACCACAAATCACATTGCAGAGTTAGGATGATCCACTGATGAGTTGAATACTGTTATGCCCCATTAAGACTGTTGGGCTGTGTGCACCATATCTAATTTCATTTTTTCGCCACTGTAGTAATCATGTAGTCTGTGTTACTTCAAACATTAATAGATGATACCTGACAATATAAGTTGTAGCAGGTTCATGAGGGGTGCATGGGGTTTTATTTGTCCTGCGTTAGGTTTTATACCACGAGCCGGAGCCTGCTGCAACAAATTTATCTTACCGACATGTTTTAATATGACATTGTAAAAGAATTAAATTGAGCTGAGGTTAACTTGTTCCATGTCATGTGACTTCCATTGCCTCGTAAAAAGCTTGCAGCGTTTTGCTTTGAAGCAGGGTATAAGGTATTTAGTCTCCCACTTAGAAATCCATGTGCAGCCTGCTTTCTTCATGGAGGGGTATAAGAAATTTATTCTCCCACGCAGAAATTTATTTCCCTCCAAGGCGGGATACACAGTATTTTATCAAGATCACATGGACCAATCAGATCTCATCATTCTCACATATAGAGGTGTAATAATATAGTCAATAATGTGACTTGAATACTGCTCAAAACAACATTAGATCTGAATGGCTCACTTTAGCATGGTTCATGTTTTACATTACATCCTGGTTGGTATCTCCACATGGGTATTGAATGTGGAGTCCCGCATCATAAGACAGCAATAACTGTTGAAAGCAGCATGCATTACATACACTCTTAATAGAGAAGCCCCATACAGAAATGTATAAAATTTCATACAAATTTCAATCTGTACCAGGGACCTTTTTCATCCATGAAACATCAAAACTGCTGACGTGGCGTGAAGCAATGCTCACACCCGATTTGATTTCTGGCAGATTGCGTTAATCAGCTGTGTTTGTTCTAGAGTCCAGATGAACCGTCTCCATCCCTGAAGGAGTTCTCAGAGGTGGTGAAGGACTCACCCATATCAGCTCTCACGGTGGCCTACAACACAGGTGAGCCAGAATAATCATACATTACATATGGTATGATCAGATACAATGTTGTTTAAAAAGACATCTTGAAATCCTTAAATTTGATAAATAAGGATTCCACTGTTAATGGAAAACCTGCAAAATTCAAGTTCAAAGGGAAATTTGATGAAGGTCATTGAACCTGTTTGTTTCTGGTATGTCAGGAAATGTTCAAATTTACAATTTGTTGATATTTGACATCTCGGGCCAAAATTTTTTTTTATTGAATTGCAGATCCACTGATCATATTTTCATTAGAAATTGTGAATAAATGGCCAGTGTGAGGTTGACTGTTGATCCTCTTGTCTGTTCCCAGACGGCCAGTGTGAGGTTGAACTGACCAAGGAGGAGCTATCCATCAATGACTACCTGATCAAGAAGGGCCTGGTGAGGGGTGAGGTGGTGGACTGGGGGGCGGAGCCAAACGACACCGACTCCATCATAGGAGAGCCAGGTCAGTCTGTAACAAACAAGACAGGATGGCAGGGAGTACAACTTCTTTTATTCATTCAATTCGATGTCCTGGTTAAGTTTCTAGAAACTTTTGTTTCATTATTTCTTGTTAAATGCCGCACACAGCAATATTCCAGTTCTATGATGGCGGTGTGTAAGTAGTCAAGTCTGGACCTGTCAATCGAGTTACTATTGTCCATGTTGTCGTGAGCTTCGATTCATGCAGTTAGGGTGAAATGACATGCAATGAATCAAGTCAACGAGGCTGACCAGCCGATGCATTTAGTTGCATCTTACCCAAAATTCTCACGGGTGGATCAACAACTTGGCGGGAAATGGTATTATGTAAACGGTTACATGAACATAGAGTAACAGTAAAGCACAAATAGGGTTACATATCACATCACATTAGTAAGTACCTTTGTAATTATACCTGGTGATCATTCTACCCGATCATGACCATGTCATTACAGCATTTGTCCCAAGACTTCATCCTTTGCCGGGCGGTTGGGTAGCCTAGTGGTTAAAGCGTTCGCTCGTCATGCCGAAGACCCGGGTTCGATTCCCGACATGGGTACAATGTGTGAAGCCCATTTCTGGTGTCCTCTGCCGTGATATTGCTGGAATATTGCTAAAAGCGGCGTAAAACAATACTCATTCATCCTTTGCCAACATTTGTCCCAAGACTTCATCTTTTGCCAACATTTGTCCCTAGACTTCATCCTTTGCCAACATTTGTCCCAAGACTTCATCCTTTGCAAACATTTGTCCCAAGACTTCATCCTTTGCAAACATTTGTCCCTAGACTTCATCCTTTGCCAACATGTGTCCTTAGACTTCATCCTTTGCCTTCATTTGTCCCAAGACTTCATCCTTTGCCAACATTTGTCCCTAGACTTCAACCTTTGCCAACATTTGAGTCCGGCCTTCATTGCTTAAAAGCCCTGTGGAGAGTCCTTGCTACACAAATCCCCAGTAACCTGTGCTTGTCATAGGTGACTAAATAAACCTAATGGTCCCACTCAATACCTTGGTACATCGTGCCACATTGAACCCTGACAGAGTGCAACATTGCTCATGATATCAAATCACTGGTTTGTCTGATCCAGAATCAATTGTTTACAGGCTTTCCATACAGCTAGATTATCCCTGACTGCAGCAGTGAACAACATGCCAACAAGTACTTGCACTATAGCTGTGTGTATTTGTTGCAGACACTGTGATACTACCAGATGACAAGTTCCTTGATGTGTATGTGTGCTTCATCAGTCCGGACCTGGCTGTGACAGTCCGGATAGTGGGCGAGGAGTACTCTGTACGTTCTCTGTATTCATCCAGTACTGCGTTACGAAGCATGATAGGCTGGTCAGAGTCTCAAGGAGGGAGTCAGATTGTCCAGTGACATGTGAATGTGTTTGCTCTTCAACATGGTTTTAGTACCAGGGATGGGGATGATGGGGATTCTGGAGCTGTATGGTCCCAGTGTCCCACGCTTATAGTAAGAACCATCTATGAGTATCCGAGGGATTTATGAGAACCTGCTCAGATGCTGATATTCAGCCCAATGTCAGGTCAAATTCCCGAATCTCCATTTCATGTTGTGATTGTCACATTCAAGAACATTCGTTTCACTTGAATCGTGTAGCACAGCATCAGTTTCAAATTGTCATGATTAGTACACATGTACACTTGCAATGTAGTCAGGCCAGGCAAGTATCAAGATCTCAGATCACCATGTCCACAGGGAAGGAGATGATGTGGCAGTATAACATTGCCTCTTCAGTACTTCCCTTCGCCTATCAAATTGTGAGTCATTTCACAGGGTCCCAGGCATAAATATGAACAAAGCATGTGTAAGTCAGTGTGATAACTAAGGATGGGTATTTCCTTTTTTTAGTTTGTAACAATAATGAGTGATTGAGGGAAGAAAAACTGACATGGACAATAGGGCTGGGATGAGTCCAAATTTACTACCCGGGTACCCACCACCCTATTACCCGACCCTACCCGGGTACCCACTGCAGATCTCGGGAAATGTCTCAAAATGTCCGATTGGGAACATTTTTAGCATATCCCTGGCAAAACGTATTTAGATACATGTATTATACAATCTGGTCATTCATACACTGAAGTTGAATTAAGTTATATATGTTTATTCAACCATATGAAAAATCAGAGGGAATGAGTGCATTGTCAGAAAGAAATGGTAACTTTAGTGACTTGTGGTGTAACCATAGGGTTCAAGATAATTTTTGTCATTAAACAGTATATCATGTGACTAACCACGGGTCCGGGTAGTCCTGTGGGTACCCGGGTCCTACTCAGTACCCATCCGACCCGGGTACCCAAGTTACCCATCCCAGCCCTAATGGACAATCAGAATTTTCACTGTATTTTTAACCAGAATAGAAATGGCAGAGCTACAATCACTTTATATGATTCAATCAGCCTTACCAGTTTCCGTCCATTCTCCATGTGTATGTGAATAAGACTCATTAGTTTGCGTCAAGTAGAAAGGTGAATCTTGTTTTCCCAGGACAAGCTGGATGTGTTTGAAGCGCAGTTGGAGGACTGTTTCAAGAAAGCTGCCCCTGACACCTTTATAGGTCCTGGGGCAGTGTGTATTGCCAGCATGGATGGCCTGTACCAGCGAGTGCTCATCAACTCTGTGACAGACGGCAAGGCTGAGTGCTATTTCACCGACCACGGTGACACCGAGAACATCCTCCTCTCACAACTACGTTCACTACCGCTGGATCTCAATGCCTCGCTACCCTATCAGGTCAGAAGACATCTTGTCGTAATGTGGACCCTGGTGTGTCACATAATGTGTGTGGTACTGCCAGTCGCTTGGGGTATAATTGTGGTAGCCTTGTGGTAGCTTTGTGGTAGCCTTGTGGTAGCCTTGTGGTAGCCTTGTGGTAGCCTTGTGGTAGCCTTGAGGAAGCCTTGTGGAAGCCTTGCGGTAGCTTTGTAGTAGATTTGGGGTAAAAGTAGTCACAAGGATACGATATGCGAAGTCAATATCTGGTGTGTCCAGCCAAGATAATGGTGATATATTCAAGATGCAAAATCGTCACACTCGCTGACATTTGTGGTCATCAGTGATGTGCTGTGTTGTTGCAGGCTGTGCGCTGCTACCTGAACGGGCTGGAGAAAGTGACAGATACGGTGACGGCCCTGGAGAGCCTGCTGGACATGGCCCTGGGCAAGACTTGTGTCGCCGAAATAGTTGACAGGTACGTTCGGGACGAGGGAAAGACTTGAGTTGCCGAAATAGTTGACAGGTACTTTCAGGACGAGGGAAAGACTTGTGTCACCGAAAAAGTTGACAAGTACGTTCGGGATGAGGGAAAAACTTGTGTCGCCGAAATAGTTGACAGGTATATTTGGGACGAGGGAAAGACTTGTGTCGCCAAACTGGTTGACGGGTAAGTTCAGAACAAGAGCAAGACTCTGGGTCTCAATCCTCCGCGAATCTGTCTTTTCTGTGAATAGTTGAAAATCTAATGTTGGAACATGGTATTTCATTCAACATTTTGTTTGATATCAGGATATCAAACGCTTTGAACAAATTGATTTGACAAATATGTGAATAGAAGAATAGTAGAGTGAGAGTTAAGTTTAATATTTTTAAATTTCTTAATTGGTTCCTGGGGCATGGGTGGTTCAGTCATTTAAGGCACCACAATTCGCTGTGCAGAGTTGCGTCCCTTGGGCACGCCAGGAACCTATGATTGTGGGCTCAAATCCGGTACACCCCGATTATGTTTCTAGATATTCAGCACCATACCCGTGTTCTTGGGCTTCACCAAGTGGTAAATGTTTGAGACCTGCATAATTTTGGGCTTTCCTCCCACATTCAACTGATACGCCGTGATATAACTGGAATACTGTTAAACGCAGCGTTAAAACACAAATCACTCTCTCAAATGGTTCCCACTTTTGGGAGAAATCTTGAAATTACAATATGGTGAGAATGATTGCTTTCATTAGCATATATTTGTACACTGAAAAAGACTTAACGTAAGACCAATGAAATACATAATTACCAAGTTGTCTATTTGTTAATGTACCTTCTTTGTCTCCTCAATTGCTACAGAGATGAGAGACTGTCTGTGATCCTGTACGACACAAATGACGACAATGATTTGAACATCAACAATGCAGTCAGCAAAGCAATCTTGGCCAAGGATCCACAAAATGGCAACTTGACAGCAGCAGCATCCTTGTCACAGCCTCCTTCCACACACTCCAACTCTGTGTCCCCCAAGAGTGACAGCACTAGTCCTAGAGCCATCACCAACATGGCTGCCTTCAGGGACACGAACACAATACAGCCAAACAGAGACACAAGTTTTAACCGGACATTGAGCACTACCAGTGCAGACTCATGGGGTACTGAGGAGGAAGCCGAGGCCCTGGCTGCAAGCTATGTGGACTCTCACACCAGCTCCAACTGGGAGAGCAGTGATATTGCCAGCCCTGACGACCTGGTCCCCACAACTCAGGGCAAGGCTGTGGACACAGCAGTGGTGCAGAGACTAGGTGGTCTGACGTTAGGGAATAATACGCAGACCAGTAATGGTTCTCCCTCTGCTGTGTTAAACAGTGAACTGTCTCGGAGTACTAATGGGACGTTGAAGTCTGATCCCACTCTTCCATCTAGTCGTGAGGGGTTGAACAAGGGGTTTGTCAGGAGAAAACTGTCTCAGCCGGAGTTGGTGGATATCCCTGGTATTGGGGAGTTCTTTGATGTGCATGTTTTGTGGGTGTCGGATCCAACTAACTTCTGGGTAAGCTCGTAGACTTAGAATCTGCATTCATTCTAATAGTACATCTTGTGTATCGGTCTTCAGCTGTTACTTCGCACTCCATCAAAACATGGGTGAAACATGACAAACCTACAAGGAACTGATGATAAAATCTCTGGTTGTGTGGTTACTACCGTTTTTCCTGTGGCATATGTCCACCGATCAGAAGCCTTCTGTATGTCAGGCCAGTGTATCCATGTGCTTCTTCTTGCAGTGTACGCCGTACAAGATGGTGTTATGTCTGGAGAATATGATGAAGGATCTCAATAAACACTTTAACACTAACACTAAGGTAAGGACAGTAACATGCCCAGTTGCCCAAGTCTAGTAGAATTCAAGAAGGACTAGTGAAATTTCCTTGTTGAAATGTATGCAATTAGGTAGATAGCAATTCTGCAAAATTCATTTTTGGAATTACTATGGAATGATGGGTCTTGTGATGTGCCCCGCTTCTCACTACTGTTATGTTGTGCAGTGCCCCCTTGTGGCCACTGTGTAATGTTGTGTGTTGTGCAGTGCCCCCTTGTGGCCACTGTGTAATGCTGTGTGTGTTGTGCAGTGCCCCCTTGTGACCACTGTGTAATGCTGTGTGTGTTGTGCAGTGACCCCTTGTGGCCACTGTGTAATGTTGTGTGTTGTGCAGTGCCCCCTTGTGGCCACTGTGTAATGCTGTGTGTGTTGTGCAGTGCCCCCTTGTGACCACTGTGTAATGCTGTGTGTGTTGTGCAGTGACCCCTTGTGGCCACTGTGTAATGCTGTGTGTGTTGTGCAGTGCCCCCTTGTGACCACTGTGTAATGCTGTGTGTGTTGTGCAGTGACCCCTTGTGGCCACTGTGTAATGTTGTGTGTTGTGCAGTGCCCCCTTGTGGCCACTGTGTAATGCTGTGTGTGTTGTGCAGTGCCCCCTTGTGACTACTGTGTAATGCTGTGTGTGTTGTGCAGTGCCCCCTTGTGGCCACTGTGTAATGCTGTGTGTGTTGTGCAGTGCCCCCTTGTGACCACTGTGTTATGCTGTGTGTGTTGTGTAGTGCCCCCTTGTGACCACTGTGTAATGTTGTGTGTTTTTTGCAGTGCCCCCTTGTGGCCACTGTGTAATGCTGTGTGTGTTGTGCAGCCCCCTTGTGACCACTGTGTAATGCTGTGTGTGTTGTGCAGTGCCCCCTTGTGACCACTGTGTAATGCTGTGTGTGTTGTGCAGTGCCCCCTTGTTGCCACTGTGTAATGCTGTGTGTGTTGTGCAGTGCCCCCTTGTGACCACTGTGTAATCTTATGTGTTGTGCAGTGCCCCCTTGTGACCACTGTGTAATGCTGTGTGTGTTGTGCAGTGCCCCCTTGTGACCACTGTGTAATGCTGTGTGTGTTGTGCAGGGCCCCCTTGTGGCCACTGTGTAATGCTGTGTGTGTTGTGCAGTGCCCCCTTGTGACCACTGTGTAATGCTGTGTGTGTTGTGCAGTGCCCCCTTGTGGCCACTGTGTAATGCTGTGTGTGTTGTGCAGGGCCCCCTTGTGGCCACTGTGTAATGCTGTGTGTGTTGTGCAGTGCCCCCTTGTGACCACTGTGTAATGCTGTGTGTGTTGTGCAGTGCCCCCTTGTGGCCACTGTGTAATGCTGTGTGTGTTGTGCAGTGCCCCCTTGTGGCCACTGTGTAATGCTGTGTGTGTTGTGCAGTGCCCCCTTGTGACCACTGTGTAATCTTATGTGTTGTGCAGTGCCCCCTTGTGGCCACTGTGTAATGCTGTGTGTGTTGTGCAGTGCCCCCTTGTGACCACTGTGTAATCTTATGTGTTGTGCAGTGCCCCCTTGTGACCACTGTGTAATGCTGTGTGTGTTGTGCAGTGCCCCCTTGTGGCCACTGTGTTATGATATGTGTGTTGTGCAGTGCCCCCTTGTGACCACTGTGTAATGCTGTGTGTGTTGTGCAGTGCCCTCTTGTGGCCACTGTGTAATGCTGTGTGTGTTGTGCAGTGCCCCCTTGTGGCCACTGTGTAATGCTGTGTGTGTTGTGCAGTGCCCCCTTGTGACCACTGTGTAATGCTGTGTGTGTTGTGCAGTGCCCCCTTGTGGCCACTGTGTAATGCTGTGTGTGTTGTGCAGCCCCCTTGTGACCACTGTGTAATGCTGTGTGTGTTGTGCAGTGCCCCCTTGTGACCACTGTGTAATGCTCTGTGTGTTGTGCAGTGCCCTCTTGTGACCACTGTGTAATGCTGTGTGTGTTGTGCAGTGCCCTCTTGTGGCCACTGTGTAATGCTGTGTGTGTTGTGCTGCAGCGTGTTGTGCTGGAGGAGAAGGATTTGACCAAGGGGATGTTGATGGCTGGCAACATGGACGGAGCGTGGTACCGAGTCATCATTAAGAATATTATAGAGCATCAGGTAGGTAATCACTGAGAATGACACACTGTAGGCAGTTTGATGAGATGGTAAAGTGAATGCAAAACCTCCGAGAGCCGCAGGCAGCTTGAATTATGTACTCCCAGGGCAGCTGGATGTAACTTGAGTGTACACTGAGTCACCACTATAATAATTATATTGCAAAATTCATTCTGACAGAGAAGTTGTCGTTTATAATATTTTCTGGGCTAGAGTTACAGGTGTGTTCTGTCCTGTTTCATGTAAATCTCACCTGTAGTATTGCAAATATACCAGATAGTTGCATATCGGAATGGTGTATATGTTGTTAGTTGTTTGCACCTGATTATCGTTGTGTTCAGATGTCGGTGTACTTCCCGGACTACGGACAGTACAACATCCTAAGCTTGGAAGATCTGCAGCCATTACCAGAACAGTTTTATGCATTGCCGCTTTGTGCAGTCAAAGCCAAGCTTCACGGTATGGTCACTTCATTCTCGTTTCTCCTTTCATCTCCTTGTAAACACCATATATGCCAGTAGTATGAATGAGAGTGTCATTGTGATGAAAGTGAATGTTTGGTGCCAATGATTGCCTTGTGGCTGCCCCATATTAAAGCCTCTTGACATTGTTGACAGCTACAATCATTTTAATAACTTCTGGTTGACACATTTTGGGACATCCGAAGTAAAAAAATATGGTGTGATGCTTTGGCCTTCAATGTCAGCATGGTCTTTTTACAGTTTCTATTTTGCTCCTTGGGAAATTGTTGTGCCCTAAATTATTGCTTTTTACACCTGGGAAAAAGCATTAGGTACCAGGCCCATTAGGAAATAGCATTAGGTACCAGGCCCACAAGGATATAGTATTAGGTACCAGGACCACTAGTGACTATGCTTGTCGTAAAAGGCGACTAACGGGATTGGGTGGTCAGGCTCGCTGACTTGGTTGATGCATGTCATCAATCCCAATTGCGTGGATTGATGCTCCTGATTCAATCACAGGATTGTCTGGTCCAGACTCGATTATTTACAGACCTCCATCATATAGCTGGAATATTGCTGAGTGCAGCGTTAAACAACAAACCAACCAACCAGGCCCACTAGGAAATAGTATTAGGTACCAGGCCCACTAGGAAATAGTATTAGGTACCAGGCCCACTAGGAAATAGTATTAGGTACCAGGCCCTCAAGGAAATAGCATTAGGTACCAGGCCCACTGGGAAATAGTATTAGGTACCAGGCCCACTAGGAAATAGTATTAGGTACCAGGCCCACTAGGAAATAGTATTAGGTACCAGGCCCTCAAGGATATAGCATTAGGTACCAGGCCCGCTAGGAAATAGTATTAGGTACCAGGCCCGCTAGGAAATAGTATTAGGTACCAGGCCCGCTAGGAAATAGCATTAGGTACCAGGCTCACTAGGAAATAGTATTAGGTACCAGGCCCACTAGGAAATAGTATTTGGTACCAGACTCACTAGGAAATAGTATTAGGTACCAGGCCCACTAGGAAATAGTATTAGGTACCAGGCTCACTAGGAAATAGTATAAGGTACCAGGCCCACTAGGAAATAGTATTAGGTAGTTTGTGCATGGTTGTTCTGACGTGATCCATAATTTGTTTTGTGGTAGTGAGAACTAAGATCTGATGTTAATGACATTGAGTTTGATACTATTTCCTAGTGAGTCTGGTACCAAATACTATTTCCTAGTGGGCCTGGTACCTTATACTATTTCCTAGGGAGCCTGGTACCTAATACTATTTCGTAGTTGGCCTGGTACCAAATACTATTTCCTAGTGGGCCTGGTACCAAATACTATTTTCTAGTGAGCCTGGTACTTAATACTATTTCGTAGTGGGCCTGATACCTAATACTATTTCGTAGTGGGCCTGGTACCTGATACTATTTCGTAGTGGGCCTGGAAAGCCCCCTCTGTTCAAATGTTAATCCCATTGAAGCGAGAGATGGACGATTATTTTGACAAAATCAGTCTACAGCCTGTAACTGTCGCTCAGGTTACCCCATGGTGAACTTTTGGAGATTCCATGATTAAAAAAACACATTCTGACTGTCACTTTCCTGATTTGGTAAGCATCGCTCTAAAACGTCGGATGAAAGGACATTCTGACCTTACGCATAATGGGATGCCTCAGATCTTTGTATGGGGATAGCGAGAGCTAAGATCTAATTTTTATGAGATTGTATCAAACTGTGATGCTGGAAGAGTATACAAAGTGCTGTTTCTGTCCTTATATTTGTACTATCTGCCATGTGGAATCATGTAGATGTGTTATATGCCATTTCCATATTTCAGATATCAGCCAAGACAGTAGATCAGCACATAAAGGTGCCATTTTGTTGACAAGATCAGACAAATGCTACACATAAACAAAGCTTGTTTCTCAGTTAGGATTGTCCTGTTCTTAGCTGACCCACACTCAAATATTTTTGGGATCCAAAGTGTTGTGTTCCCAATGAGTTTCTTTAGGGGAATGCTTGTTGTGTCCTGCAGTCCTTAGGTTGGCTACCCCAGGTTGGAGGTAGTACTGGACTTGGGATCCCATTCTTAGCTGTAGTAGGGTTACAACTAGGGACACCTTGGCTTTCCTTCAAAGTTTCGAACTCTGGGTGTGCATCCTCAACATACCTCAGACATTTCAGCAAATTTCTAACTTTCATTGTATCTCTGTCTCCTTGCATTTATACTCTGTAAATACGGAAGGAAATGAAGGTTGTGGGAGCTTCGTCAGTGTCAACGTTCTTCATCATGCAGGCATTGTGACAGCTACTTTAAAGTACCTAGAGTGAGAATATTTCCATCCCCCTCCCTATATGTACAATGAGCCCTGAGAAACAAGTGATGAGTATTTCTGAACTAACAGTGGTTATTTAATACTGCATGTATCTCTGCAGGGAGCAGAACCTTTTGTTTTTGTTCTATTTCAGTTAGTATTTATCATTTTCCTTTTACTTACATGGCATTTTAATTGTTAAATCACCGTTTTTCCCCTTCGTTATAAAACACCAGTTCAGATTTTTTATTTGAAGTATTGTCTCAGACTCTGCCTAAAGGTCATGGTTAGATCGGTGACCGTGTCAAACCAAAGAATGCTTAAAGATGGTATTTGTTGTTACCCTGCCTGGTGCTCGGCAGTAAGGGGGTAAACAAGAACTGAACAACTCCATTCACCATGGATCCGTAAAAATCCTGGGTAGGATAGGCAACCCATGCTTGCCATAAAAGGCGACTAACGGGAAAGGGTGGTCAGGCTCGCTGACTTGGTTGATGCATGTCATAGATCCCAATTGTGTGGATCGATGCTCATGATATCAATTACTGGATTGTCTGGTCCAGACTCGATTATTTACAGACCGCCGTCATATAGCTGGAATATTGAGAGTGCGGCGTAAAACAACCAACCATCATGTGTCTGAGTAAGGTATCCATGTCAACTGCACCATGATAACTCAGTAGGCTTGCACTATAAAACCCACATGTTAATCCCAGTTTCTCCTCACCAAGCTTTCCATGTTCATCAGTCTCTTGACTTTTAAAATATAGTTGGGTCATAAAATTATTTCGCAGTACTATATGATGGGCTAAAATAAACCTGAATCACTCGGGCTTTCCTCCTACATTCGGTATGCCAGGATACAACTTAATTAGTGTTCAAAGTGCTTTAAAATCTCAACTCAGTCACTCACTGTGTACTTGTGGCATGTCAGATTGATTGACTCGGAACAACTTTCAAGGTAGGATGTCTAATTGTCTACATGCCTTCTACTGTACCCTTTTCCAAACCAGGTATCGACTTCGTGAAGGTCAACAAACACTGGTCGGAGGCAGCCAAGTACAAGTTCATGGAGCTAGCTCAGGGGCGGGACTTTGTGTGCTTGGTGTGTGACAAGAACAGAAGTTCGGGCATGGTGTCCGTGAAGCTGGTGGACACGTCCGACCAGGAGGATGTCCTCATTGATGAAGTGCTAATTGATATGAACTTTGCCCGGAGCTTGGACTCCTGATGAAACTGTACAATCTGCAAGCATGAGGACAGTGAACAGATGGAATGAGAATAGCATGAAAAGCTTTGAGGTCTGTGTGTGGCAACATGTCTACAGTTTACACACTTCTACTGCGCGATCTCTGCCTTCGCAATTGAACTTTCTATTGGTGTGATTGAGTGGTTTGTCAGAAGCACATGCTCCAGAAATCATTGTAAGATCTTAATTCCATCCTATGCGTACTTTAATGTTGTAGAAGTATCGCCCGTATATTAATCTGCATGAAAGACGAGTATGTACCTCTCAATGTTTTAGAAACATGCACTCAGTCATGCTGTATCAAACACATGTACCCAAGAGTAGTCCATCACATGTAACGTTGGGACTTGTCATCCATCATTCTGTTGTATTTGTTTTCCCTGTGATGAAGTTTGAGGTCTGCCTGGAGATACACCAGTATACATACAAGAGAAGTAGGCATCATGGCTTCAGTTGGAGGTGAATACTGACTATTACCAGGGAAAATGATATGTGAGGCCTGATATCCAAGATGTTGGGCTAGGTGTTTGTGGTGTTGGGCCAGGTGTTCGAGATCTGAGAGATGATGGGCCAGTATAAAAAATACAGGGCCAGGTTCCCTGAAGTTGGGCCAGATATCTCAAATATCAGGCTGAACCATGTTAAGAACTGTTACAAGAGTTAAATCTTTGTGTTTGCCTCCCTCACAGAGTTCTAACACTGGTACCTGTGGAAAAAGACCTCCTGTAGGATAAGGTGACGAGTGTCATGCTGCCCTGGAAACATGATTTCATCATGTCGGATGCATAATGGACGTCTGTAGAAATCAGATCAGGAGTATTTGGCTGGGATTGTGTGTCTGTGAGGGTGATGTTAAAATGACCTCAATCCAAGTTACATAATCCTTTATTACAACATTATGTAAATATTACAAATCACTTGTAATTGGTAGCATTGTGTACAACCATTTATATTAGATAGTTGACAATGAGAACGTTGACATCCATTGTTATAATGAAGATTAAGTGACAAGACACTGTTGTACCTTATTGATAGCTTGATTCAAGACTCTTCCTGTAGTTTCCGGTCAGGTTACCTACATTTTGAGTCAGGCTGATTGAGGAAGCTAACGATGTATGGATGGACTCTCCCTATGCTGCACATCAAGGAGTACGCTATCTCCTAGAGGGAGGAGGACTGTACATAAGTCATCCACTGTGCCAAACACCTCCTGTGATACTAGAGTGAGACTGCCAGAGCTGCAGTCATAGACTTGCAGTGTTGGTAGGATATGAATCATATATGGATATGGTACTTGGTTCTTGTAGTGGAGAGTGTCAATAGAGTCCCTTCTATAAATGATTAAACATGAGCCAGTTGGAAGTGTGTAGATTTGTTAAGGAAGCACCTCATGCTCTCTTATGTCAAATGCTTTGAATTTATAAAAAAAAGGTGCACATGTGCTAAAGGTTTATACGGATTTAAAATTGGCACATTCTTCAACGTTGGCAAAAAAGAGGTGAGAAAGGTGATTTATTTTTTCAGCTGAACAAATGAACCGGATTTTATGTGAAGGAAGTCTTTTGTTTCATGTGAAAGACTTGCCATTGTGGGCCAGGTTTTACTCTCATTCATTTCTTTTACATGTATCATCATTCCGTGAGACATCTTCATTCCATTTACTCAATCAATGAGTTTTTCTTACTTAGAAAAAAAATGAAAAAAATATTGTTTTGAAATTCCTGGGGGACTCACAAGTTAAGTGGATTGCTTAGTGAAACGCACAGGATCGAAGCAAATATTGACTGTCACTAAATAAGGCACTATGTGATATCTATTTAAAAAAAATGCAAACTGTCTTAACCGGAATGGAGGGACACAGGGAAAGTTCAGAAATGACTCTTTAGGGAGATATATGCAGAATGAGAGAAAATAATACTGGTGTAGGTTAGTGGAACAAGGTGCTGAATATGTTGAAAACTGAACAGCACCCTAATGCATCTATCTCTACCTACCATTGTCAGTTTTGAACAATTATTGTTTAATTAAAATGTAAACATTTGAAGTATCCTTTTGACATTTTACATATGAAATGGAATTAAGTTTCAGATGTACAATTTGTACCCAGGTTGAAGTGCAAATATGTTCAGAAAGAATGTGTCCTGTAAAGTCTTGTGTTAGCATCAGGAATTATTCAAGATGGGTTGTTATTTCAGTTTATCAATCAAATCATTTTGTTATTAATGACACAAAGTTAATGTTTCTTTAATTATAGTTTCCAACTGTACTTATTCACAAATCCAAGTGCCACCAATATTCATGATAGTGCTATTTGTCTCTGAAAGATTATATTTCTGGGCAAGCTATATCCGGATTCTTAGTGGTCTGTTCTCACAATAAACACCTAGACAGATTGATCTTTCATGACATTGTTGTGATTGATGATTACATTACTGCATAACTGTTCTTTGGTGTACTAGTGAATAATTAAACAGTCACACTCAATGTTTAAACTTAAGCATAATTGTTAGGGTTACCACATGCTGATTTTGTGAATATTTAGCGGTCCTTCAAGTATTATTGCAGCTGACCCCAATGCCTCTCCTAATCTCTAACACTGATACTAAACTACAACCACATACTGGTATTACAAGACCGGGCATTATACTTTTGTGATGATCACTGCTGGAACTGAAGAATTGCCTCGGGCGACTCCACTTTGATAAAGAGATCTATGATTATCTAGTCTACGAGGACAAAATACTCATGTCATTGTTTCTTTTCTGCGATGTTTCTAAGATTAGTAAAATATTCCTGCACGAAGAAGTTTCCAACCAAAATTGCCTTACAATGTAATGTCTGTAATTACCAGTTGCTATTGTGTTGAATGTCCAGTGACAGTAACCTGCTTTATCTTACTGTGATGTAAGGCAATGTAAGCACTGTCCTTTAAGTTGGTGCTGCCAAATAAAATATTTCATTCCATCTGTCAAGTTCTGTCTTTTCTAACTCCCTTGGATATTTCCACAACAGTTGTTTGCAGGTTCAAAAAACTACTGATGTGGAAATACAGGGATAAATGTAGGAAATAAAAACACATTTATCAACTGGCCAGTAGGCTCAGCTGTGTTGAAAAGACCTATCCCTCCAAAATACTCTACTGGACAACAGTGTCATCTATTAAAACATCAATTGTCCTTATCTGTGAAATGCCAGATATAGATATCTACAAACTACTCCTACACACAACATAACATCTTGTGCTGAAACCATTATTCGATATGTTGTTAAAGACACAACTGTAGGATTCCTTTGCCTATTTCTAACACAATTTGTGTGTCGCAATATTTTGTACATAATAGTCAAACGTAATTACTAAACATGAATGGTTACGAAACAATCGCTAACTTCCACCACATAGTATTTGTTTGGTTGTTGTTTAACACCGCACTCAGCAATATTCCAGCTACATGACTGCGGTCTGTAAATTATCTAGTCTGGACCACAATCCATCGATCCACGCAATTGGGAAACAATGACATGCATCAACCAAGTCATCCTGCCCACATAATCCCATTAGTCGCCTCTTACGACAAGCATAGGTTGCTGAAGATCTATTCTACCCTGGATCTTCACCACATTGTAACCTGCATTTCTTAATAACATGCTTTCAAGCTGTTTATAATTAATTTTAAGTAAGATTATGTCTCAAGAAATTCTTGATTATGTTTCTTGGTTTTTCGGCACCTTACACAAGCATGTGGGTTACACCAAAGTGATGAATATCAAGACTTGCATCACTTCTGACTTGCTTGAAGCTGACATGGTGTGACATAACTGAAATACTGTGAATTACAACTGGGGTGTTGAACCAAATGGCTGCAGAGTAGCTATTCTTTCAATCAACTGATACATCATATAACAAGCCTCTGTAAGGCCACAATGCGAGTGACAGGGAGTTACTGGAATACAAAGGTAACCCTCTGAAATGTGAGGAAGTTCAGCATTGTTTTATGTTGCAGTAACTAATATATATTGATGATGTTAGTGTTACAGTCACAAGTCCTCTATCTTACTTAAAGCACAGGTAAGCAGTGTTCGACACTGACCAAGATTTGTCAGTTGTCCAATGGCTCCACTGGACACAATGGTCCTAACCAAACAGGGTTTTCATTGCAAAATAAGAATGAAAAACAAGCTAAAAAGCAACAAGTGTACTACGCAGGTTGCTGGTTTTGCTTAGAATTGCTTATTTCAAAAGTCGTACAAACTTAAATTACTTCATTCATCCCAAAAATATGACTAGTCAACCTGAATTTTACTGGTCCCTAAGAAAATATGCGAGAAAATAGCGGACCAGAGTTTGTGTCGAACACTGGGTAAGTGTCATATTTTGTATGATGTACACATGCACAGTCCATTCAATGTGATGTCTGCAGTAGGGCTGGGACGGGTAACTCGGGTACTCAGGTTGGGTGGGTACTGAGTAGGACCCGGGTACCCACAGGACTACACAGACCAGTGGTTAGTCACGTGATATATTGTTCAATGACAAAAAGTATCTAAAACTCTATGTTTAAACAACAAGTCACTAATGGTCGCAGTTCTTCCTGACTACTACGCCCATTCCTTCTGACTTATATACTCTTCAAAAAAAAGAAACTTGACATAGAAGTAAAACCACTTTTTGCCAAATATCTAGAATAATTACATTAAATGAGAACCAAATAAGTCAAACAGAAAGATAAATTGTCTATTATTCGCGAAAACACATGCAAAGCACATAAATGTAGCGTTTGGGGATTATTTTTCAGCTTCATCCAAACGCAACCGCCTGTAAAAAACGACCAGCACAGGATCCTGCATTTAGGCATGCAGGCCCCCCTGCTGAATGGGTATAAAAATCCACATCAACAGCTGTTCATACAGTCCTTATAATGGCAGTAGAGGCGGTGACAGAATGCCAAGACTGAATGCAGCTCAACGGAACAACGCCATTGGGAGATTACAAGCTGGAGCAACTCAGCAAGAAGTGGCCAGGCACTTTGGCGTATCCAGACAGACAATCTCCGCACTGTGGACCCGATACAACAACACCAACAGAGTTGACGACAGACCAAGGGTGACAACCCAAGCACAAGATCGATACATCCGGCTGCGACACCTCCGAGACCGCACTACCACAGCCACGTCTACAACCACACAGATCCCTGGGGTACGCAGAATATCAGATCAAACGGTATGCAACAGACTGAGGGAGGCTGGACTTTTTGCACGTAGACCTGTTCGACGTCATGTATTGACCCCACATCATCTGGCGGACCGACTGCTTTGGTGCCAACAGAGGGTTAGATGGGCACGTGCAAGGTGGAGAAATGTACTGTTTACTGACAAGTCCTGTTTCCTACTCACACGTGCTGATGGGCGCGCACGTGTCTACAGACGTCAGGGTGAACGTTATGACCCCAACTGTGTGTAGCAGGTTGTCCCATTTGGCGGCGGGAGTGTCATGGTATGGGCCGGAATTCATCATGGTGGTAGGACGCCTCTCGTGCATGTGGCAGTTGCATTGACAGGTGTGCGTTACAGAGACTTGATCCTACAGCCTTACGTTCTTCCTCACGTCAACGTTCATGGTGGACAGGTCCAGCAGGACAACGCTCGACCGCATATTGCAAGTGTTTGTCAAGACTTCTTACACCACAACAACATCAACAATTACCATGGCCAGCCGGGTCACCAGATTTGTCGCCGATTGAGCATCTGTGGGACGAGTTGGATCGACGCGTTCGCAGAAGGAATCCACCACCCCAAACACTTCCGGCTTCCTGATGCACTTCAGACTGAATGGCAGCACATCCAACAGCGTGTTATTGACAACTGGATTGCATCTATGGGTCGTCGGTATCAAGTGGTGATTGATGCACGTGGTGGGCCCAACCGATACTGACATTTTCTGTACCCCTGTGACATTAACTGTATCGTGTACGTGTGTCTGTCTAGGTGAAACGATTAATGTTTTGAACATTGTGTACATTGATCTTCAAACAGTGTTTCAATTATGGTTTCTGTGTCCTATTTTGAAACAATCGCATTATATTACATTTTAAGAGTCAGTGTCAAGTTTCTTTTTTTGAAGAGTATATATGACCGTAGCACTGGTAAAATGTGTTTAGATACATGTATGAAACGATCTGGTGTATACACTGAAGTTGACTGAAGTTTTATTTTTATTCAAACATTTATATGTATACGGATATAGGACACATTAATTAGCCAAGCGCATTCGAGACCCTGCAGTGCTAATTGGATCTGAAAAAGTGTGCCCGGTAAAGTGCACTCCTCCCTTATACACTATCTTATCTAGTTTTTTTAAAGTTTGTACCTTCCTCTTGAGACCTACATCTGGTACCCGGGTAGGGTCGGGTAATAGGGGGCTGGGTACCCGGGTAGTCAATTTGTCCCAGCCCTAGTCTGCTGTCATCTTATCAGGACATGTGATCAAATGGCAGTCTCTCATTGGCCAAGAGCCTCTAGCTGTGCCTAAGCTACTCTTGGTACATTTGCGAAAGTAACAATTTCTGAATGAACAAACAACTGAAACCAGAGACCATATACATATGGTCTCTGCTAAAACACTCAGCCAACCTGTACAAAAACAAAACACCTATCAGGACGTACAAAATTGGTTTTATTTTTGTGTGTACATATTTACAATTCTGGCTTAAGCCCTTACAACTCTCATGATAACAGGTGTTATCACATGTGACATTCCAGAGAATTCCTGCAAGTGGCTCCTACAACACATTATAGACTTTCTAGCATCCAGGTCAGAAACACTCCAACACAAATATGATCAATTGTGATAGCACTCGATCACGTCGATACAGCACTCCAAATACGCAAATCGTTTTTGACAATCTTAATCATGATCTGTTCAAGCACATATGAGAAAATAGAATACTTTCACCTTGCACAGCAAGTGTACAGGCCTGCTACAATCACAGATGAGTCCACAGCAAACATGCTCACATCTTGTACAGTCCTAACCAACCGCCGGCAAGCATGGTACTACATGATTCACTTGCAATTATACACATCACACAGCAGCCGAGCAACAATATGGTGTGACATGGTGGCTTTACCCTTACTGACCGTCCGTATTTAAGCTTAGCTCCATAGAATGCCATCAGAGAATTGACATATTCAAGGCCATGACTGGATTATCAATGATTCATGAAGCTTTCACATATTTTGAAGCAAATGTAGGAATGTCCCCACATCGGATGTGGGCAGGTCTCCTGGTCTCTCCTGACCACCTTCCCCGCTCAGCTCTTGCCTCTTCCCTTCCCCCCGGCGCCAGCCTTCCCCCCAGCGCCAGCCTTCCCCTTCCCCTTCTTCCCTCCTGCATCTCCTCCCTTCTTCCCTCCTGCATCTCCTCCCTTCTTCCCTGCTGCCTTGCTGGCCGGCCCTTTCTGTGAACAGAAACCATGCTGTGTTAATGTCAGCTAAATCCACTTGGTGAGTGGAGGTTGTATCAAGCCACAGTCAGCTATATTCCAGCTCTATCACAGTGGTCGTTAAACAGTCTGGCCAGGCAAACCAGTAGCTGATACCATGGTCAACATCTGAGGTCACTGTAAATAACACACACTGACCACCCGATCCCTCGCAGAGTCGGTTCTTACAAGTAAAAAGTACTGGAAGACATGAATAAGAATTTCTTTATTGTTTGTAACGATGTTTCAGTGCTACTTCTTGCCTCTTCATCAGTGAGTTAATGTATTGAGTTAATAATTATATATATATATATGTGTTTACAGACAGAATGATTAATGAACAAAGAAACAAAATAAAGAGGATTAAGTACAGTGAAAATAGGATGATGGACTGTTTGATAACAAAGTGAGTGAGTACAATTTTACGCCACGTTTAGCAATATTCAAGCAATATCTTGGCAGGGACACATTGACAACATCGATTTGTTTGTTGTTGAAAGCTGCACTCAGCAATATTCCAGCTATATGACGGCGATCAGATAATAAATCGAGTCTGGACAAGACAATCCAGTGATTGATATCATGAGTATCAATCTATGCAATTGGAATATGATGACATGCTTCAACCAAGTCAGTGAACCTGACCACCCACTCCTGTTAGTTGCATCTTACGGCAAGCATAGTCACCTTTTACGGCAAACATGGGTTGCTGCAGACCAATGAAGAGCTGACTGGGGTAACGATATTACAATGAGACAATCAAGGGTTCAAGGCACAGAAATGCTGTCACAAACAATGAAGAAGTTCTCTGTAGCCAGAGACACACTAATCATAGGTCAGGATGTCGCTATTCAAGACGAACATAGACTAAAAACATTGGACATGGGCCTGTTGACAGTCTGAACTTGGATTTTTGCATATTGACTCTGAGTGCATATTGCATCCATTCTAAATGTGTATGGTAAGACCTTCAGATTAACAGGGAACACAGGGCAACAGATATTAAGCATCAAAAACACTTTTTCCCACATGTTCTGCATAAGCTTGACAAAGATCTAACCTCACTTATCCACACTCGCCCTCACCTTGATCATGGTGTCTGCCTCCAGGTCGTCATCATCATCAGAGCTGACTGCCATCGCTGCCCTGTCCTCACCACCCATGAGGTCATCGTCCTCCTCAATAGGGGCCCTCCCCCGCTTCTTCTTCGACATGACCCCCGTGGCGTAGGGTGTCACATGGGACTCCTTGTTGTACGTCCTGGTGAAAGCTGCCTTGGTCTACAACACATGTCAACAGATGGTCTACAACACATATCAACAGTTGGTCTACAACACAGGTCAACAGTTGGTCTAAAACACATGTCAACAGATGGTCTACAACACATGTCAACAGATGGTCTACAACACAGGTCATCAGTTGGTCTAAAACACATGTAAACAGATGGTCTACAACACAGGTCTACAACACATGTCAACAGTTGGTCTACAACACATATCAACAGTTGGTCTACAACACAGGTCAACAGTTGGTCTAAAACACATGTCAACAGATGGTCTACAACACATGTCAACAGATGGTCTACAACACAGGTCATCAGTTGGTCTAAAACACATGTAAACAGATGGTCTACAACACAGGTCTACAACACATGTCAACAGTTGGTCTACAACACAGGTCATCAGTAGGTCTACAACACCTGTCAACAGTTGGTCTACAACACAGGTCAACAGTTGGTCTACAACACAGGTCATCAGTTGGTCTACAACACATGTCATCAGTTGGTCTACAACACAGGTCATCAGTTGGTCTACAACACAGGTCATCAGTTGGTCTACAACACAGGTCATCAGTTGGTCTACAACACATGTCATCAGTTGGTCTACAACATAGGTCATCAGTTGGTCTACAACACAGGTCATCAGTTGGTCTACAACACAGGTCAACAGTTGGTCTACAACACATGTCAACAGTTGGTCTACAACACAGGTCAACAGTTGGTCTACAATACAAGTCAAAAGATGGTCTACAATACAAGTCAACAGTTGGTCTACAACACAGGTCAACAGTTGGTCTACACCGCAGGTCAACATCACAAGTCAACAGTTGGTCTACAACACATGTTAACAGTTAGTCTACAATACTAGGCAACAGTTGGTCTACAACAGAAGTCAACAGTTGGTCTACGACACATGTCAACAGTTGGTCTACAACACAGGTCAACAGTTGGTCTACAACACATGTCAACAGTTGGTCTACGACACATGTCAACAGTTGGTCTACAACACAGGTCATTAGTTGGTCTACAACACAGGTCATCAGTTGGTCTACAACACATGTCATCAGTTGGTCTACAACACATGTCAACAGTTGGTCTACATCACAGGTCAACAGTTGGTCTACAACACAGGTCATCAGTTGGTCTACAACACAGGTCATCAGTTGGTCTACAACACTAGGCAACAGTTGGTCTACAATACAAGGCAACAGTTGGTCTACAACACTAGTCAACAGTTGGTCTACAACACAGGTCATTAGTTGGTCTACAACACAGGTTATCAATTGGTCTACAACACATGTCATCAGTTGGTCTACAACACATGTCAACAGTTGGTCTACATCACAGGTCAACAGTTGGTCTACAACACAGGTCATTAGTTGGTCTACAACACATGTCATCAGTTGGTCTACAACACATGTCAACAGTTTGTCTATTACACAGGTCATCAGTTGGTCTACAACACATGTCATCAGTTGGTCTACAACACATGTCAACAGTTGGTCTACATCACAGGTCAACAGTTGGTCTACAACACATGTCAACAGTTGGTCTACAACACTAGTCAACAGTTGGACTACAACACAGGTCATTAGTTGGTCTACAACACAGGTTATCAGTTGGTCTACAACACATGTCATCAGTTGGTCTACAACACATGTCAACAGTTGGTCTACATCACAGGTCAACAGTTGGTCTACAACACATGTCAACAGTTAGTCTACAACACAGGTCATCAGTTGGTCTACAACACAGGTCAACAGTTGGTCTACAACAAGTCAACAGTTGGTCTACAACACAGGTCATCAGTTGGTCTACAACACATGTCAACAGTTGGTCTACATCACAGGTCAACAGTTGGTCTACAACACATGTCAACAGTTAGTCTACAACACAGGTCATCAGTTGGTCTACAACACAGGTCAACAGTTGGTCTACAACAAGTCAACAGTTGGTCTACAACACAAGTCAACAGAGAGTGCAACAGACATCTGTGGTGTGGGGGTGAAGTAAATACAGTTTTACGCCATTGATAGCAACACTGCTTGCATCTAAACAATAATGGTAAAAAAAACCTGGTTGACAGCATGAGCAATGGCCGGTAATGAGGACTGTCATGTTCTTGCCTCTGAACCCATGGAAACCCGAACACCGCAGGAAGGACTAACTACTTGTAAGGTCAGCACAGTTTAATTACTTCAAATGCGTCCTATCATCATGGTGGTGTTTGCCGTTTGAAGCCAAGCACTGAGAGTAGGCAGACTACATACAACATACCCCTTACTATTTATAGTGTACACAACCACTACAAGGTCATACGTGCTAACTACCCAATCCTCATCGGTTCTCTCGCTACAAGGATGGAGGACTCAATGTACCTACTCTATGTACCTATGTACCTATGTACCTATGTACCTATGTACCTATGTACCTACTCTGCCCTGGAATCACACAGGGCAGTAGTACATCAAGTGCTGCTGCCTGCTGCACACCATCAGTTAATGAGGACTAACCTAGACAGGTTTTAGACATTTGCTCAACTGGATGGTGTGTTTAGGCTTTATCATCTGATAGTTGATAAGGACAGTCTACTGTTTGTTGTTTAATGCCGCACTTAGCAATAATCCATCTATATGATAGTGGTTTGTAAATAATCGAGTATGGACCAGACAATCCAGTGATTGACATCATGAGCACTGATCTACGCAATTGGGAAAGGTAAACATGCATCAACTACTCTCTGATTGAAACAGCCAATATAATGGTCACATCACCATGTAAGCTGATATTAATGGTCACATGACCGTGTAAGCTGATATTAATGGTAACATCACCATGTGAGCTGATATTAATGGTCACATCACAGTGCAAGCTGATATTAATGGTCACATCACTGTGTAAGATGATATAATGGTCACATCACAGTATAAGCTGATATTAATGGTCACATCACCATGTAAGATGATATAATGGTCACATCACCATGTAAGCTGATATTAATGGTCACATCACCATGTAAGATGACATAACGGTCACATCACCATGTAAGATGACATAACGGTCACATCACCATGTAAGATGATATTAATGGTCACATCACCATGTAAGATGATATAATGGTCACATCACCGTGTAAGCTGATATTAATGGCAAAATGCTTCTTTCTCAAATGGATCTTTTTTGACATTGTGAGTTAACAGGAGTGGTGTAAGGTTTAGAACTAACCCATTCAAGGTTTGAGTCAATTCTTGATGGCTGACTAATATTACTTGTTCACACAGCAGCTGTGTCACACACTTGCATTGCTTGTCATACATACCAGTAAAGTATATTGACAAAAAAAGAAAGAAAAATCGAACAATAGTTATCATTGTTAATAATTCTAAGAATACTACCTCTATTACATCTGTGCCATAAATCCTGTATTTTGGCTTGTCACACTAACAACATTTTCAGATTTTCCACAGACGTCCTCTTCACTGTCAATTAGTTGTTCCAGAATAGCACTAAAGCAACCCAAGCTATGACGTGCGTAATGGCGGGAAACCTCACTTCTTTCCTGTGTGTGCTAGAGTCAACACCTATTGTCATAGTTGTAATGATCTAGCACTTGGTTGAAGTCACATTTAATCTAAGATTGTTCTATAGTTTTCTTAAAACAGGTCGTAAGAAAGCTAGATAAATTCTCGCCATTTTTGCTTTAACATGATTAAATTTACTAGCCAATGCAAACACACAACACAGAAGAGGTTACCACCATCTTCTCTGTCACAATGACACTGACCTTGGAATCCAGTTTACTGAGGGGATCGGAACTGTTTGGCCACTTTGTTACTTCCAGTATGTTGTCAAAGTCTTCCTTGATGATGTCGTAGTTGTCCATGAAGTCGATGACCTCCCTGACCCCGTCCCCGCCTTGCTGCACCAGAGGGTGGGTCATCACGTGTCGGATCACAGGCAGGTAGTCCATGTTCAGACCCTTCAGGTCGCCCGAGATTCTGGGACAGACAATGTGAGAACTTGAACACACCACAGCCATAGATCAAGAAAACACACCATGTCACTATTAGTAAAGGACAGAGAGAAGATTTGAAGGTATCTGAACAGTGACTCATTGTATCATGGTGTGACATTATAAATTAATCCTTCCATTATAAACCACACCAACCAAACAGCCCTGTCCTGCAGCATTTTATTGCCTGGAGTATCTACAGTCCAAAGAGTTTCGGGGCTGTCAGGTAGCCTAGTGTTTAAAGCATTCACGCTTTCAATTCGCAACATGGCTACAATGTGTGAAGGCCATTTCTGGTGTCCCCTGCCATGATATTGCTAGAAGATTGTTAAACCATACTCACTCCTTACTGAACCACACTGTACACAGTCCTACCAAACATGTAAGCTTCATGTGAATCACATTGCTTGACATTTACAGGATACACAGATGCCTTGAATAGAGAAGAAATAATTCCGCAATGACTAGCCAACTGTCTCACATGTTTGAAGACATTTTGATTAAAATCTAATAATCAATTTATTGTAAAGTAATTTTGGATAAAGTACTACCTGATTGTACCCATAAATCACTTTGGTGCTGACAGATGTAAGTCGAGGTGAGGTGAGGTGAGGTGAGGTGAGGTGAGGTGAGGTGAGGTGAGGTGAGGTGAGGTGAGGTGAGGTGAGGTGAGGTGAGGTGAGGTGATTGATTGATTGTTGTTTATTGCCGCACTCAACAATATTCCAGCTATATGAAGGCGGTCTGTAAATAATCGAGTCAGGGCCAGACAATCCAGTGATGGACATCATGAGCATTGATCCACGCAATTGGTATTGATGACATGCTTCAACCAAGTCAGCAAGCCTGACCACCCGATTCTGTTAGTTGCCTTTTAAGTCAAGCATATGTTGCTGAAGAATACTTCCCCAGATCTTCATGGGTCGAGAGAGGTGAGGTGAGGTGAGGTGAGGTGAGGTGAGGTGAGGTGAGGTGAGGTGAGGTGAGGTGAGGTGAGGTGAGGTGAGGTGAGGTGAAGTGCATTCATGTTCGTGGCTGCTTGTACTAGTCCGGACTAATACTGGTTTAATACTGCTAGCCCACTGAGATACCATGTCACAGGTTAACATGGACACCCCACTCACAGTATACATACTCCAAGCCAACTAGTCCTTGTTTTGTCCCCTTAATGGCGACCGGTAGGTAGGGTAACAACAAGTACCATCTTCTAAAATATTTTGGTATGATGCGACAGGGGATCGAACCACAACCTTCCACTCTCCATGCTCTATCCACTAAACCACGAGGGGGGTCAGGTCATTATTGTAGTTTGATGTAGAAGACCTACTGGAGTCTCATGTGTGTGCGGAGCTCCTGCATGATGCGGTCAGTCTTGTTCCGGCTAGAGTTCTTGCCCAGCCACTGGGGGAACTGCACCATCTGGGGGAAGCTGCCCCGCATCACCTCCCCGGGGATCACACTGGAGAAGATGGCCTGCAACAAACAGCCATATTGTAGAACTTGAAAACATTGTAGCACCATTAGATATGGAGAAAATCACAAGGACATAGAGAAAATTTAAAGGACAAGGAGAAAATCACAAGGATAAGGAGAAAATCACAAGGATAAGGAGAAAATCACAAGGATAAGGAGAAAATCACAAGGATAAGGAGAAAATCACAAGGACAAGGAGAAAATCACAAGGACAAGGAGAAAATCACAAGGATAAGGAGAAAATCACAAGGACAAGGAGAAAATCACAAGGATAAGGAGAAAATCACAAGGATAAGGAGAAAATCACAAGGAGAGGTTTCATGTAAGTTTTTGAGTGACATTATTTTCATACTCTATCAAGGACTGCTTCTGAGGAAAAAGGCTTACAAATATGCTTCAAAAAGATTTTTGGGGGGGGTTATTTACATTGCCCTATTGATCAAAATGTAAATTCAGAGCCTCCCACAGACCTTACATGTACATATATATGCTCTCTGCCTCATGGCATTCATTCACCTGATGAAGGAGTAAGCATATACTCCAAAACGTTGTGTTCCTCATAATAAAGAAGTTTACATCCATATATTCTCTTCCTTAGTTTGCACACAGGATATTGTCTAATCTGTTTAGACAGACTACCTGTTCCTGTGCTATCTCTACTAAACATGACAGCTTGTAACTGTTGTTGAATATGTTGTGAATGTGTTGGCAACTCACCTGTGCAGGGAGCAGGTTCCAGTTTTGAGCAGATCTGATCTTTCTGTCCGCTAGATCCCCATCACAGATACTATCGGCTGCCCGTGCCAATGCTGACAGGTGTCTTGCTGTGTTGCCTCTGTGAACACAGGGAATCATCAGGCAAGTTTGTCACCACTGGGTAAATTCACACATGATTTAGGAGAATATACTATGACAGTTAGGATGTACTGATTTTCTGTCCTGAGTGAATGAAGTTTGTAATGCTCCTACTGTGTACCTGGCAGAGTATGGAATGACACTTGTCCCGAGTGAAAGCAGTGTGTAGTGTTCCTACTGTGTACCTGGCAGAGTATGGAATGACACTTGTCCTGAGTGAACGCAGTGTGTAGTGTTCCTACTGTATACCTGGCAGAGTATGGAATAACACTTGTCCCGAGTGAACACAGTGTGTAGTGTTCCTACTGTATACCTGGCAGAGTATGGAATGACACTTGTCCCGAGTGAATGCAGTGTGTAGTGTTCCTACTGTATACCTGGCAGAGTATGGAATGACACTTGTCCCGAGTGAACGCAGTGTGTAGTGTTCCTACTGTATACCTGGCAGAGTATGGAATGACACTTGTCCCGAGTGAATGCAGTGTGTAGTGTTCCTACTGTATACCTGGCAGAGTATGGAATGACACTTGTCCCGAGTGAACGCAGTGTGTAGTGTTCCTACTGTGTACCTGGCAGAGTATGGAATAACACTTGTCCCGAGTGAACACAGTGTGTAGTGTTCCTACTGTATACCTGGCAGAGTATGGAATGACACTTGTCCCGAGTGAATGCAGTGTGTAGTGTTCCTACTGTATACCTGGCAGAGTATGGAATGACACTTGTCCCGAGTGAACGCAGTGTGTAGTGTTCCTACTGTATACCTGGCAGAGTATGGAATGACACTTGTCCCGAGTGAATGCAGTGTGTAGTGTTCCTACTGTATACCTGGCAGAGTATGGAATGACACTTGTCCCGAGTGAATGCAGTGTGTAGTGTTCCTACTGTGTACCTGGCAGAGTATGGAATAACACTTGTCCCGAGTGAACACAGTGTGTAGTGTTCCTACTGTATACCTGGCAGAGTATGGAATGACACTTGTCCCGAGTGAATGCAGTGTGTAGTGTTCCTACTGTATAGCTGGCAGAGTATGGAATGACACTTGTCCCGAGTGAATGCAGTGTGTAGTGTTCCTACTGTGTACCTGGCAGAGTATGGAATAACACTTGTCCCGAGTGAACACAGTGTGTAGTGTTCCTACTGTATACCTGGCAGAGTATGGAATGACACTTGTCCCGAGTGAATGCAGTGTGTAGTGTTCCTACTGTATACCTGGCAGAGTATGGAATGACACTTGTCCCGAGTGAACGCAGTGTGTAGTGTTCCTACTGTATACCTGGCAGAGTATGGAATGACACTTGTCCCGAGTGAATGCAGTGTGTAGTGTTCCTACTGTGTACCTGGCAGAGTATGGAATAACACTTGTCCCGAGTGAACACAGTGTGTAGTGTTCCTACTGTATACCTGGCAGAGTATGGAATGACACTTGTCCCGAGTGAATGCAGTGTGTAGTGTTCCTACTGTATACCTGGCAGAGTATGGAATGACACTTGTCCCGAGTGAACGCAGTGTGTAGTGTTCCTACTGTGTACCTGGCAGAGTATGGAATGACACTTGTGTAGTTCTCCTGCACAAACAGTGGTGTGAAGGAGTAGTCGTTGAAGAACAAGTCTGACTTGTCGTGGATCGTCATCTTGGCAGTCTCCTCTCCACCCACAAACACCTTCCGACACACATCAAATGGACTCTGAAAAGAATAATGTGCAACATAAGATATACATGAACAGTCAGAAATATGAGAGCGTCTTACTGTATTTACGTCAAACTTGTATTAAGATTCATACCCTTTAATCCAAAGACATCATTAAACTGCTGGTCCCTTTGAAAAAGTGATGTGTACTCACCAGCTTGTAGTCCTTCTCCGCCTTCTTGGCATCATCTTTGGCTTGTTCATAGGTGAGTGTCTTGTTTGTGGCCGTCCACATACACAGGTTGTGGATCACCTAAAGGAGCAGTGAGTGAATGAGTGAGTGAGTGATTGAGTGAGTGAGTGGGAAGGTGAGTGAGTGAGTGAGTGAGTGAGTGAGTGAGTGAGTGAGTGAGTGAGTGAGTGAGTGAGTGAGTGAGTGAGTGAGTGAGTGAGTGAGTGAGTGAGTGAGTGAGTGGTGTTGTTTGTTGTTTAAGTTGCACTGAGCAATATTCCAGCTATATGACGGCAGTCTGTAAATAATCGAGTCTGGACCAGACAATCATGACTGACATCAGGAGCATCAATCCACGCAATTGGGATACGATGACATGCATCAACCAAGTCAGCGAGCCTGACCACCCGATCCTCTTAGTCGCCTCTTACGGCAGGCATGGGTTGCCGCAGACCTATTCTACCCCGGAAGTGAGTGAGTAAGTGAGTGAGTGAGTGATACTCTGTTCCATGATACGAGTATCATATCACGAGAATATATCAATACAAGACAATACAATCATATACAAGGGCGTCATGTAAACTTGTATAAAAATTAAATACTGGAATATTATTTTTGCAGGCATGTACAAGGGGATCAAAACTACATATCATCTTTTTGTTGTATTTATTTATTTTCATTCTCCAACGATGTAAGTTTCAAGTTTTCATGCCTTTCTTAATGCATTATTCTTTCTTATGCAGCATTGGTCATGTTTATGTGATGCCTGCACTTGATCAGCAAATAAACATAAGTGAAGAAACATAGGAACACAAGTTGAAAAGGCTAAAGTGCCTATCCCATGATGCTGGGGCTCACCTGTCGGACATCCTGATTGGCCCCCAAGATGATCTCGTTAAGAGCTGGTGGATCAATCTTCAACCCCTCTTTGTAGATCATAGACATCATAGCTCCCTGACAACAAACGTTACAGTGAGACACACGAAGAAGTTGCACATCTTCACCCTCTGTTACCATGGCTACAGTGAGACACACAAAGAACTTGCACATCTTCACCCTCTGTTACCATGGCAACAGTGAGACACACAAAGAACTTGCACATCTTCTCTTCTGTTACCATGGCTACAGTGAGACACACAAAGATCTTGCACATCTTCACTTCCGTTACCATGGCTACTAGGGCTGCAACGATACGGGAAGGTCACGATATGATACCTATCTCAATATTCTGGTCACGATACGATACCTATCTTGATACGCAACGATAAAAAAGAGTACTCCAGCATTTATTAAATTTCAAGGCTTCAAGCATGTCAGGCTTGGACCTTTCATGATTTTGGAACAGTCAAAATTATTTTATAATAACAAGACTACTTGTCAAGCTTCAAAGTGGAACTTCCTCTCACCCTCCGTCAAAACATGTCAAATTTCAAATAAGCAGGAAACTACAAAGTTCAAACACCAGAAAATAATCAATGCACTTCGCAGTGTGAATAGTTCAACTCCAGGTTCTTTTTCAGAAAAATTAAAATGTCAACATTGTCAGGGGACAGTGATACCCTCACTTAACGGAGGTGGAGTCGTAGGGGGTAGATGACCAACACCACCGTACATGTTCTGCCTACCTAAAACGATGTACGCTTCCGAGTTTGAAAAAGGATTAGAATAATAGTTGTTTATGATTCGTAGTGTAAAAAACATATATATCGAGTGATATGCGTTTTTAAAGCAAACACATCGTATCCCTTCAGCGAATTAAGGTGAATAAACAGGTATTACAAACCTGGTCTATAAAAATATGAAATTTGATATAAAACATCACCAGACACAATGATTTACCATTAACATTCTATTTCCTGCTCTCCAAGGCATTGTTTTATATGCAGAGATTAAGATTATCGTGTGTTTTGTCTCGTAAACTAAGCCGGAAATAGCAACCAGCTGTACACACGTTTTCTCCCAATCTACCAGTGATTCAGTTAATAAGTAGCCAGTGATAAAACTTCAAGAATTTGGATACAATGGTCGGAAGAAATTGTATCTGAAATTATTTCGCACTACATGTATTTCAATTGGGAAAGCGTTATGTTGACACACAATAATCAAGTTGCCACAAATATGTTTTTTGAAGAGTCAAGGTATGGCATTTATAATATATGTATCCATTCACTGGCAACTAAAGTTCGTTGCATCCTGCAATCTGACCATGGCTGCTGTAAATAACGGTTGTGAGATCTACTGATCACTTCACATACGATTTCGCCGAAATTAATGTAAACAATATTGAATGAAATTTTGAATGAAATTTTGAATAAAATTAATAAAATATATTACAAACAGTCCAGATATACAATGAACACGTTTTTTTATAACCAGATAGTATAATAATAGGATTGAATTGCGTACTTGAGTTCGGATTTATTGGCTGGCATTTCCGGTGTTCCCTGCTCGCGCTGATAATGTTTTTTTGTGATTGGGAAAAACATCCTGTCAGTGAAGAAACTTGATCTTATTAAGATGTAAGTACGTTTTGAGAGCCATGCGTTACCGCTCTCCATAACCGAGTTAGCGCTATATCAAAGGGTGCAATAGCCAGGGAACATTGTACTAAGATTTGCATTCCGTATTGTGGCGTATCGATAAATAGACCCACGTGTATCATGTATCGTATCGTTGGTCAAGTATCGCGATGCATCAGAATATCGGTGTATCGTTTCACCCTCAATGGCTACAGTGAGACACACAAAGAACTTGCACATCTTCACTTCCGTAACCATGGCTACAGTGAGACACACAAAGAACTTGCACATCTTCACTTCCGTTACCATGGCTACAGTGAGACACACAAAGAACTTGCACACCTTCACTTCTGTTACCATGGCTACAGTGAGACACACAAAGAACTTGCAAACCTTCACTTCCGTTACCATGGCTACAGTGAGACACACGAAGAACTTGCACACCTTCACTTCCGTTACCATGGCTACAGTGAGACACAGCATACCTTCACTTGCAATACCAGTTGCAATGATTAGAAAAGCCTCTTAGGGAGTGGAGACGTTTTGTGACATCTATCTAGCAGTTAATCTCAATTACCAAAAATTATTTCTCAATTTCACATATGGCACTAAAAACAATCACTAAACTGAAAATAGGTTCCAGACTATGCAACCTCCCTGCTTTATGTTTTTAGTTGAAAAAACTCCACTGAGTCTCTATATAATGTACTTATATTTATTACTTGCCCGTGAAGAGATCACCCGTTTAATAAACATACAGCTGTATTACACATTGTGTAATACCAAAACGCGTGCTTATGTACTCTCGGAACACATTTCTAGAACAAATATTGAAAGCTCTCAACATCCCTTGGCTTATTCAACGACATTGCGTGTGGAGTTGATAGATCACTGAGAGGAGCTTATGCACACTCGATGACCCCAGCCACCTTGTTTCTAGGCTGACGTCACATGGCATTGTTACGCCGATGGATCTTGCAACAAAATTCCACAATTTACGTCATCGGGACGTTTTTGTAAACTTTGAGGGGCAAGGCCCGTTCCACAAGGCGAACATATTGTAGCGCAACGACAGTCGTTAGTCTGTTAAAGTATTGAGTTGCGATAGTCTTAGCCCTACGATAATTTTGTGAATTCTAAAGGTGGACCGTTGTATGGTATTAAATTCATACGTTTCAACTTTGGACATGTTTGAAGTATTATTCTGTTAAACTCAATTGGACTATGCCGTGGATCGTGTAGGTGTCTGCATATTCATACTCAACAGCATAATTCTAAAAACGTTATAAATGGCAAGTAATAAATAAAATACTAAACTCGCTCCTGTGTAAAACCAATTTGATGAAACTCGTGAATAGTTGTGGTATCTGACTCGCTTTCGCTTGTCAGATACCACAACTATTCACTCGTTACATAAAATTGGAATTACACGGGAGCTCGTTTAGTATTCTATATTTAGCAGTAGCACACACTCAACAGGTAAAAATAACCCACCGATGAAAATATATAGAACATGTCAGCAACCAAGTAAGTTCTATCACTATTCCACATTATCTCAATCATTCATCCTCAGATAAATCATAAGGCACTGTCAATCATTATGTCCATTCTCCAAGGTTACACAGACCTTAATCTGCTCCACCCTGGGCTTATAGAAGCGGAGGTCAAAGCAGTAGTTGGACAGCGTGCGCATCTTCTGGTGGTTGCGGTCATTACAGATACAGATGACCGGGATCTTCGTCTGTTTGATCAGCTGCACCAGTTCCTGTAACAAAACACTTTGTCAACAGTTTCGAAGTCACGGTTACCCGTGTATTCATTTCCTGAAAAGCATGGTATCAGTCAGACAGCATACAAAAACTATTCCAACTGCAAATGTACATAAATGATTTACAAAACCAGAACAGGGAAGAACATACCTTCAAGCAAGAGACAAAGGTGTGTGTGGGCTGGGTTACTTATGTCGGCAACAACACAGTCTACAATGAGTCAGCCAGTGGGTTGGGTTCTACTCCACTTCGAATAGTCCAGTGGAACCCACTTATCTGACACTTGCGTTTTACAAGAAATCATTTGGAGAAACAAATCTGGATATCTCAATCACTTAGACTTTAGGCATCCTCCTTATTGCAGTAAAACATATGAATAAGCTGGGATGTATCTGTATCTGCTCAGAGGCCGATATTTGACCCCAAGTCAGCAACAAATAACAGTATAAAATCCCAATTTGAATTAAAAATTTCTAATTCCTTAGATTTTATGAAAATAAGAACATTGAAAAAAAAATGTATATAATTAGGAATAGTATGATTTTTCCCCAATTTGCCTTTGCCTAAGGACGCTTAGATTGGAATCCTTGATAAATTTCTGATAAGAAATAATCTGCCTTAGTGAGCAACCAATCACAGAGGAGACTGGAGGTCATCCACATCTTTGTGTTGTTTCGAAAGCGGCATACACTTCTGGATGAAAGTAAAACTTCACTAAATTCCTAATTGACACTTATTGCCGAATTATAATTGGATTACCAGCCGATCTATCATTCCAGAGGGCATCTTAATGCACTGTGATATAATCCTACCTGACATGGCTGCCACACGATGACCTACTTCACAGCATTTTATATAGTAAACATTTTGCTTTTGATAAAAGTTGCCCCATGGGTAGGATTAGTGCATGGGAAAGATCTGGACAAGTGTGGTGCCACTGTATTTCAGTCATGTGACAGGAGAGTTAGCTTAATGTGGGAGGGAAGCCTGAAGAAATGCTTTTTCAGAGGGTTCTAACTTTGGTGAAATTCATTAGCACAGGTATAGTGCTGATAACCCTAGAAATATAATCAGGGCAAAATTGAATATCAATTCCAGGAAGCCTAAGGAACAGAGCAAATTGTGGCGTCTTGGGACGACCGAGCCATCCATGCCTCCAGCTCCATCAAAGTGGCTGTAGAGTAGACCTGGTCCAATTCCACAAAGTGATCTTAATGCTCAGTCAATCATAGTCATAGTCATAGTGCTAAGATGGCTTTGTGGAACTGGAGCGCGAGTGACTTTGGGAGCAATGATAAACATGTATGACACACACAAGCCATGTCACAACTGTGCATTGCTCTTTTTCATCCAAGAACTAGGCATACTAAACAGCTATTTTAACCATCCATTCCCATATAGTCTGCTCCTACATGCAATTAGTACTGAAGATCTATTCTCATAAAATGTAAAAGAATCCCCACAGGCAGCCCTAGAGTGTGAGAATGGCCCCTCATTGCTTTTGATATCTTATTACAGAGAGACTACTTTCACACAGCAGACTGCTGTTACTGCTTGTACCGTGTGGTCATTCTGACCCAACTGACCTGGATGCCGCCCCGGTCCTGGTTGCCGGCCATGCCGTCCACCTCGTCCATGATGATACAGTGCTTGTGGCCACCTGTTTCAGCCTTGGACGGACCTGAATACGAAGGTATTGACAACTGTAGAGAACACCGAATGTAGACACAATAGACTCACTTGAGATGCTTTGGTTTCAGATTTCCTTACAACTCTGTAAGTGAGTAGTTATGCTCAGCTTTTAGCAGTATTCCAGCACTATCACAGCTGGGATACTCACAAGGGTCTCACACAGTGCAGCCAGGTCTTCACAAACAAACCGGTATAATGTTAGCATTGAATTATTAAAAAAATATTCAGCTATGGAATCTTAATCTGTTTCTTCAATAATTAACCGTATCACACGACTTCGAAAATATTTGTAGATGTCATCCTGATAACACTTTCTGAACAGAAAAATTTCTTGTTTGAATATCTTAACCTTAGTCCACTGCACCTGGATGTAGATCTGTTATGTGCTAATGCGACCTGGTTTTGAAACTGTTATCACCTATAATGACCTGGATCTGGAATGACCTAATACGACCTGGATGTGGAACTGTTATGTCCTAACATGACCTGGATGTGGATCTGTAATGTCCTAACATGACCTGGATCTGTTATGTCCTAACATGACACTCGAAGTAGATCTGTTATGTCCTAACATGTCCTGGATGTGGATCTGTTATGTCCTAACATGACCTGGAGGTGGATCTGTTATGTCCAAACATGACCTGGATGTGGATCTGTTATGTCCTAACATGACCTGGATGTGGATCTGTTATGTCCTAATATGACACTCGAAGTAGATCTGTTATGTCCTAACATGACACTCAAAGTGGATCTGTTATGTCCTAACATGTCCTGGATGTGGATCTGTTATGTCCTAACATGACCTGGAGGTAGATCTGTTATGTCCAAACATGACCTGGATGTGGATCTGTTATGTCCTAACATGTCCTGGATGTGGATCTGTTATGTCCTAACATGACCTGGAGGTAGATCTGTTATGTCCAAACATGACCTGGATGTGGATCTGTTATGTCCTAACATGACCTCGATGTGGATCTGTTATGTCCTAATATGACCTGGAAGTGGATCTGTTATGTCCTAACATGACCTGGATGTGGAACTGCTATGACCTGGATCTGCTATGACCTGGATCAGTTATGACCTAACATGACCTGGATCAGTTATTACCTACTATGACCTAGATCAGTTATTACCTACTATGACCTAGATCAGTTATTACCTACTATGACCTAGATCAGTTATTACCTACTATGCCCTGGATGTGGAACTGCCATGACATGTATGACCTGGGTGTGGAACTGCCATGACATGTATGACAGTACTATGTTGAGGTACTAGTCTTTCACCTACCCATGAAGTCCACCAGTGTTGTGTTGTTCAGTGCCTCTGCCACGAATTCCTTCAAGCTTTTCTTTGACCGTGTGTCTGATGCGTTCAGCTCGATGTAGGAGAACCCAAGTTCCTGAAAAAGGGCTACACCTACACATTGGACATATGTACATGTCAACTGTGATAGAAGCAAACTAAAAGGAATACAAAGCCAAAATGTTATGGGTGATGTAGCTGACATGAGGCTTAGGCTTAAAAAAAGAAGAAAAGAATTGGTTCTCAGACAATGGCTTTGAAAATATAGTGCAGGCGGGCAGTGTTTTGTTGGTTTTTGTTGTCGAAGTAGTATGTAACCAAATAAACAGTTGTGTACAATCAACCTAGGAAAGGGCCTCCCTACATAAATGTATTCCTCGAAGAGTAAAATACTGAAATACAGTATTTGACTACCGTTGGACTACCAGTATGTGCATAATACAAGCATACAACAAGCTTTAATTTTATTTCACAATATGGAGATGTTATTGTGAGCATACAACACTGGAAGAAGTGTGTCAATAAATCTTTACCGAAGTACACAAGTTGAAGTTAGTCCTGTTATTTCACTATCTGGCTATTAAAGTGTTCATTATGTATCTGGACTTACGGTTTTAATCCATTGAATTACTTTTCCCCAAGAATTCATTCAATTTTGTTTACATTAATTTTGGTGAAATCACATCAAATCACATCAACTCACCATGAACTCACCTTGAAACAAACATTAGTCATAAGAGATACATAGATACATACGAGACAAATACACATGTAATCTTAATCTCTGCGTATGAAATATTATCCGGCGTACAGTACACAAATATCACAAAATTTGTAAATCATCGTGTCTAGTGATGTTTTATTGTAAATAACATGTTTTCATTGACCAGATTTGCAAACGGTAAAACAAGCACACAAACTCCTATTGTCGCCATGACCGTAACATGATATACACCGTAGAGCAGTGTGCATGTAAAGGGAAGTAACTGCACGCTACATTGGTTCACATTATTTTTAAGTATTGTAGCATTTCACTGCCTGGGTCGTGTGTTCGATGCTGAATATTTAAGGATTTTAATATTTTTTTTTGAAAATGGAAATTATTAACGAAAAGTGATATTGAGGGCGGTGCCTGAGAACCAAGACTATTTTTTTTTAAGCCTCTCATGCAAATGTTTTGTCACACACAGCAACATGCAGGTATACCCAAACACAAAGTTGTTCCCTTTACAGAAGCCGAAAATGTTGTTAATTGACAAATGCATTCATAAAGAGTGACTCCCTATTAATGAAGCTTCAACCTAACCTCAAACCATGAATGACCATAATCACTTGCAGTTTCAGCTTTCTGAGCAAAGAGGTTCCTGAGACTTAGATGTCTAAATTCAATTCCATATTCAATTATTGTAGAAAAAACATTCAACAATCATTCTGATATGTAGGCCAAGTCCATTAGTGTTAGAAAAACTACTACCTTTCAACTAATTCATCAAGTTTAGGAGAAAAATAGTGTCTTTGGCCAGGTTGGATAAAGCATAGGTATTGGTGATGCTGTCTTGCGGCAGCGGCGAACTCACCTGACATACAAGTGTTGCCGTTGTGGTCTTCCCAACACCTGGTGGCCCAGAGAGAAGAGCTGCCCTCGAACCAGATCCATCATCCTTCCCAAAGAATTTACCTGGAACGAGACAAGTTTTGAGGTGAGTTTTAAATCTTGAGGTCACTGCACCCTGATTTGAGGACAGAATGACTGAATGGTGTCCTACACTGTAGTTAGTCTTCATGGTAATGTTTAAGTCATAGACTGACACCTGTCAATTTCAAATATTCCACCTACATCATGTCAGACTGAACAGGACAATAACAACCCACAGTTAATATCCTGCAAGGTGACTGTGAGTTGGCATGAACTCTTCCATGTACAAACCATGAGCAGACATTGTGTACACCCAATCCCCTAAAACATCAAACTGGTGTAATCCCTTGTCTGCCATTGCTTGAGGAATCTGACCACAAACGGGATATTGCTGCATCATATTTTCTATTCTTATCATGGCAATGTCACAAGTGAAAGTAATCAAAACTTGAAAAATGAGCCAAACAGAATTGTTTAGAATGAAATGGTTGTATTATCACATACAAATATCACAACAGTGTTAGAAATTCAGGGCAATTCATGGGTAATTGTTTTTGTTGTTATAGTATTTCAATCTGGAGGCCCCCTAAATCTTAAACTTTTAACACTGAAGGCACGAAAAGGACCCTTGACTGTCATGGTTATTTTTGTTCACTGTCACACGATTGCTTTGTTAGAAACTCCTTCATGAGCCTTGAGTAAGTAAATAGCAAGAAGAGTGCAGGCTGTTTCAGGCCACTGTAAGTAATATCACAACTATATAATGGCGGTCCGGCAAACATCAATGACTGTAGTCACCTTGTGGCTTGGTTCCGATGGCTCTGTTATGATGCCACTGCCGCAGCCAACCGAGAAGCTTCTTGGCATTGCTCTTGTCTCCTTGTTGACCAATGACCTGCTTGATATTGGTTGGTTTGTATTTGTCCACCCACAGTAACGACTCTCCCGACTGGTCAGATTTGGACTTGGATGGTGATGGTTTTGAGGATTTTTTGCCAGTTTCTTCTGAAAGTTTTGCTTTTTTATGTGGAACATTGTTGTTTTCTTCTGATTTTCTTTTTTCCAATTTTTGTTTCTCAATTTTTTCCTGCAATAACAGAGCACACTAAAATTAACATTCAACTTACACAATGCAGGAAGTGTACAAGAATAGTTAACAAAAGCAAACACGTTACACATGGTCAGATACTGGGGACGTGCGGCATGTAGGAAGTGAATGTTGTTTTTTTGCCACATATTCCCATAATTCCACAGCAGCTTGAGTATACCTGAGCATGGGCCTGGTCATCTAGTGGTGCAACACGAGTAACCAGATACACTGTTGGAGGAAGATGACAAACAATCCCCCTGGTCACACATAATGATCACTAGATCTCATTTTATTGATCTGATTTTATGGGGAATTTATTCTGCTTCCCCAAACCCTTAGACGTACATCAAATGAATGTGAACCATTGGCGCTGAAGGTTTCACTCACATGTAGCAAGCAGTGCTTCAGATGAGTTTCCAAAAGTGTCCTAAAGATTTTCTTCAAAGTTTGTAATAATGTCGAAACAAAATGCCAAAATCATAGAAATGTTGTAATGACATTTGTCTCCATCAAAAGGACGGAGTGAGAGACAACTCTAACCTTCTTGGCATCTTCTTCAGCTTTCACCAGGTACTTTGACTTCTTTCCCGGCCTCGTACGAACCAGTTCCAGGAGGCCATCCTCGTCAAGCTGATGTGTCTTGAACTGATTTGCCTGCATCAATGTATGGAAAGGTCATGGTGTGGGTGAATGTCAAGTGGATTCTGTACTAACTGTTTGACACTAAAAGTTCAATAATATATTAATAATATATATAATAATATATACAATTTGTTGTCTGGTATTCAAGATTTGTTTTAATATCACAATCACCTTGTTAAGTTTGCTTTCTCCAGCATCCCTCCCAACTATGATGTAGTTGGTTTTCTTGCTTAGTGAGCCAGTGACCTTGCCGCCATACTTCTCTACAAGACTCTTGGCATCCTCCCGTTCCAGCGACTCCAGCACCCCGGTAATGACAAATGTCAGCCCCTCCAGGCAGTTATCAGCTCCCTGGGGAACATTCACAGAGAAAATCATAGAGACCCAACTGGCTTCACAGGCTTCATGCAGATTCAACAACTCTTGAAAACAACAAGGCATGTAAGGTTGAAATTCAACCTAGATGAAACAATTTTAACATCTCAGCATGGTAACATATTTCCTCTTGTAGCAGCTCATTTCTTCCACAAGTACATCAACCTTCTCCATGGCACTAGAATCGCCTTCCCAAAGAAGCAGCATGGTACTAGTCCTGCCCCACCCAAACATGGGTATTTGTTCGTTCCCACCCAATAATTGACATGATACTAGTCTGATATATGTCAGAATATACCTGTTAGTAATCCTGTCCTTTCCTGCCAATATGCCTAGTACTAATCATGCCCCACCCCAAGAATATGTGATGTACTAATCCCGCCCCATCTGCCCCAGGAATATGTGGGGTACTAATCCTGCACCGCCCAAGGAATATGCTAGGTGCGAATTCTGTCCCAGCCCTGCCTTACCTCTGGGATGTCCTTGGAGCCAAGGGCTGTAGGACCTTCTCGGTGGAGATATGCCCTGTAGCTTGCTCGGTTCACCAGCTTGGGAGTCCCTTCCTGAAACCAAACCAAGATCATGTCAGTGTCTCTACAGGCTCTCTCCACATACACCTGCAAACATCCATATGCATTTCTTGTGGGATTGTGCTCATAACTGTGTCAAATACCCCACTACAAATACAACCTTGGCAGTTGCTGGACTTCCGGAGATAGGCAATCATGACTAACTTTTATCAAAATCCATGTAAATTTCCTAGGTGGTATGAAACTGAGTGAGGTATTGACTGTCTGGCAAGTATGGTCAGGCTCTCACCTTGGGGCTGGTGGTAGACTTGGGAGAAGTCTTCAAGGGACTAGATGACGAGGGAGATGTTTTCCTGCTTTCTGATTTCACTGGGGACTTGTTTGGAGTGATGACCATGTTGCTCCTGACTGGTGACCTCTTGGGTGATGGCTTCTTGAGTGGAGAAGTCTAGATGAGTGGAGAAACATCGGAATGTAACTCTAGTGTTTGAAGCCACATGGCCAATAGGGGATGACACTGCTTGTTCATGGTGTGTTAACCACAGGACAACCAAACAGAGGGACCCATGAAGCCCTCGGTCATGATTGGTCTTCAGCAACCCATGCTTGCCGTAAAAGGCGGCTTTGCTTGTAGTAAGAGGCGACTAACGGGATCGGGTGGTTAGGCTTGCTGACTGGGCTGATGCATGTCATCGTATCCCAATTGTGAGGATCGATACTCATGATATCTATCACTTGACTGGCTGGTCCAGACTCGATTATTTACAGATAGCCGCCGTACAGCTGGAATATTGCTCAGTGCGCCGTTAAACAACAAACAAACTTGTAATATTTGGGAGCCGCTGTTGGATTTGCGGGAATGTTGATGTTTTACATAGCACTCAAAATCTTGTACTGATATCAGTGATGACAGTAACTCCAATAATAACAGATTTATTGATAAAGGAATGTCTTCAACAGAACTGCAAGAATCAAAACTTAGGAAAAGAAATCGGGAATGCCACCAAACGTATTATTAACCATCAATGGCAAGGCGTGACGTGGCGTGGCAAGTCTGGATTGGTCAGTGAAGCGTTAAACAACAAACAAATCAACCAAACAGAGGATCACAATCACCAGTGTCAGAACTGACGAAATGAGATCCTTCTGATACAATTCACAACACCAACACTTATCATCTGTTCACCATTTGACCAATGGGTACAGTGCACGTGAACGAATGTTGTTTTATGCTGCAGTCAGAAATATTCCACCTACATCACAGCAGCCTCTAAATGGGTCCTGACCAGGAGAAACAGTAACTGATAGCATGAGCAACAATCCATGTTATCGGTGTATCATGACACACACGGTGTAACAGCTAGGTCATGCATTGCAAACACCCAATCCTCATCAATCTTACTCCAAGCATTCACTAAACGTGACATATACGGCCCCAAATCAAACAACAAGAAACAGTGCTACAGCAATGTTATCAATTGATAAATAGGTCATCTGAACAGTTTGAAAAACAAAGGCATACACTAAACAAAAATTCAAAACGTCTGGATGCCGGACAGAAAAGAACATGAAATAGTCATATTTGAGTATCAGTCATTATTGATAAAAATCAATAAAAAACAATATTTCTAGCAACTTCTGTTAATATTCTAAACAAAGCATACAGTAGCTAAAGTACTTATAATATTTTCTTCACATTTAATACAAAGGTCTTTCATTAAATGCAATGCCTTATCTATCAACAGTCCTACCTTTCCACTTTTCGGTGTGTCAGGCACAATAACAGTAGATTTTTTACTGTTTTTTTCTGGAGTGTCTTCCACCAAGGTCTTCATACGATTTGACAGCTTGCTTGACAGACTCCTGTCTCCTGTACAACATGAAGAAGGAATACAATAAAGGGGCCATGGACTAAAGATTACACAATGAAGGTGGATTTGTGGAATTTTCAATTCTTTATAGAAGCACCTTTTTAGCTCAAGTCTGCTCAAGAGCTATTTAGGCTGCTCTGGTCTTTATCCATGATAACTAATCAAACAGGCCTTTGAGGTGACAAGCACTGACTGGGGACCTATTCTACTCAGATTCCCTGCAAGGAGACAACCACTGACTGGGGACCTATTCTACTCAGATCCCTGCCAGGAGACAGACATGGGACACTGGGGACCTTTTCTCCTCAGATCCCTGCCAGGAGACAACCACTGGGGACCTATTCTACTCAGATTCCCTGCAAGGAGACAACCACTGACTGGGGACCTATTCTACTCAGAATCCCTGCCAGGAGACAACCACTGGGGACCTATTCTACTCAGAATCCCTGCAAGGAGACAGACATGGGACACTGGGGACCTTTTCTCCTCAGATCCCTGCCAGGAGACAACCACTGGGGACCTATTCTACTCAGAATCCCTGCCAGGAGACAACCACTGGGGACCTATTCTACTCAGATTCCCTGCAAGGAGACAACCACTGGGGACCTATTCTACTCAGATCCCTGCAAGGAGACAACCACTGGGGACCTATTCTACTCAGATTCCCTGCAAGGAGACAACCACTGGGGACCTATTCTACTCAGAACCCCTGCAAGGAGACAAGCACAGGGGACCTATTCTACTCAGATTCCCTGCAAGGAGACAACCACTGGGGACCTATTCTACTCAGATCCCTGCAAGGAGACAACCACTGGGGACCTATTCTACTCAGATTCCCTGCAAGGAGACAACCACTGGGGACCTATTCTACTCAGAACCCCTGCAAGGAGACAAGCACAGGGGACCTATTCTACTCAGATTCCCTGCAAGGAGACAACCACTGGGGACCTATTCTACTCAGATCCCTGCCAGGAGACAACCACTGGGGACCTATTCTACTCAGATCCCTGCCAGGAGACAACCACTGGGGACCTATTCTACTCAGATTCCCTGCAAGGAGACAACCACTGGGGACCTATTCTACTCAGAACCCCTGCAAGGAGACAAGCACAGGGGACCTATTCTACTCAGAATCCCTGCAGGGAGACAAGCATGGGACACAGGGGACCTATTCTACTCAGATTCCCTACAAGGAGACAAGCATGGGGCACTGGGGACCTATTCTACTCAGATCCCTGCCAGGAGACAACCACTGGGGACCTATTCTACTCAGATTCCCTGCAAGGAGACAACCACTGGGGACCTATTCTACTCAGAACCCCTGCAAGGAGACAAGCACAGGGGACCTATTCTACTCAGAATCCCTGCAGGGAGACAAGCATGGGACACAGGGGACCTATTCTACTCAGAATCCCTGCCAAGAGACAACCACTGGGGACCTATTCTACTCAGATCCCTGCAAGGAGACAAGCACAGGGGACCTATTCTACTCAGAAACCCTGCCGGGAGACAAGCATAGGGGACCTATTCTACTCAGAATCCCTGCAAGGAGACAAGCATGGGACACAGGGGACCTATTCTACTCAGAATCCCTGCAAGGAGACAAGCACAGGGGACCTATTCTACTCAGAATCCCTGCCAGGAGACAACCACTGGGGACCTATTCTACTCAGATTCCCTGCAAGGAGACAACCACTGGGGACCTATTCTACTCAGAACCCCTGCAAGAAGACAACCACTGGGGACCTATTCTACTCAGATCCCTGCAAGGAGACAAGCGCAGGGGACCTATTCTACTCAGAATCCCTGCAGGGAGACAAGCATAGGGGACCTATTCTACTCAGAATCCCTGCAAGGAGACAAGCATGGGACACAGGGTACCTATTCTACTCAGAATCCCTGCAGGGAGACAAGCATGGGACAATGGGGACCTATTCTACTCAGAATCCCTGCAAGGAGACAAGCACAGGGGACCTATTCTACTCAGATTCCCTGCAAGGAGACAAGCACAGGGGACCTATTCTACTCAGAATCCCCACAAGGAGACAAGCATGGGACACAGGGGACCTATTCTACTCAGATTCCCTGCAAGGTGACAACCACTGGGGACCTATTCTACTCAGAATCCCCACAAGGAGACAAGCATGGGACACAGGGGACCTATTCTACTCAGATTCCCTGTAAGAGACCAGCATTGGGCAATGGAATCTATCGTAACTTCATTAAGGTCCAACTGTCCATAATGTGGTGTAACATATAAAGAATGGATATGAGTTAGGTAGGAAACTGTCTCACCTTCTCCATTTACTTTACCTGGCGACTCTTTCTTCACCTAGGACAAAAAAAGAAGAAGAAAAAGTGTTAAGAATGAATTTGTAATTTGATCTTTACATTTTTGTTATAAGTCAGAAACATCCCCACAAACAAAGTACACCATTACTGCACTATTTGAAACATAAGATTGAGAGCAATGGTGTAGCCTTAATTGATTATTCTGACTACTTCATAACTTATTCTCATGTCGAGAAGTATTGACAGTCAAAATTCGAACTACCAACATGAACTCACTAATACCAAGCTCAGCAACAATCAGAACCTCGGAACAGTGGGGGGCGGTCGGGTAGCCTAGTGCTTAAAGCGTTCGCTCATCACGCCGGAGACCCGGGTTCGATTCCCGACATGGGTACAATGTGTGAAGCCCATTTCTGGTGTCCCCCGCCTTGATATTGCTGGAATATTGCTAAAAGCGGCGTAAAGCCATACTCACTCACTCACTCACTCACTCGGAACAGTGGACATATTAAACACGACATCATGATAATCTTGTAAGGAAATCTATATTTGGGGAAGGTAAAATTACCCAGCATAGTATAGTGACACCCTGTTAATGTACCCTGTGTCCAGCAGAACCATCTTGATAAGGCCAAATCTTGCTCTCTTTTATTTGCCATTTTATAACCCACAAAGAATGCATTAAATCAGCCATTATTTAACGCTATAGACAGTGTCTTTTTTTTATTACTTTCGTATTTTTTCATTTAATTTATTCATTTTTTATGCTCCATCGGTCAAATCCTTAAAACTTAAAAAGTGTCTGCTAAAGGCTATTTTTTTAATGTGTGCTAACAAAATTAACAATGTCCAATAAATAAGGAAACTGATACATGTACATTACAAATGAAAACCTATCAATCTCCATTTGGCGACAAAGAAAACCACTAGAAGCCACTGACAGGAGACACCAGCCAACCATGAACCGTGACCAGGGAACCTATCTGCCCAGTGCTTGGGACTTATTGCTTTGATTATTGTTTGTGCTGATTGTCCAGCTGCCTAAAATTTGTCCATTGCCATTTTCATTGCTGAAATGACCTGTCAGTGCTAATTACCCCCTGCCCATTGCCAATTACCAATCAGTGATAATTTAAGTTCTTCTATCACCTATCAGTGGTAATTAACTGCTATATGTTTATTTCCATTTGTCCATTGCTAATCACCTATCAACACCAATTAACTGTTGGCTTCCCTCGTTAAGTTTCCACTATTATTATCTTATTACTTTTGTTGTTCTTACAGGTGCATATATATGCTCTCTGCTTCATAGCATTTATTCACCTGATGAAGTAAGTATTTACTCTGAAACATTTTGTTCCTCATAAAGTCCTAATAAAGAAGTTGACATCCATGAATTCTCTTCCTTCTGTGTATCGATCACTTCTAAATGCCATTCAAAGACCTAATCGCCAACAGTATATTCACAAGTAAACTTAACCATCAAATCAATAGCAAATCAATCACTCAAGCTGACATCACCCTGAAACAGACAATACTGCCATGGCTATCTTCAACAGATCTATATTTAGCACTCCTGCTGTACAGTATGCAAGTCCAACATTGACCTGTCTTCCTAGGCTAACATTCAGTCTCTGAGTGAGTGAGTGAGTATGGTTTTACGCTGCTTTTAGCAATATTCCAGCAATATCACGGCAGGGGACACCAGAAATGGGCTTCACACATTGTACACCCATGTCGGGAATCGAACCCGGGTCTTCGGCGTGACAAGCTAACGCTTTAACCACTAGGCTACCTGACCTCCCCCTTTAGTCTCTGAAATCTTATATTAAACCATATCCTTCTTGACTCTAAAAATAAAAAAACATTCCCTATGCTGTTTTCAGAGCCAGCTAGAGCTGGCTAGACTTGCTTTTGTATGTGTTTCTAGATTATTTTTTTCTCCATAAAATACATATATTCCACGGTCATCGTGCAGGACTACTGTCTTCCTTCAGGCAGGCATAGCCTTGTGGGTATCTACAAGGCTACTTCCTCCTGCTGAACCTTTCAAACACATTGAAACTGCCACTGTCCTGTCTTTTCTTACATCGATCTAAAATTAAACGTATTCCCTGATTTTTAGTATCAATACTTGTTTTTTCACATGATCATGAAGTTACTGTCCCACTGCAGAATCAAGGCTTCAAGTCTTTAATTTGTGGAAAACGTTTTTTTAAACTTTAATCATCAACATAGACATAACAATTTCTTAAGTAGTCAAAATATTGAAACATGATCTTCCAAAATTTATTTCAAATATATGTTCAGTTTGAAAAAGAATGTTTTGGGGAAATCCAAATTTTGTAGTTCTACATTCGGGGATAAAAATTTTCAAGCCCTTGATAATGATGATCTGTGATGTACTGGTACCTGTGAAGTAGTGGTGTAATGACAGATCCAACTATCAATGCATCGCATGGTCCAATGGCAATACACAGTTAAATATCGTCAGTTAGTGTAGATGCCACCCTATGCTATCGATAGCATTGATAGAAAATAAAATAATACAAACATTCCTAATAAATTATTTTCCTATTATATTGACCCAAATAACACCTTGCTTGTCAAGACACATACTGACATAGGTCTCCTTACAGACAACTTTTCAAGACAACAACACCAATGTATAGTGATACTGAACAATGAGCTCCATACCACAAAGCCAAAAATGTTGACCACTACCAGTGTCTAAATATCTGACGGGCAGACAAAGTGGTAGTTTTACAGATTTTCGGCCCAAAACTTCAGGTCAGTGGGTCAAGAAAAAGAAGAAGAAAAAACCATGAAAAAACCATACAATTTAAAGAAATTGAAAATGTGCAGCAGGTATTAAGTATAGTATTTTAAATAATTTATTTATATTGATGGAGACAGTAAATGAGGATTTTTCAACACTTAAATGCTTTTTGAATTTTTTTCACATTTCCATTTTTTGGAGTTGTGGGATTCATAAACCAAGTTTAAGAAGAAAAAAAGTCAAACCTTATTCCTAAATATTAACCTGAGAAATTTAATAGCCCAGATAGTCATAACATAATATAAGAATATCCATGAACATGACATTACTGTCCCACTGCAAGATTCCAGCGTTCAACCATGTCAACATGATCAAGTCTTGTAATCATGGGAAAAGTTATAATCATGAGAAAGTCCTCTATCAATGGAAAAAGTTTTAATCATGAGAAAGTCCTCTATCAATGGAAAAAGTTTTAATCATGAACAAGTCTTGTATCCATGGAAATAGTTGTCATCCTGATCATGGGCAGGCATAACAATTTCTTAAAAAAGTCAAAGATTAAAACTTGATCTTCCGAAAGTTATAAAAAAAAAAATGAAAATGAATTCTCTTTAGGAAGAGAAACTTGGTAGTTTAATATTTGAGAATAAAACTCATTAACCACATCACGAGTGTTATGTGTTTTTGGTGATACTCTGGTGCCTGAGATCTACAGGCAAAACAATTGATGCATTGCATGGTACAATGGTTTACATATACATGTAATAAGCATCAGTAGCTAACATTGATACAACCTTAAGATATCCACCAACTATTTTATCCTAATCACCTTGCTTAAAAATACACATGGATTACCAATTCAGATGACATTCATCAAATCAATCAATCAAGCTCACATCACACTGAAACAGACTATAGTGCTTGGGCTACAATCTATATTTAGTATCGACCACTCCACAGTATATATATCTAACATTGAGCTTTTCTGTTCCAGGCAGGCGTAGCCGTGTGGGTACTTTGTTCAAATGAACCGTTCACAGACACTGAAACCTTTGTCATTTCCCCTTGGGGAGATGTAGAACCCACTGGCGCTGTCCTGCCTTGTTTTGGCAGACTTGGTATAGACAGGGTATGTATGGAAGCGAAACACTTTCAAGAATATAATGGTTTTTGGTGTTTCTAAGAAATAGTTGTGTGATATTGTTTCCCTCGCTAGTTTCGGGGTTCAAGTCTCATAAGATGGGAAAGGTTTTTTTTGTTCTTCTTTGGAGGATGAGGTAGCATAACCATTTGGGGTCAGACCAGAGTCAAAGTCAAACTTGTTGCCGTAGAAATGGGAAATTAATAAAATTCTAGAATACAGTATGACTTGTCTTGACCTGTCTTGCTTGAGGCAGAAGTAGCCTTGAGGGTGCTGGTTCCCAAGAACCTTTCAAACACATTGAAACTGTTGTCATTTCCCCTCGGGAGAAGTAGAACCCACTGGCACTGTCCTGTCTTTTCTTAAATCCATCCAAATTAAACATATTCACTGATTTTTAATGTTATTACCATTTTTTTCACATGATCATGAAGTAACTGTCCCACTGCAGAATCTAGGGTTCAAGTCTTTTATTCGTGGAAAAAGTGTTTTTAAACTTCAATCATCAACATAAACATAACAATTTCTTAATCTTGATCTTCCAAATTTTTTTCTCAAATATATGTTCAGTTTGAAAAAGAATGTTTTGGGGAAATCCAAACTTTGTAGTTCTACATTCAGGGATAAAATTCTTCAAGCCCTTGATAATGATGATCTGTGATGTACTGGTACCTGTGAAGTAGTGGTGTAATGACAGATCCAACTATCAATGCATCGCATGGTCCAATGGCAATACACAGTTAAATATCGTCAGTTAGTGTTGATGCCGCCCTATGCTATCGATAGAAGTGATAGAAAATAAAATAACAAATATTCCTAATAAATTATTTTCCTATTATATTGACCCAAATAACACCTTGCTTGTCAAGACACATAGGTCTCCTTCCAGACAACTTTTCAAGACAACAACACCAATGTATAGTGATACTGAACAATGAGCTCCATGCCATAAAGCCAAAAATGTTGACCACTACCAGTGTCTAAATATCTGACGGGCAGACAAAGTGGTAGTTTTAGAGATTTCTGGCCCCAAACTTCAAGTCAGTAGGTCAAAAACAAAGAAAAAAATCAATAATGAAAAAAACTAACAATTTCAAACATATTTATTTTCTTTCCTCAAAATATTAAGTATGAAGGAAAATAAATATATAATTAAAGTGTAGGTGGGAGTTTGTAAGAAAAATGTACAGCAGGTTTTAATTCTAGTATCTAAAATAATTTATTATTATTGATGGTGACAGTAAATGAGATTTTTTAAACACTTACTTATTGTTGTAGGGAGACTGAAAAACCCAATGCTTTTGATTTTTTTCCACATTTCCATTTTTTGAAGTTTTGGGATTCATAACCTAAGTTTAAGAAAACAAAGTCTAACCTTATTCCTAAATATTAACCTGAGAAATTTAATAGCCAAAATAGTCATAACATGATATAAGAATACCCATGAACATGACATTACTGCCCCACTGCAAGATTCCAGGGTTCAACCCTGTTAACATATTCAAGTCTTGTAATCATGGAAAAAGTTTGAATCATGATCTTGGGCATAACAATTTCTTGACATAGACAAAAGATTAAAACTTGATCTTCAGAAAAATATCTTTAAAACAATTGCAGTTTGAAAATGTATGCTCTTTGGGAAAAAGAACATGGTCGTTTAAAATTGAAAACTAAAACTTGTCAACAACTTCACAATGAGATGTTTTTTGGTGATGTACTGGTGCCTGAGATCTAGGGGGCACTATTGGGGCACTATTGATGCATTGCATGGTACAATGGTTCACAATCATGAGATGTTTTTTGGTGATGTACTGGTGCCTGAGCACTATTGGCACTATTGATGCATTGCATGGTACAATGGTTCACAATCATGAGATGTTTTTTGGTGATGTACTGGTGCCTGAGATCTAGGGGGCACTATTGATGCACTGCATGGTACAATGGTTCACAATCATGAGATGTTTTTGGTGATGTACTGGTGCCTGAGACCTAGGGGGCACTATTGATGCATTGCATGGTACAATGGTTCACAATCATGAGATGTTTTTGGTGATGTACTGGTGCCTGAGCACTATTGGCACTATTGATGCATTGCATGGTACAATGGTTCACAATCATGAGATGTTTTTGGTGATGTACTGGTGCCTGAGATCTAGGGGGCACTATTGGGGCACTATTGATGCATTGCATGGTACAATGGTTCACAATCATGAGATGTTTTTTGGTGATGTACTGGTGCCTGAGACCTAGGGGGCACTATTGATGCATTGCATGGTACAATGGTTCACAATCATGAGATGTTTTTGGTGATGTACTGGTGCCTGAGCACTATTGGCACTATTGATGCATTGCATGGTACAATGGTTCACAATCATGAGATGTTTTTTGGTGATGTACTGGTGCCTGAGACCTAGGGGGCACTATTGATGCATTGCATGGTACAATGGTTCACAATCATGAGATGTTTTTTGGTGATGTACTGGTGCCTGAGATCTAGGGGGCACTATTGATGCACTGCATGGTACAATGGTTCACAATCATGAGATGTTTTTGGTGATGTACTGGTGCCTGAGCACTATTGGCACTATTGATGCATTGCATGGTACAATGGTTCACAATCATGAGATGTTTTTGGTGATGTACTGGTGCCTGAGATCTAGGGGGCACTATTGATGCATTGCATGGTACAATGGTTCACAATCATGAGATGTTTTTGGTGATGTACTGGTGCCTGAGCACTATTGGCACTATTGATGCATTGCATGGTACAATGGTTCACAATCATGAGATGTTTTTGGTGATGTACTGGTGCCTGAGATCTAGGGGGCACTATTGGGGCACTATTGATGCATTGCATGGTACAATGGTTCACAATCATGAGATGTTTTTGGTGATGTACTGGTGCCTGAGCACTATTGGCACTATTGATGCATTGCATGGTACAATGGTTCACAATCATGAGATGTTTTTTGGTGATGTACTGGTGCCTGAGATCTAGGGGGCACTATTGATGCATTGCATGGTACAATGGTTCACAATCATGAGATGTTTTTTGGTGATGTACTGGTGCCTGAGCACTATTGGCACTATTGATGCATTGCATGGTACAATGGTTCACAATCATGAGATGTTTTTGGTGATGTACTGGTGCCTGACATCTAGGGGGCACTATTGGGGCACTATTGATGCACTGCATGGTACAATGGTTCACAATCATGAGATGTTTTTGGTGATGTACTGGTGCCTGAGATCTAGGGGGCACTATTGGGGCACTATTGATGCACTGCATGGTACAATGGTTCACAATCATGAGATGTTTTTGGTGATGTACTGGTGCCTGACATCTAGGGGGCACTATTGATGCATTGCATGGTACAATGGTTCACAATCATGAGATGTTTTTGGTGATGTACTGGTGCCTGAGCACTATTGGCACTATTGTCAATTGGCACTATTGGGGCACTATTGATGCATTGCATGGTACAATGGTTCACAATCATGAGATATTTTGGTGCCTGACATCTAGGGGGCACTATTGATGCATTGCATGGTACAATGGTTCACATGTTATAAATATCAGTAGCTAACATTGATGCAACCCTATGATATCCCTATGCAGCCTGCGTTGTTTGGTCCTGACTAACAAGGGCTTTAAAAGTTATAACTTCATTGCGCAATCAGAATGAGAAACCAGTCGAGAAGGTAACCACTGTGGCATGCAGGATTGTTTAGGTAACTAGTTTTGTTTCGAGATTAGAGTCAATCTGTCCCTGATTTCAAAAGTCAAGCAAACTTAAACTACTTACAAAGCCATGGCAAATTGACAGTCACCAACTTGATACAAAACATATTAATGGGAAACAAAGCCAGTCACTAAAAGTGGCAGTCACTACCTTGATGCAACAGGGCTCGATTTAGGGAACTTGATTTAACCTGGTGCATGTCAAAATCAATAAAATCTCAAATTTCTGATGACTGTGTCATTTTTCTAAATTAATCTGGCAGTACCCAAGAAAACAGGACAAATTACACATAACACAGGGATCAGTGATGTAGTATGTTACATAAAGCTTAGAGGTATTGAGTGTGTTCAGAGGTCGGTGTTGTGTGGAAAGGTAAGGGTTAGTCAAACACAAATTTATTATGTTTTACATGCACTTGGTGCATATAGAGATAAGTATTACTAGGTTGCAGTTTCAATAATAGGTTGCACTTGTGCATGTTTTATGTAGTTAAATCAAGCCCTGTACAATATATATTAAAGGGAATCAAAGTCCTGGCATCTTCCTGGGGCAAGGGAATTAACTGACCACAAAGTCCAGTTTCCACCCTTGCCAAACTAGGCTGGAATTCTGGAGTCACATTTTGGCTGTACTAACATGTCTATGCATAGTCGACATCCCGTTCGTAAACTGCTGTGCAGATTTTAGTCGATTGCAGGATTTGCAGAGGATTTGTACCATCAACTTTGCGTCAACAGGTATTTTCCAAATATTTTGATGTTTTTAATCAATGTGCTCATGTGGTTTTATGCACTTCATCAAGCAAGATCAAATTTATTACAAAATAGATCTTGATCATCAATCAGATCATCTTCACTGGGCCCTGCCATTATGTTTGAAGCAACTGCAAGTGACATGAGAGGTGGAATCTGATTGGTCAATAGGAGGGACATAGAAGGGACATAACTTATAGTAGCCACTGGTGGCGCTACAATCAAGCTACGAAATTCCAGCCTAGGTCGGCAAGGGTGGAAACTGGACTTTTACAGTCAGTTAAACTCCCTTGCCTCAGGAAGATGAAGTCCTGACAAATTGACAGCCCCATCAAATGTGAGGGAAGTCACAAAAAGTCTAAGGTTTGTTGGCCTGTACGATCATCTAAGTTACTTATGATCCTAAATACCCTGATGATCAATTTCACAAACATGGCACTAGTCCCACGGTCTACACACTGAAAAGATACAGAGTAAATCTTACTTTGTGGGGCAGCATTTCCTCATCAAGTTGGGACAAAGTCTTGGAGAAGTCATCGTCATCGTGCATCTCCACATCGCTGGAGTCTCTTCTCTCAGTTGACTGCAAAATAACAAGATGGTGTTTAGACATCACAACAATAACAGTTCATTATGAAATGTAGGAATGTAACAAAATGACCTGAATGCATCTGTTATTTGAATTATAGTGTGACCTCATTGTAACTGGTTTTGTTTTTTCATCATTTAGGATATAAACATGTGTTTTGAGATTTGCGGGTGTTATTAAGTATGGGATATAGTACCATATGGGAAGCCGGAAAGGGTATTATATTTACTGTAATGCTCCTGTGAATTACAGTTTTTCTATAAATAACACAGGTTTTCATTGGTCGCCGGTACTACTTTTTATTTAGTTCTTTCAGTCTATCATCCACATGCTGATATGGAACGAGAATGAGAGAGAATTTTGGATTCTGCTTCCAAATAACTAACTGCAACTTGATAAATATTCCACGTCCATTGGTGGTACACGTCTGACGTTGATTAATAATAAAAAACTATTGGCTACTGAGCCGCTGTACTGTTAAATCAAAACTTGTGGCCAACTTCAAATGATATTCTTGCACTCGGAAATGTTGACTTCTAAAACTGATACCATGCATTTAAATAAAGTTGACATACCAAATTCAACAACATGCTTCTAACGTTTAGCATTTTGTTTTTGTAGAAGTGTAACAGATACAAATCTTCTCAATTTGAATGGTAATAGCGAGCTATTTTACACAAACCATGTCCTGTGAAAAACTGGTTCGACTGTTGGGTGTCGCTTTTATCACTAGTTGAGGTAGACAGGAGCCCAGTATAGCTTTACTGTTACATTTCTTTTGGGTTACAGTCACTAGAATTTGGAAGGCAGTGGTAGAGACTAACATTTTTGTTCCACTAGTCCTTATAATGATAACATATAGCAAAACCCTTAAAAATGGCAAATTTCTACTAGTCCTTATGATACCTTAACTATTGGGCAGTTTGGCAAGGACTACATGACTAGTGCCAATTTCTCACGCTGGAAGGTGATTTGGAAAAAAAATCTAGAGACGTTTGCACAAAATTTGATTATGGGTAAGAAGACACAGCACAACCAACTCTAAACTCCCTTGATCTTCCCTTGGGAAAGAAACAACAAAACTCCTCGTAATTTGTGTGTAATTTCATATTCAATGCCTGTACATTTCCAGGCATTGATTACTCAATAACACCTGCAAATCTCAAAACACATAATGTTTAGCAACAATGGAAATACAAAAAGATTTTAGCAATTTACCATTGCACTCTCTTTCTCTAGTTAAAACACTTCATGCATAGAGTTGAACTCTGAGTTGAGTAAGTGTTTCTTTGTTATTTAACGCCAAACTCAGCAATATTCCAGCTATATGACGAGCTATAGTCGGGTCTGGACCAGACAATCCAGTGGTTGACATCATGAGCATCAATCCACGCAATTGGGATCAATGACATGCATCAACCAAGTCAGCGAGCCTGACCACCAGATCCCGTTAATCGCTTCTTACAACAGCATGGTCGCCTTTTATGGCAAGCACAAGTTGCTTAAGATCTTCTCTACACCTGATCTTCACGGGTCAGTGAGTTAGTGAGTGAATGTTGTTTAAAGCTGCAGTCAACAATATTTCCAGCTACATCACAGTGGAATGTAAAGTCTGGACCAGAGAAACGAGTGACTGAGTGACAGCTCAGATCTATGCCACTGATGTCCGGCAATCAAACAACTCGCAGTGCCTGATCACCCCATCCACCATTACTCCAATGGGGTGCTGGGGACCAATTTAACCCTGAATCCCAAAGGGAGACTTACTCATGATCAAACATACTTGCTATATCACTTAGATATCATTTCAAAAGTTATGTTCTCTGACAGTAGTTATATCTTTAAATAATCAAACCCCCAAAAGTAGCAAACAAAAGCTAGTAAAAACAACAAACGAGAGTGACCTCCCTTGACCTGGAAGTGCTAGGTGAGGTGAGTTTTGCCAACTTTGGCTCATGAACATGCATGGAAACTTAAGCCAAAAAAATCAAACAGTCCTGCAGTTGATAACCTGTTTTCATAACTAATCTTGTTGTTTCTCTAACTAATATATAATCATATTCCAAATATAAGCAGACAAATTTGCCAAAACAAGTCACAAGACTTGTGTCTGACATTTGGCAGGATATTGGACAAAAGAGAACATATAAGCATGAAATTCAAGCTACCGTATTTTCTTGAGTATAGTGCGCACCCATGTATAATGCGCACCCCCCTCTAGCGGGTTCAATATTTTGGAAAAAAAAGAAATTTGAATATTATGCGCAGAAAATTTTTACACCGTACCCTTTCAGCGAAGTCCGGCAAACGAACGGGTGCTGAGAAACTTCGTCAGTACAAATTCGAAATTTGAGATAAAAAATCACCAGACATGTTTATTTACCGTTTAAATAGTATTTATTGTTCTGCTAGGCATTGTTTTATATTTAGGGATTAAGATTACCTTGCGTATTTTCTCGTAAACTAAGCTGGAAACAGCAATCAGCTGTACACACGTTTTCTTGGAATCGACCGGTGATTCGGTCAAGACACACCCAATGATATAACTTTATAAGATTTTTAATGCAAGGATCGGCAACAATTGTATCTGAAACTATTTTTTTTATCAGGAATAATATATTCCATTATTTTCTTAATTATATGCAACCTTTACTAAACATATTTAAAATAATAATAACCCTAAGCGAAGCAGCTGATCGCTATTCCCGGGTATTATCTTTTACATGGAACATGTCTGACCAGTCACCGTCAAGGCTCACGCGCACGTGATCACGTGATCGCAAGAATTTCATGTTGACATAGAATCGTCAAACAAAAACAAATATGACTTTTAACGAGTCAAAGTATGTCATTTATGATATATGTATCCATTCTCTGTCAACTAAAGTTTGTTTCAAGGCGTCAATAGCGGTATTCTGACCGTGGTTGCTGTTAATAACGGTGAGTTGTGCGATCTTCCGATCGCTTCACACACGATTTCGGCGAAATTAATAAAAACAATATTATAAGGAATTTTGAATAAAATCAATGAAATAAGTTACAAACATAAGTCCAGATATACAAAGAACACTTTTTATAGCCAGACAGTGTAATTACATAATTATTTTGCGTACTTCAGTATGGATTTGTTGACATGGTATTCCCGGTGTTTCGTGCACACGGTAATGTCTTTCCATGGGGGAAAAAAACATCCAAACTCATAATTCGTGTATAATGCGCACCCCCTTCTAAACAGCTGTGTTTTTTCGAAAAAAAAGTGCGCACTATACTCAAGAAAATACGGTAACTTTAATTGGGGGGAATTTAAAAGACTATTTACACTCTTCTTTGGCCCAGAATCTTCCAGAATTTTGTTTTGCTTAATGTAAATTCACCTTTTTCCTCTTTGCTGCCACAGTTTTGCGATCACTCCTCTGCACAGAGCTACTGCCGAAGAAATCCGATGCATTGATGGGTGTCTTCTTCTCTGGTGTTTTCATGCTTGGTTGCTTAGGTTTGGGTGGTGTTACTTTCACAAACCCATCTAATGATGACCTCTTCTTGGGTTTCTCAATTTCTTCATCTGCAAATATTTGTATGTTTTATCGTTCTGATGCAAACATGACTACGTCTGGATGAATGATTTGTGGAAATTAATTTAAAAAACTGAAAATATGCAGGGCTCCATTTAAGGAACTTGATGCACCAGGTACATGTTGACATGAAAAGCTAGTGGCACCAGATACAAGCAGCTTGTATCATGGTCCTATAAACTGATCCAAGATGAGACATATATGCATGAACTAGTCTAAATAAGTACAATCCCAGATCTCTGACGACTGTGTCATGTGTCATGAATTACACACAACACAGCAATTAATGATGTAGAATGGTAAATAAAGCATAGAGGCACTGAGTGTGTTCAAAGATTGTTGTTGCATTTTCCCTGTACTGGTAATTTACTGATAAAATAGGCCATGGACCGGCAAAACTGAACCCTATTGATCCACTGGACCAACAGTAAATATGACATTATTATGTGAAGATAGAAATCTTGACCAAATCTCTATGTACATTTATGAATTAACGCGGTCTTAAAGCCAAACGATGTCTTGGTGTGTTTCTTATTGCAAGAGGCTAGGAAATTCCTAGTTGATATTTAGCCAAGCTTAACCATTGGTTAATATGAATCACATGACAGTCTTCATAGTCCGGCAGACGCTCTACTACTAGACCACGAACATAGTCCGCCAAAAACTGGACAGTGACATAGCACAAATACGCACATAAAGACACTGTTGACAATGTCTTCAATTTCACCAAAGCAAGAGAACTGTTCAGAAAAATATCCAGAAAACTGTAAAATTCCATACTGGAAGTAAAGGGTATCAGTGAGGTGGGAAACCTTGTTTTTGATATGATATCAATAGGCTAATTGGTAAAAGGTTAATGGGTTACCAACAAACAGGTAAATTATAGCTGCACGGAAACACTGGAATGAGCAATGATCCATGTCATCGGAAGGAGATGACACACTGGCAAGGTCTCGCGTAATCACCTGATCCATCCTCATTAGTATGATATAACTTGACTGATACCATGGATTCGTGGCAATCAAGTGAAACTAAAGTTAAAACTAATTTGCAAATAAATATACTTTTGCAAATTCTTAAACCAAATATTGGGATTCCTACCAGAATCATCAATGAAGACAACAGCTTCCTTCTTCTTCTTCTTGTTTTTCTTTGGCATTAGTTCCTCATCCGAATCTGAAAAAGTGAAATATTGTTTTGTTTATCAAATATGTTTTCAGGAGAAGTACCCATGTTACAGACTAATAGTGCTGTAGCCTCTCACAATATGCATTGTCCATAATCAGAGTTTCTGTATTGACCAATAATCGATTGTAACCATAAATCCACCACACACGTTTGTTTGTTGTTAAATGGCCACACTCAGCAATATTCCATCGGTCTGTAAATAATCGAGGCTGGACCAAACAAGATAGTGATTGACATCACAAACATTGATTTACGCAATTGGGATACAATGACATGCCTCAACAAAGTCAGTGAACCTGACCCCTGATCCCGTTAGTCGACTCTTACGATAAGTATGGGTTGCTGAAGGCCTATTCTAACCCGGATCTTCACGGGTCACCGCAAACACGTGGGCAATAAGGGAATAGAATATAACATTGAATACTAATTGACACAAACACCAGTCCTTTTTGTTGATAGTCCTGTATGGATGTATCATGGAATCTACAGCAGGTTATTATTGTTGTACTTGAAACTCTACCTTCATTCCAACTTCTGTCAACAATAATAATAAAACAATATCCTCAATCCAAGAAGATGTTTTTCATTACCAAACTTGAGCTAGCAAGTGCTACAGCCTATTAATTATTCATGAGACATTATATTGAATGTACATGTACGGCATGTTAGAATTCCTTTCTTGTAGCCAATCAGCAATGAGCAATAACGTTTTCCCTTTTCTTTCTGTTATCTATTTTTTAAAAGTACATTAATACAAACATAATGAATGAATGTTACTATTTATGTCTTTCTTGTGTGAGTTTATACTTCATTGATAACAGAAAGGGATAAAATGTGCAAAAAACCAGGCGGAATTGAATTTCTACACAGAGTTACGGGCATTGAAAAGCCACGTAGACAAGGTCACCCTGACTGAATACAGACACACCAACACATTCATCCAATCATGGAACACGAAGTTAAAACCTTCATAAGAGCAGCTTTGTAGAATCCCACAAGGAAAATAATTCGATGACACTTGCAGGTGTAGCGACGGAACTAATGACAGAGACACAATGGAGTGAGTATCCCACCACTGCAGAGAGGATACTTTTCCCTGGAGCTGATCTGGATCAGGTATTTTTCCATGTCTGCCCTCACGACATCCTCTACCATCTGGTTTGCTTTCTCCACCTTGAGAACCGTGACATCTGCAAACCAGTTGTCTAGGAATGTTCATCGTCCACATCGTTGACATCGACTGCTGTTTATTATCATCTTCCAAGCTTGGGCAAGGTGCTGGAGTGTCGTCACATCGACCATTTCTTTTTTCATATCACAGGTTGATCTGTCAGAAATGTGACAGTCTCTGCAATGATTTTCTGCTTTGACTTAGCGTGTTCAATTTCATCAAGAAGTGGGATATTCATATATCTGGGGTCAAGGGGTAGATGCTGTCATCAAGTACTGTCTCACGTTTGGTTCCTTTGGAGAGATCATTTCTCATGGCTGCATTGACCAGCTTAATTGCAATACTGTCGCTCTCATTCTCAGCAAGATGAACCTAAAATTTCTTAAGGACTGGAAGAATCTTTGAGACAGACGGACTGTGTTGTTCACAGATTTTGTTGAAGCTCTTTTCAAGGGTACAAGGACAATGACAAGATAGTTAGTTGACATGATGACATTCCTGGCCTCCCTTTTAATGGCCGAGCAGTAAAAGCTGCATGTATTGCAGCTGTCTGCTCAAGGAGACAGAACAGCATGCCATGGGTCGAGTTCCATCTCGTTCCATCTTGTATCAACTTGTGACCAAGGAGATCCAGCATTTTCTGCTTCGTTTTCAAGACATCCATTGCCACAGAGCTCCTCTTTAGAAAAGGAGGCAAAAGTTTGGATATTTAAGGATTCCAAGACCAGCTTTCACAGTAAGATTGAGTGTATGAGCAAAGAACGGGATACACAATTCCAATCCAACAAAGTATTGGCTTTTTGGAGGTTGGCAGCATTATCCAGGACGTTGACTGGAGTTCCTTCATTACTTCATATCTTCACACACTCAGAAAGTGCTCTAGTGAGAGTTTCTCTGGGATGTCATCCTGGTCACTGATTAATCATTTTATTGTTGCAATTTTACACCAAAAAAAGAAGAAATCCTAGCTGTTGCAGATTTTGTAGAGTTTGTAGGATGGGGCTTATCTTCATGATTTTTCAAATTGGGAGTGTTGTTTAATATTTCATACCTGCATTGCATATCAAACATATTGCCTCAGTCATTTTAAGAACAGCCGGCCCATCTACACCAGGGTTTTGATGGCTAAATATTTTTTTCCATATCTCTCTCTTTCCCCGACCAGGGAAATAAAAAATCTTATTCAGTTCAGTCATCTCACTAACAGTAGGCTGCAGCTGAGATGACATGCGCATTACTGCACTTCTACACTTTACCACTTCCTGTTGTGGCATGCGAGTATGTCTGTTGTTTACATTGCAATTTACAAACTGGGGAACTTCATCAGCTGTTTTTGTCTTGATTTTAAAAACATAACAATAACAAATGTACTGTTTCAAGTTTATTTTGATCTTTGACATGGTCATATTATGTATACTGGTTAGTCTGCCAAGCAAGGGCTTCACACATTGTACCGATGTGGGCAAACACTTTAACCACTAGGCTACCCCACCGCCCATCTTGACTTTGATGCTTAATATATAGAACAATGTATCCATATAGTGACCAACCAAGACAACTTTATCTTGTTAATGACAAACACAAAATACTGAGTTCCACATATATATTTGTAGGCCCCAGGTCTATGGCGGGACTCTAATCTGTGGCGTATTCTCAGATCCGTTGCAGATTTTCATTGTTATATGACTTCATGTTTGCAATGATGTGGTATCCATGAACAGACAATCAGTTCAATGTTATAAGGCGTCATGCTTGAGATGACGTCACGACTCCTTGCCTATGATGATGTCATGTAAGTCCAACTTCCATTACCGATAGACGCAGTGATCGGTTGAAAATGATGGAAATGGACACCACAGCAAATGAAAGTTTTCTTATGGCGGATTCATGACAGCAGAGGAAGAAACCATTATCGAAACACCCTAACGCAGAATCGTTTAAATGATTTTTCAAAGTTCATTGTGTAATGGTCTGAATCCAAAGTGAGGAAATGGGAAAATATTCAGGATTTTATTAACTCCAGCAAAGGATAGGATGGCGCAGGAGGTCTTAGAAAATTATTTCTTCAATGAAACAAGGAATGTTTTAACATATACGATATTTAGCGCTAAAGAAATTGTTTTTATTATGCCACAGATCTGAGAACACACCACGAATCAGAGTCCTACCATAGATCTGAGTCCTAGCTATTTTTACTTAATTGTGACCTACCTAAACTAATTAGCTGGCAAGGAATCTGTACACCAGAATATAGTGGGCTAAATGCATTGACCTAGTCTTCGTAGTCTCATAATTCAACCACAGATGACATTTTCACATGCCGTCAATGAACAAGATCAGCACATACATATATGTATACTGACATGAAAGTGTAGTCACCATGACAACAAGGAAAGATTCAGATCATGCTCACCTGATTCTATCCGTTGAGTTTTCTTGGATCTGGGTTTTCCCTTCTTGTGTACCACATCTTCGGAATCCAATTCCTCTTCAGTCGTGCTCTATGATGAGAATATGTACATGATGTAAAATGACATTAATCATGTATAACTCAAGGAGAATAACCATCAAACGTACTAATAAGAGCGTCATCTCCAGAAGCAGGTGTTTATCAAGGATGCCAAACTAAGCACCCTCGGCAGCCGAACCAAGAGTTTTTTTTATGTTTAAGTCCTTAGTTTCTAAAACGTGGCAAATTCAGAGGGTTTTTTTACATTGTAGTTTTACAATGCTCCTGAGACCATAAAGAGATCTATTTTATGGTCTCTGCACATAAAGCAATAATGTTAACCTAAGCATGCTAAGTGCACTTCCTATCATTTGTCCTCTTATTAGTAAAATACAAGTCATTTCCACAAAGCCATAAGATAAATTGGTAATTATTTACTTTACTGACATTGGCTGCAGATTTGGGGCTGACTACTGTCCTCTGAGCAAGTCTAGTTAAAGTCACTTTGGGAACATTTCCAAGGAATGGAAGTTTGATGACTGGTCCTTATCATAAACTTGTATTTAGAAAAAGCCAAGTGTCGACCCCTCTTAGAATTGGAAATAAACTGCATATCAACCTGCATATTTGCCACAGTGGAATTCTTTTTTTCAGTCTGTAATTCCTTTCATAGCCATAATCATACTAAATGATTAATATGTTCACTCACTGATATATAATGAAAAGTTTTCACTCAGTGCAGTGTATGTGAATATAGTGAATATATGAATGTGTCTATATTTGTGAGATCTTCACCAATTCGTTGTGTCATAGGTGAAATGCCCCCATCAATCCCCTATTTTCTTACCAGTCACCAGGCTCAGGTGAATTTGTACCTATAATAAAAGGTGCTGGACAAGAAGGAAGACCCCCAACTAACCACCCGTTGCCCTCGGTCCTATTCCACACAATGAATGCCTGTCAGGGATGAGTGAGTGAGTGACTTTGGTTTAACGCCGCTTTTAACAGTATTCCAGTCATATCACGGCGTGTCAGCTTAATGTGGGAGAAAAGTCCCAAGTGATGCAGGTCTTAGACGTTTACCACTTTGGTGAAACCCACAAGCACGGGTATGGTGCTGACAAACCTCGAATTGGGGCGAACCGGGATTCGAACCCGCAATCATAGGTTTCTGGCTCCCAAGGGACGCAGCTCTGCACAGTGAATTGCGGTGCCTTAGACGACTGGGCCACCCATGTCCCCCTGTCAGGGATGAACCCAGACATCTTCAGTGTTGTTCTTAATAAGGCATAAAAAATCCAAGCTAGCATCAAGCAGACTGGGTGTTGACCCAATCAATGACATTGGGCAACGCGTCAGACATCAGGAACCTGTTTTAACCTCACTAAGGGGAATCCCTTCGTGGCAGGTATTTCCTTTGGCCTACAATTTCACCTGTCATATTTTACCCTCTGCTTAAGCTATTTGTGTTTTTTCAAATTTACTTTTGTTATAGCATTTGTGATTTTAAGTATGCCCTAAAGTATTAAAATCTCCAAAGTTGCTATCATGAGTTTACTAGCCTTTTAACATTACTGCTTTATGGGGAAAAACTTGTCACAATGGCCGAGAATACTTGCTAAGTTGAGGACTGCCAGGAAAGACAAACTCTCACCCAGGCTGACTTTGCGACACCACTGATACTTCAAGGTTGTCACAATAGACCACTGACCTGTGAAGACCCGGGTTAGAATAGGTCTTCAGCAACCTATGCCTGTCAGGATCAGGTGGTCAGACTTGCTGACTTGGTTCATGCATATCATCGTACATTCCCCCTGTGAAGATTGATGCTCATGATGTCACTCACTAGATTGTCTGGTCCAGACTTGATTATTTACAGACCGCTGTCATACAGCTGGGATATTGCTGAGAGCGCCGTTAAACAACAAATAAACAAACTATGGACCACTGGTTTGTCTGCTCCAGGGAGGATCATTTGATGAGTGCTTACAGGTCACCTAAGATGCTGTAACATTGTTGATCATGTAACGAGTTTATAAAAGTGGAAAAAAGTTGTCAACGAGTGTTGATATATTTGATATCAAAAGACACTTGGGTGAGATTTTATTTATCATCCAAAATCATTCTTCCAACTTTTTCAGTTTGTAGACAGTAATAAGCAGTGTCTTAAGTGTAAAAAGTACTGCTAACAGCTTCAGTAGCACAGCCATTAGTGATTTCATTTGATTGTGACGTCATGGTAACCAATGTGGTCATAATGGTCTGCAAAGCATTGTGATGCAATTTCATTGCAGCGATATCTACAATGTAGATATTGCTTGATCTCACCCAAGTGATATCTCCTGTGGGAGCCAGTTTGGGATGATGAAATCCCATTCAATCATTTGACAACATTTCTATTTTTGTTACCTCTTTTTTCCTTTTCTTGTTTTTGCTGTCAATTTTATTGGAGTCTCCACTGTCTTTTCGGGAGCTTCTGTCAGCAGAAGTTTTTCTTGAGCCTTTTCTGTTGGATTCTGAAGCCTGTTTCCTCTTTTCACCATTACCAGTGTCTTTGCCTTTCTTCACCCCAACTGGGCCAAAGAAATTCCTTATATCCTGAATTGAAGAAAGTATCGAAGGTATTAATACAAATAGCATGTTTTACTCCAATAAGGAAATTGTATATGATTCCAGGAGATTCTAACATGGTGCTAGGGGCATTCTTGGAAATCATATTTTTTCAAGTTCAGACTAATGCTGGTTTTATAGTGCTAAGCCCACCAAAAAACAATGCCATAGGTTAACATGAATACGCCTCTCAGACACAGCACACCAACTCTGAGCCAGTCAGTCCTTGTTTAATTCCCTTACTTCCAAGCGCCAGGCAAGGTAACAAGTACCACCTTTCCACATCCTTTGGTACTTTTGCTCAAAGGAGCAGACGCTCTATCTATAAGACCACGGAGGCGGTCTAAATTACCATATGTCAAGGACAGTATGAAAATGACATTCAGAAATTGAATGGAAGGTTACCAATGTCACAGAAATGGAAAGGGGCTAGTATGTCTCCAGGACCATAGAGAATCAATTTAAAAAAACAAATCCAACTCTAGACTGATTTGGCAAGTTGAGATTGCCTCAGCATGGTTCTTGGCTCCATTTAGATGTTAATTTTCACTTTGTAGATAGATATTCTTAAATAAGACAACTTTTTTTCTGGGACTAAATGTTAACCTGGGAGTAGGGGGCACACTTTCTAAACAACAACCACTTCTTATCTAGCTAATGTTAATGTGAAATTCACAGAGTTTGAAGATGTATAAACTATTCTTCTTGTTGGCACATTTAAATTTCACTTGAAATACAACACATTTTTATCCGTGGTTTGATGATGAGCAGGATTCTGTTTATTGTCCCTTCATAAATTAAAGTGTTAAAGCAACCTAATGATTCCGCCTACATGCACTTGGTGCATGCAAAAATACAACATTTTTATCTAACCCTTACTTGATAACACAACATAGATATACCTTTGAACACTCACTACCTCTAAACTTTATTCACCATACAACATCACTAATCCCTGTGTTATGTGTTATGTGTATTTCATGACACTGTCATCAGAAATGTGAGATCTTATTTATTTAGGATAGTTTATGCATCTATGTTAAAACTTCGATAGACGTATGAAACCAGGGTCCAACAACTGAACATGCACCTGGTGTGTAAGGTAAATAAATTAGTGAGTGAGTTGGGTTTAATGCCACTTTTAACAGTATTACAGTTATATCACAGCGTATCAGCTTAATGTGGGAGGAAACCCCGAAGTGATGCAGGTACTGACAAACCTAGAAACATAATCGGGGCAATCTGGGATTCGAAAACACAATCATAAGTTTCTGGCGTGCCCAAGGGACGCAACTCTGCACAGTGAATCGCAGTGACTTTGACAACTGGGTCACCCATGGCCCCGGTATATCAATTAAAGGGAAACAAAACTTGTTTTGAAAGAATTGAAATATAGATGGCTAAGATGGGCTTTTTCTTCACGGATTCAAAATTTGCTTATTGTGGACAATAATATCGACTGGTTTGACTCGTGTTCAGAGCTATTCTTGGCATCAATCTAACAGTTATTTAGTCCACAAATACCCCATAAATAAAACTTCAAAGAATTTTGATGCCATGATCGGATGAGTGAGTGAGTGAGTGAGTGAGTGAGTGAGTGAGTGAGTGAGTGAGTTTGGTTTTATGCCGCTTTTAGCAATATTCCAGCAATATCACGGCGGGGGACACCAGAAATGGGCTTCACATTGTACCAGGGTCTTCGGCGTGACGAACGAACGCTTTAACCACTAGGCTACCCGACTGCCCCCATGATCGGATGAATTACATCTGAAACTACTATTTTTATCAGAAATAATCTATTCCAATATTGAGTTAGTTTAGTTGCAATGTTTACTATATACATTTAAAATAATAATAACCATAAGCCTAGAGCTTTGGAACAACTGATATCGTTTGCCAGTTGTTTTTTCACATACAGGTAGGTGTCATGTCTCATTGGTCAGCAGAGATATCACACGTGACTACAATGTGCATGTGATGTTTGCAGTTCTTTAAAAAAATCCACTGAGTTGGATAATAACCAATCAATCAACATATTATCGGCTTATCCTTTGAACAAAGTATGTTGTCTGTTTTAGTAAACCTACATGTATAAATACTTACTTTTGACAAATCCACTGTGCAAGATAATTGCTGTATACCCTTGACACCCTCAGAGGCTGGGGTGAACGTTATTGAGTTATGTTGCATAGTCTTTGTCAGATTTGTTTTTTGTCTTTTAACGCCGCACTCAGCAATATTCCAGCTATATGACGGCTGTCTGTAAATAATTGAGTCTGGACCAGACAATCCAGTGATTGACATCATGAGCATCGATCCACGCATTTGGGATACAATGACATGCATCAACCAAGTCAGCGAGCCTGACCACTCGATCCTGTTAGTCGCCTCTTACGACAAGCATAGTCGTCATTTACGGCAAGCATGGGTTGCTGAAGACCTATTCTACCCCAGATCTTCACAGGTTGTTTGTCAGGTAATCTGAATGGTCCTACCACTAATCACACCTGTAATAAAGTCATTAGACTAACATTTAGTCTCTGAAATCTTATATTACACAATATCCTTCTTGACTCTAAAAAAAAATAAAATCCCTATGCTGATTTCAGAGTGTGGAATAGAGCTAGCTTAAGCTGGCTAGACTTGCTTTTGTATGCATTTCTAGATTTATTTTTTTTCACAAAATAAATATATTCCACGGTCATGGTGCAGGACTATAAAGTCATTAACTGGGCATCAAGTGAATGACGACAAATACACAGGTGCAGGGTTTAAACATGAAACAAGGATGACAAGAACTCTGAAGGGAGTACGAAATGTTGTATTTCACGAACACCTGGTGTCGTCACTATTTGATAGTGATTCATAAACACATGCTCACAATATAGTCAGAATTGTAATCGACTGTTTTGGGTAGATATTGCTTATGAATATCGAAAGGGTTATGTCGCTTTGATTTACATGCAATTTGCCCGAAAAATAAGGGTCTTGCTCTTTTGAGTATATGAACTTAACTTCATTGTTGTAAAAATATTATGTACACGAATTTGCTGTACACAAAACTACATAATTGTGCATATACACACACAAACGTTTTGCATCATCCAATCAAATGTGAGGAGGTTTCAACGGGATTCCCGCTCGCTTTCAATGAGGTGGTCCGAAGTACAGTTTGTTGAGTCACTGACACTAACTGGCATCTGTTAATTACACGGGCTAAATAAAATGGTGCTGGCTAGACGAATGACAGTTGTTGTGTTGTTTACCTTTAAGTTCCTTAAATCAACACCCCTGCATGATAAAGCCCAAGTCAACATATCTGAGACTGCCTGGTGAAAGACACTTTTAGGTGCTTCATCCCAGTGTGAAAACTTGACTACCAGGGATAGAAAAAGGCACTAGAAACATTTAAGGGCAACAATATTCCAACTCTCAGTCATCTTGCCAGTGCCACTGTAATAAGCAATTGTAATCGCCAGATGCCAATTTGCATTTAACACGTCAAACCAGTCGAGTTTATAGTCCAAAAGAAGCAAATATTAAATCCACAAAGAAAATAGCCATCCATAGTTCAATACTTTCAAAGTTTGAATGTTGTTGCTCTTTTAATAAGAATTGAATAATTATGACTTTAAAAGCAGTTTGAACAATAATGTAGTCAATAATTTTATGTTATTTACTTTCAGATAGAGGTTTATCACGGTTACCATGGTTAAACAAAACGTCAATATTCATATGCATTCACCTACAACACACGATTCAACATATCTCCGAAACTTCTTCGTCTTACAAAAGATTAAAGAATGTAAAATCGTCAGAAAAATTATCGGATTAACTCTTAAAGCGGCTAAGAATTAGAACCAAACTAACGAAATAGTTCTGTTTCATCGTTTGATGCTTTTCTCAAAAGTTGATCGATGTTTGAACCAAAGTAGCGTATTTAGATCTTGAGTAAACACTTCGCTTTGAAGCGAAAGTATGAACGAAAACTAAAGGACTGTTCTCGCTAGCATCATCATACCGACTGACAATCTAACCAATGCACAAAAGCCGTCTTTTCCGATGAGACATGGCATGATCAGTCAACCGCGAAAGCACTCAACAACTAAGTTGTTAGTTTTGTAATCTAATTAGTTATTGTACCATTGTTTGACGTGAACGGCGACTGCAAATGTCACGACATCAGTTTTGTTTTCATGTACACAGCCATTCGCGCCAAATTGAACTCTACGCATGTTCCGGACCCGGAAGTCATAGTAAGAGGCCCTAAAAGGGTTGTGTTGTTGTAAAGCTGACCAAGGTTTAATGTTAGTTGTTTTAACTCCTAACTCGACAACATTCCATCCATACAGCTGCGGCCTGTGAGTAATCGAGGTCTGGACCAGACTAACCGAGAGCCGCGATGGAACCCGACAGTCAAGACATGACCCTAAATCCCAGCCCAGTAAGTGCTTATCGCGACAAAAACCTCTTCTCTGAAATAAGTGCTTATCGCGACTAAAACATCTTCTCTGAAATAAATGTTTCACTTATCCTATCCCAGCATGTAGGACTGAGGTGAATTAACAAAAAATAATGCTATCTTTCTCAAACGTCACAAACGCCAAATTACGAGACGAGAATTGCACGCAATTCATATCAAGAGAAGGAATTTTAATGTCCTAAATCCGTCAACATTTTCTTGCGTTACCGACGGTAATTGCATCATTATCTGAGGGCGGGTCTCTCATCCTTCATATATACGTTATTGTACGAATCGGAACTGGCCTTTCCTCTTAAGAGGAATATAGTATATCTACATGTGATATATTACGAGCACTTCCCTCGCCTCAACTTGAGGTAGACGGACATAGGATAAGAGTGATCTCCCCTCGATCACACACTCTTCCACACAGTGTGAACAGATAGGGAATCTGTTTACAGAAATGGTCTTAACTGTAGGTCCTTTGGCCCGTTGCCTGCAGAAACAGATGATCTGCTATAACATCCACGGGACAGCTAGGGTTACAACAAATATTTTTGGAATAAGGCTTGTATCAGAAGAACCGAGATGAATCCCCCGAAATAGGTTAAATTAGCAGTTTCTGGTATGCAGTCACGGAAGTAACACCAAAAGGATCTCAAAAATGTATTTGTAAACGTTCTGCGCAGACTTCGGCCAGATTAAATGTATGAACGTGGACATTTTTTCACTCTTTGTCACACATTATCATCCTTGCCTTTATGGGCGGCCAGGTAGCCTAGCTAGTGGTTAAAGAAAGCACTCGCTCGGCCGCATATTCTACCATGAATTTGGAATTTGCTCGATTCTAATTGGTCAATCAGAGGCTATTTAGTCACAATAAACCCTCTCTGATTGAAACCGTTGGTTTGACGGCCGTATCACAGCGGAAGCTAATATTCATAGAATAGCACTTTTTTCAGTCATTGTCGGTAGGCATATTTAAAAAATATATATCTACAATTACAGGTTACAAAATGCTTAGATGCGGTTACTACAATATTCAAAGGATGTGTGGCAATACATTTCGTGCAAAAAAAACCGATAGAAATCTACAAAGGGAATGTATTGTTTACGTATTTACGCTGCGCGTTCGGTTCTAAATTTAATTTAGCGCGGTTAAATCTCTAGGTAACCTAGCTCTACATTGAAAACACAGTATGTTTATCTCCTAAGTCACTCACACACTCCTAAACCTTTATGTGTCTGTCTTGAGCTTACAACCCAGGGTCTGCTCTATCCACAGATACCCCACTGTTAGGAGTTATCGACATCGGCCTTGAAGTATAACGGTTTACTGAAAATATATCGGGGCTTATTCAGTGAAAACTCACCGAACATTTTTATTTTTGCATAACTTCATAAAGTCATTTTTTTCATGGTTTTGATTTATTTGAGTGAAACTCTCGATTGCACTTTTCCAAGAGCTTTCCATACACATGGTATAGTTTCCAAAAGGGGTCACGTGATCAGCCCCTAATAATACATTATGGTCGGAAATTACGGTTGAACCCGGTTTGTACGTGCAGTTGATATAAAAGCAGTGGTCCCTATAGGGCCAGTCGGAAGCCTATATTCACACCTACTTGTGTGTGGTAGTAGTTTGTAGATATTCTATTTCCACACCAGTATTTCTGTAGACCCGTGAAGATTCCGGGATAGAATAGGTCTTCAGCAACCCACACTTCCAGTAAAAGGCGACTATGCTTGTCGTAAAAGACGACTAACGGGATCGGGTGGTGAGGCTCGCTGATTTGGTTGATACATGTCATCGATCCCAATTGCGTGGATCGATGCTCATGATGTCAATCACTGGACTGTCTGGTCCAGACTCGATTATTTTACAGACCGCCGTTTATTTTTCATTCTAAATTTCCCAATTTAAAAAAAGAATTATTTTCAGACGACATCGTGGTTCCAAATAAGAACTGTCGCTGTTCATCATGGTACATATACCAGCACCATTTAATTTTTATTCCCAGTTGACAGGGGAATAATTCCAACATCCCACTGTGATCATCAGGGATGAAAATTGTCATTAGCCCGCTACCCCGAGTCAGTTTGTCTGCTATGAAAGGCGTCCTGAAGGGCTACCCGACGGCTTTTTTGGGGATGTCCAAATACGATATCAGTGTTTAGGCTAGTAAACGTTTGAGATTAATTTCTTGCACTGATTATTTTATCCAAATAAACATAGTTTTCACAAAACATTTTTTTCAAGCCACAAACATGTGTATTGTTTGTTTCAGTTCTAAGTTTGCACTTTGAGTCTCCCGAGTTGCCAAACCAAATGCTGGAATTGATGATAACTTTGTTAGCTACGTCTGGTGTCCAGCCGAAAGCTATCCCGGTTGCTTTCACCTTTTACAATGCCATGAGGCTAGGCCGCCTTTACCACGCCGGAAGCTGACGATGACGCCTCGTTCTGAGTTCTCCGTAACGTAGTTACCGTTGCCGTTCTCAACGTCCCCTTCTGTTTTCAACAGAATCACGATCGCTTTTGCTCCGTTGATCTCCACGTTGTGCTCACTACTGTATCTTTTCAAGCATTTTCAAGTCCAAGATGAATACAAGGCTTCACATTCAAGGTATTTAGGATCCCAATTATTCGACTTTAAAGTGTTAAGATGTTAAATTAGTGGTGAAATTCGTCGTAGTTAGGCAGCCGTATTGGAACTGAAGATGGCGGCCGCCATTTGCAATTGTTTCAATTCAAAGTGATTGATTTTGAAATTCATTTCGTAGGCTGTGATGGCACATGTTGGTGTATTACAGTGTCGGACGATGTAGCATACACATTTTAGATAACTTGTATTACGTGTTTAGAAGTTGTGGACCCAATTTATTCGTTAACTGTCTCGTTTTAGAACAACAGGTAACTGGATAACTGTTTAGCCGATGTTTGCCACATAGATTCAAATCAAATAGAAATGACCAAATCTAAAAGAGCTTTCTAGCAGCTAAATACACCAGACTATCTGTCTGACCTTCCTCCAGTATCTCTGGTACATATGATTGTTCTGATTTGTTCTTGGTAAACGTGTATTGACTCTAATATTACAATACTAGGCCAATACTAAATAGGGGATAAAATGTATGTGTACGGAACTCAAAATATACTAGATTTTTTGAAAGTAGCCGTCGTCGTACATTTAACGGAGCTTTGCTTTTCTTTTCCAGCTCGGGAGGACATAATTCGGTATTATGGTACTCCTGCAGCTGTGAGTTTGTGGCCGTCTCAAGATGAGGAGTCCGACTGTGTATGTATTTTACATGCACTCCCTAACTTCTTCAGTCTGCTATAGCTGTTTTGTTACTATTAAGTATGTCCATTGCCTACAATATAGTGTGATTTGTTTTCTTAGCAAATCTCCCGATGTTCTGTCTCACTTGCCTTACTTTCTCCCTCCCTCCCCTCGATGAGTAGCGTTCCCAAGCTGTGTCCCTTTCCCGTTTCCCCGACCCCCTGAGTGTCTTCACTCCGTTCTGGGCCCGCCCCGTCTACGGCGAGACGCTCCCCGCCCCCGTCACCATCAATCACGCAGACCACTATCCTGCCCCAAGTGACGACGATGAAAGTGACTACTGGGTGTACGAGGACGAGGATGACCACAGCTTCGTGGATGACCGAGAGATTCATCCCTTGAGAAAGGCGCTGACGAGAGCGGCTGCCTTCTTTAGGAAGATCTTCTCGTAGACTCCTTATCCTTTTAATGTCTGAATGTGTGTGAGTGAGTGAGTGAGTGAGTGAGTGGATATATGTATAGGTGAGAGTGAGAAAGAAAGATAGAGAGAGAGAGAGAGAGAAAGCTTGAACGGTTGAGAGAGTAAGATTTAGAGAGAGAGATTGAGATCGTGAGAGTAATTGAGAGAGATTCAGAGTAAATAAGAGAGAGAGCGTGCACGGTTGAGAGAGAGTGACAGAAAGATTTAGAGAGAGGTTGATATAGTGACAGTAAATGAGTGAGACTGAGAGAGTAAATGAAGGAGAGAGAGAGAGCTGTTTAATATGCATCCTCTCATTTTGGCACATTTTAGACACACCATTTTGGCCCATCTTTGGCTTACGTTTTGGCTTATTTTTCACATAATTGATGATCTTTAATCGCACAAGGCGATGTTATTTATACTATTTTGGCCCCGTAATTTGGATCTCTCTTTTGGCATATTACTTTCGACCTATTGTCATCTGAATAAATATTTCTGTAATGTACATACAAGTCGTCTGTTTTCACTACTGTGTTCCTTCCTTAGAGCAAATAATGATCTAGGGGACAGCGACATCGCAATATCGGCATCAGGCCACATCCCCGGCCTCTGATCTTGAGACATAAAACCATCCTGATATTGTGAAACAGCGTGATATTTGCCCCTATATGGCTATGTTGCTGTCTCCTAAATGTATGAGCTGTACTGGCAAATACCTGCAGATTCGTGTATGCGTGGGGCTACCTTGAAGATTATAGACAGTCCTGTATGTGGCGAAAGTTGTATGAGGACAGGTCTTTCGAACACTTTTTAATTAAAAAAAATGTTAAATATTCAAACGTAACTACTCATCATTTCTTATGAAACAATTATTGTGGTTCCCTTTCAAGTGAGTGCGAATCAAACCTGGCGCCTTTCCACTTTAAAACAAGTGTCATCACATGGGATATATTACGAGCACTTCACTCACCTCCATCAGGCGAGGCGGACATGGGATTAAGAGTGATCTCCCCTCGCTCACA